TAAAATGAGATACCTGAAAAAGTTAAGGGCACTACTTTGCTCTTGTATGGAAAAGTGAGGAATATGAAACGAGATTATGAAATGGTGATGGTACATACTCGGAAAATTCAACTGATAAGATGAAAATGAGAATGACCATTGTTAATTTCTGATAAATTGTGTTCCCATGTGAGAAGCTTCTCTCCATGTTCTTCCTTCCTAATATGGTTCTCTCTTAGTTTTTTCGTTCAATAAGAAGTTCGAACATCTTGTGCTATCTCTGCCTATCTTTTATTTTTCAAACCAGTTGTTAACATTACATGTATAAGTGCTTAAGTTTTGCTGATCTTGTCTAAGAAACATGCGTTTCTAATCTGAATTTCTGTAGTACGTCAAAGTCCTAGTTTTAGCAAAAAACTTCAGAAATACTGAAATAAAGCTCAGAACTAGAGAAGTAACTGACTTCCATGTACATTATTACACGTGAAGACTGAAGTGCAATTCTATACTTTGATTATTGTAATTGGCGACAATTCTGCACCTTATGCTGAAGTCCTGAGTGAAAATTTTATTCGTTTAGTTGCGTCTTCGGATTAGTTGTCATCACCTTGTACACTGGCACATTAACTGGGTTCTTGTATCTTCGAAGCCTTAATGTCTCCCAACCTTGCTTGCTCGTAACCAGTCTAATAATGTATTATGGATTCGTGTCATCTGGTCATTATTTGAGGATCCAGCTCTCGTTGAAGTTCTTTGAGGACATAGTATCTGGTAGGGCAAAATGATGTGCAATGGTCCATATGGTTGTATCCACTCTGGGAAACGGACTTCAACTAATCATTGGACTTTGATTTCTTTTTGTCATCCCAATCTGTTGTCAGGTTAACACATCAGCAAAAGCTAATATGATGTGCTTTCTCTGTATCGTTTTACATTTGCTCTCATTCCTTCTCCACAGGCAAGCATTGACCAGCTGAAGATTATGGGGCCTGTTATATTGAATGGCATTCTGAAGCTGCTTGATGGTTACTCATTCTCAGAATCAGGTACATGATACAATATGTTCTTTTTGGATTACTGTTGGAGTCGTACACAGCAACTAGGATGAACATAAATCAGTTTGAATTATTGTTTCTCAGTCTGGACGTGTTTGACTTAGTATTGTGAACTGCCCTCCTTGATTCTCTCCAGATGCTGCTGCCAGGGAGACAAAAAACTTCTGTTTTCAAGCTATCGGATTACTTGCGCAGCGCCTTCCCCATCTCTTTAGGTATTTGTTTGATTTTATAATTTCTTGTCGTTCCCTCATTTTGTGGCTGAATATGCTGACCACTTTGATAACTGCAGAGATAAAGTTGACATGGCTGTTAGACTTTTTGATGCACTGAAAATGGAATCGCAGTCTCTACGTCTTGTGATCCAAGAAGCGACTAATTCTCTGGCAGCTGCATATAAGGTAGACCTCGCCGCCTTCTACGGCTGGATGGGTTCTTTCCCTTTCCTATCTTTCTCACTTGTAATTGCTGTTTAATAGCCTGTCTATGTCTTCATGGTCCTGGCTTCGGTGTGCTAATTTTTGTGTGGAGTTTGCAAAGGCGACTTAAAATATGAATATTATCCTGTTCAGACTCTGCAGTTTCGTCTTCTGATTCATTTGTAGTTTTTTCTTTCTTTGGTAATCAATATTTTTTAGTAGTGTTCTCAATTGTCAATTTTTTTGGTAATAATTTATTCCTATACGAACCTTAGATACTATGGGTTAGGGATCTCAAGTGGCGACGGGGTTTCCTTAGATTACACCAGAAACTATTGACTGCATGTGGTGCTCAATATTTATTGTTAATTAGGATTCTTTTTGTATGTATATCAGGGGGCATCAACTACGGTGCTGGTGGAATTGGAGACACTTCTGCAGAACAATTGTCAAGCGGTACTTCAAATTGGTTGAACTGTTAATGCTGATCATTTGGTGCTCTATAGTCTTAGAACTCCCTCTTCACTCTGATTTTGATCTGTGATCCATCTCTCTCTGTTGTGGTATAAATATTGCTGCGGCTACCAGGAACAAGACGAAGTGCGTTTCTGTGCGATGAGATGGGCGACATCGTTGTTTGATTTGCAGCATTATCCCAGTCGATTTATTTGTATGCTTGGCGTAGCCGACTCTCGGTTGGACATTAGGTATGTTTTTTTTTCAGTATCTGATTGTTTCTCTTGAGTTGCTTTAATGTACAACTTTCCTGCATTTTGCATGCACCTCATTGACTTGACTTGACTGTAATCTTTAGTGTTTCATCTGTCTCATGATGCGAAGACGCTTTTTCAGTTTTGGACAACGGAATAAAGATTAATGGCTAATCCTCACCTGTTCTGAACTACAGAAATTAAAACGTGGTTATACTTAGTTAAGTCAAACAATTTGGGCATGTATTTTTTCTTCCATGTGGAAGTGTTTATGTGATATAAATCAACAGGGACATTGATTAGAAAGTATTTCCGAGTAATACAGCTGATTGTTATAGGTTTAGATTCCTGACTTTCTTGAGCACTATGGAATCCATCTTGCCTTTTAAATGCTTGGGAGGCTGTGTAACCCTTTACGTCTTCTTGCATTTCTCATTTCCTTTTAGGTATGATGTTTTGGTACTGATGGCATCTGGGAAGTGCATTGTGTTGACCTGTGCGATTCAAATGACAAAATTTATGCTAATGAATTTCCTTAGATCTGACTTATGTTTATCTATATTTGGCAAGTTTATCTCACATTAGATGTGCATTGTTATGCTGTCTGCCTGTTTAAGCTAACTGGACTAGGAAATGCGGGAAAAGTAGTTGAGATTCTGACTGTTAATCAGAACTGTTAGGCTTGTCCGGGTTCAATTTCTAGATTCTAAATTGATGTGTGATTAGTCCTCTTTTGTATTTCTTTTGTTTTTCTTCTCAAGTTCTATTATGAATTTCTTTATTGTTTATGCGGCTTCAGTTTGCACAAAATTTTCTGTTTATTGTTAGATCAAACTTTATCTGAACTTCCAACTAGTTTGCAACTGTGCCAAAGATGGGTCAGATTTCTGATTTGGTTGCATCCTTTTTTGATTTAATAAAAGTTTCTTTATCACATCTGTATGTTTGGTTGCTTATTCTATAGTGTAATCCCTATACGTTAAAGATTCTGCACTAGCTCTTAAACACCAGGTTTTTTCATTGTTATTATTCGGAACTTTGCATACTAAGCCATTTTCTGTTTCTTTTTCCAAAAATGATCACAAGGGAGTTGGCCCTTGAAAGCCTCTTTCCAGTCAAAGATGAAGGCCATGCTATTAGTCAAGATCTTGAGATAAAGTACCCAAGAGTTGAAGGCATGTTGGATTATATTTGTAAGCAACAGCCAAAGTTGTTGGATTCAAGCGATATGGGACATAACCTTCTTTTTCCTTCTGGAACGTTTGTCGCCATGATCAAATTTCTATTGAAGTGCTTTGAGTCAGAGTTGAAGCTAGACAGCTCTTTAGGTCGATCATCTGAGTTTCTTTCTTCAGTAGAGAAACTGTGTACACTGTTAGAGCATGGAATGGCATATGAGGGTTCCGTTGAGTTGCATGCTACAGCCTCAAAGACTATAGTAACAGTCAGTTCTTTTCTTCCACAGGTAAGCTTTTTTGAGAAACAAATTGGTTTCTGCTTTATTTTCTGAGGGCAGCCTACTGTTGCTTTACCCGAAAACAATTTGTGACTTTGCTACTTGCCTTCTAATTTATAATAGTATTGGTAGAAACCTTTATCTTTTGTTGAATCAGGCTTATGGTGTATATTTATCGTTCTTATTTGTTTTAGGCATTATTTACACTTAAAAGAAAAATCACTTTATCACGTCTTTGGAACTTTTCAGATGATGGCTTTACGGTATGCTCATAGAATATCATGGCTAAGACAGTTCCTGAGTCACATAGACCTAGATACCCGCGAATCTGTGGCTCGACTTCTTGGGATAGCTTCCTCAGCTCTTCCCATTGGCACATCATCTGATCTTATTCAAGAGTTGCTTTCCTCAATTAGCAAATCTAATAATATGAGGTTTCCAGCTTGTCTCTGTTTGACCTGCTAATTTTTCTCTGGGGATTGAGGGGAGCTTCTGATTCCTTATTTGCATGATTGCCTTTTCCAGGTTTGAGGTTCAGCATGGAACATTATCTGCATTGGGATATGTCACTGCAGATTGTGCATCTAGAATACCTACGGTACATTGCTATCTTATCTTAAATCTTAAAACATTTTGAGAAAATGGCCTTGGCCACGTAAGCTCTCCTGCATTTTGCTTGATCCACGTCAGATGTGGTGGTTAATTTTTTTTCCCCCACTTAATGAACGGTGGTTATCTATTATTCTTATGCACTGTGGTTTTCTTTTTTTCTTTTTTCTTTTTGTATTCAAAAGTTTAATTTCTTACTTTCAAAACAAGATGTAATTTTTTCGGATGAATCCCCACATTCTTTAAAGCCCATCCTTTTCTTTTTTAACCGATTAGAAACAAATTAAAATTTCTGATCATTGTTTGTACCAGTTTTGTAGTGCAATGTTGTAAAAGCATGAACCACTTGAATTTTCGTAACAAAAACGTTATTATAAAAGCACATTAAATTATGTTCATAGATTAGGACGAGGTGATTCTTTCATCCCTAAATTCAACTGATGAATGAATTATTGGATCTTCTTTACAATAAACTACAGAAAAATATTGTTATAATCAAAGATTGAAAAACCATACCGTACCGATGGTTCAATTTGAAAAATTTCTTATCAAATTTTAGACCGATGGCGATAAGCGGTATTTAGCAGTATGAAATGATTGCCATGGTTAAACCCCAATTTCAATATAAATACCATGCTGCTGACTTTTCTAATACAACCTCCGACACAATATTACAATAATTGGTTATAACAAAAAATAAAATTTATATGATACTATCATCAAATTAGAAAATTAGAAAAATATAAAATATGGATTACCTGCCCAAAGGGCAGGGCCAAAGCTAGTTCGTTCAATCTATCTTTTTGAGCTGAAGAAAATATGCCAAGCCCACCTATCAGAACTGCTAAAGTCCCACTTGTTTTTTTTTTGCCTTGTTCCACTGATAGCCATGGGACTTTGGGTACGCAGAATTCTGCAGCCATTTGTTGGGAGTTCTTTCTGAAAGGAAACATGGTTTTTGCATTCTAGGTAAACAAGTATAAGACTAGGAAATGACTAAATGTAGGTCCTATCAATTGTCCAGGGCAGTTGTCTGGAAAGATAACTATAAGACCAGGAAAATGCTCCATATGATTGATTTCTCAGAGCATGAGGATGTGGCATGTAGTGAATTGTGAAGTGTTGGCCATCAGTGAAAAGATTGTAATTTCTATCTCTCCCTAAAACGTTTTGTTAGGCTGAAGTTATCTTACAGGTGTAGCTTATCAATTACTCTGCTGCTAGTCTGATTGGCCCTGCAGTGTACCACTGGTCTTGTAGATTTGAGGATGGTGTTGTTTCCTTTCTTGGTATATTATGACTGCAAGATAATATTATATTTGAGTTATTGGTTCTAAATTGGATATCAACGTATAGGAGAAACACCTTATGGACAGGTCTGGGTTGGTATTATCCAACTTCTGACATGTTGCAGGACCCTGGTTGAACCACTCAGGGAATGATTACCATTTACCAGTATCAAATATCATTAATCAAGACTGGAATTCTGAAGAATATGATATGTTTTCCTTAGTTTCCTGCTGTATCTTGCATTTTCAATATGTGAACACAGCCGTCTAGTATCACATGGTTGACATAATTATGTGGATTCTCGAATACCTCACATCTACGTAGATTGAGACTTAACTTGGTTCAGGTATCCACATTATTTCCAATCATTTGTATTTGTTTGCATCGGCCCTGGGATTCTATTTCTGTACAGCTGATAATGGTACATATATCCAACATACGCTCCAAAACCTTGGATGCACTGCCTTCGAATCTTTGCTGTTAGCTTAGATAGCATATGTGCAGTATCTTTGTTTCCATTGTTTTCCAATCTTTGCTGTTAGCTTAGATAGCATATGTTCAGTCTCTCTGTTTCCATTGTTTTCCCTTCTGTAGAGGAGTATAATCCAGCTAAACTTGAGCATTCATTATTCGGGTCTGTCTCATGTGGTATATAGATTGAGGAGTCAAGGCTTCAGGATGTACTCAGATACCTGACGAGTGTTGCCAACTCTGAGAGCCCAGTTTTGGCCTCTATTGCAGTGCAAGCTCTTGGTCATATTGGATTACGGATACCCTTACCACCAATTCCTGATAATAACCGTTCAGGTGGCTTTGTTGACTTAAACTGCTTTTATTGACTTCCACTCTCAAGTATAATCCGATAACATTCTCTCTCTGTAAAATACCTGCAGCTCATGTTCTTGAACTATTGCATGAGAAGCTGAGCAAGCTGCTTTCTGGTGACGATACAAAAGCAATCCAGAAAGTTGTTATCTCCCTCGGACATATGTGTATGAAGGAAACATCACCGCCGACTCTTAATCTCGCGCTTGAATTGATGTTTAAACTATGTCGGTGCAAGGTGTGTAGAAACATACCCTTGTACATACAGCTTCATGATAACATCTGGGGTATTAGTTTTTGAAATGCTTCTATGACTTATAATATGATTTTCGGATTACTTTCCCCTCCTTTTGTTTGTCTGATATGCCAGATGCATCTTGTTTATTATTCATAAAAAGAGTATTCATTGAATGTATAGGAAACAAAATATTGTTTATGTAGAACCTTAATGTGATTTATATTTTATTTTCTGGCGAGAAAGAGTTCTTGCTCTTATGTGACGCACTTCAATATGAGTGCCATTCGTGTAATTGTAGAGAATTGCAAAATCTGTTCCATAGGAATAAATATTTTCCTCAATGCAACAGATTTTCATTTTTGGTTTCTGGATAATCGTAAAGGTACTTGATACTCTACTTGTTTTTCAGGTTGAGGATGTCTTGTTTGCTGCCGGGGAGGCTTTGTCATTTCTGTGGGGTGGTGTCCCTGTCACAGCTGATGTGATTCTTAAAACAAACTACTCTTCTCTTTCCACAAGTTCAAACTTTCTTCTGGCAGATATTAGCTCATCTTTTCCAGATCATGACACTTGTTCGAGAATCGAAGATAACGAGGATTATCATGTCACAGTCAGAGATGCAATTGCTAAACAGCTCTTCAATGTGCTTTTATATAGCAGCAGGAAAGAAGAGCGCTGTGCTGGAACTGTGTGGCTGCTGTCACTGACTATGTATTGTGGCCATCACCCTGTCATTCAACAGATGCTTCCTCAAATTCAGGTTGATCCTTTGTCACTTGTGTATGTGCTGTCTTCGTCCTGTGCCCCCACCACTCTTCCTTCTTCTCCCTTGTTTTCTTTGTCTCAATCTGTTTGTATTAGTTTCATGTCAACTCTCATTCTCAGTTTCCAAAATTATACCTGGAGTAATGTGCCATTTGTAGGAAACAAAGCTGTGCTAGATTTCTGCGTATCGAGTTTTCCTTTAAGTTAACATGCCATTACTGTTTTGAAAAATGGTTTGACAAGAATGATGTGGCACTTTATCTGTAGGCCTGCTTAGGTGCTATCAGAAACAGACATAGTAGACCACTGCTATATACTTGATTAGGTCATAAGAAACAACTAGACAAAACGTGGGATCAATTTTCAGGCCAACCTCACGTTCAAAATGTTCTTAAGAATTCTTGGTGTGCTAGACGAATTGCCTCACATGGCTGCTGACAACGTCCAAAATGTCTTTCAGGAAGCATTTTCTTACTTACTTGGTGAACAACATGAACTAACACAAGACTTGGCATCTCAAGGAATGAGCGTCGTATATGATCTTGGTGATGCATCGATGAAGAAGAATTTGGTAGCTGCACTAGTTAGCACTTTGACTGGTTCGGGGAAGAGGAAAAGAGCCATCAAGGTAGAAACTAGAAAGTTGTGCTATTCTTGGCATTTCTGCTACAGTTTGTGTTTGACTACGAAGCTTTTGATCTGCAGCTGGAAGGAGATACTGAAATTTTTCATGAGGGAACTATCGGTGAAAGTCCTACTGGGGGGAAACTTAGCACTTACAAGGAGCTTTGCAGTCTTGCAACTGAGATGGGCCAACCAGACTTGGTTTATAAGTTCATGGATCTTGCTAATCATCAAGCATCCCTAAACTCTAAAAGGGGGGCTGCTTTTGGATTCTCGAAGATAGCCAAGCAAGCTGGGGATGCTCTCCAACCCCATTTACGATTACTAGTCCCAAGGCTGATTAGATATCAGTATGATCCTGATAAAAACGTGCAGGTACAAATCATTGAAGTACTGGCGTATTACTATGTTAAAGTATTATGTTTCTTAGCAAATACCAGCTGTTGTTATTGTCTTTATAATTGATGATTCAAGCAAGGCGACCCCTGCACGTGTCGCTGTGCTGTTGCTCTTTCAACCGTTTGCAGAAAGTAAAGTTACTTAAGTTTCACACTTGAGGATCATGGTTCCTTCTTCCTTATATCTGATCTGGTGTCTCTTACACCGTTCTTTTGTTTAAACGTTTTCACTTGGTCTATTCGAATGGTCCTGAATTACTTTGCTAATAACATATCTGTAAATTGATTATTATTCTGCTTATGATTTCGGCTAACTACATTGTTTGATAACAATTGTAGGATGCTATGGCACACATATGGAAGTCACTGGTGGCTGAACCGAAGGTAACCATTGATCAACATCTGGACCTTATTTTTGACGATTTGATAAGTCAGAGCGGATCTAGGCTTTGGCGTTCACGTGAGGCCTCCTGTCACGCCCTTGCAGATATTATCCAAGGGCGGCCATACAGTCAGGTAAGGCCTTATCTATAATTCTTTTTGAAGTTGATGTGTTTCACCTTTTACTATTCTTCCCTACTTGTTCCAACTGCTTAATTTGAGTGACAATTTGCTTAAAAAATTTAAGACTCTACAATATATATTCAGGACATGTTTTATGTTCTATGGGGAGGTTTACCCGTGTTTCTTCTGAAACTGCTCAAATTTTTAGTCCGGTCTTCCAATATTTCTTGATCAAGCTTATTATTATTGTTTCATTATGGTGATTGCCTTATTGTTCATTTCCTTCTAACACAGGTAGGCAAGCATTTGAAGGAAATATGGACAGTAGCATTTCGTACCATGGATGACATAAAAGAGACTGTACGAAATGCTGGGGACAAGTTATGTCGTGTTGCAACTACGTTGACTTTGAGGCTATGTGACATTTCCCTCACTGAAATATCAAATGCCAGCAAAGCAATGGAAACCGTTCTACCTTTGTTGCTCACCGAAGGCATGCTAAGTAAAGTTGATAGCGTCAGAAAGGCTTCAATTGGAGTTGTTATGAAGCTTGCAAAGGTCTAATCTCCATTTTCTTTTGTTTTGTCAAAATTCAAGACAATATACATTTTGAGAGCACTGACATCGATTAATTCTGTCTGCTTTCCAGCTTGGTTAATTTTACTCTTCCGTTTCAACTTGTCTGATTGTATCCAAGTGATAAATATGTACATCTTCCTCATGGATGAAATATATATACGTCTGATATTATCATGGTTTCTTGATATGATTGTATCTCTTTTGCAGGGTGCAGGCGTTGCACTTCGTCCACATCTGCCTGATTTAGTTTGCTGCATGCTGGAAAGTTTGTCTAGTCTTGAGGACCAAGGTCTCAATTATGTTGAGGTTTGTACCACTTCTTGTGCTTCTTAGAAAGTTTCTGATTCATATCCTGTGTACTTGGTATATATTTACTTTCTCCCCTTTTCCAGCTTCATGCCGCTAATGTTGGAATCCAGACAGAAAAACTGGAGAGTTTGCGAATTTCAATAGCAAGAAGCTCCCCTATGTGGGAAACTCTAGATCTCTGCATTAACGTTTTGAATGCAGAGTCATTAGATCTTTTAGTGCGACGTGTTGCTCATTTGGTCAGATCAGGGGTTGGCCTCAATACTAGGTGGGTTAAATGAAGTTCATAAGTTCTGTACATGTCATTTGGTTGGGTGTATGTGGGGCATATTTTCCAATAGCATGGCATTGTACATGTATCTAGTCTATGAATGTTGTTGATGCAGTTGATTATATTTCAAAAAGTACAGTTAATTTTTAATGTACCGAAAGAAATTGAGCTGACAGACATGGCAGGTCGGAATTGAACAGATGCCCCCCACCACCACTACTTAAGTAATATATACTCTTTAGTTATTTTTTGATCGATGAAAGTACCATCAATAATTCTGATACTTTGTCTGCAGGGTTGGTGTAGCCAACTTCATCAGCCTATTAGTTCCCAAAGTTGGTGCAGAGATAAAGCCATTCACGGGCATGTTATTGAGGCCGTTATTTCCAGCTGTTCAGGCGGAGAGAAGCGTTGCTGCAAAGCGTGCATTTGCAAATGCTTGTGCTGCTGTTTTGAAACATTCAGGTTCTTCTGAGGCCCAAAAGTTAATTGAAGACACAGTTGCTTTGCATGTTGGTGATAAAAATGCACAAATCTCTTGTGCTGTTCTGTTGAAGAGCTTTTTGTCTGGGGCATCTGATGTTATGAGTGGATACCATGCAACTGTGGTTCCTATCATTTTCATTTCAAGGTAATTGATATTCATACTTTCAAGGCCTTGAAGGTGTATAGATTCTTTTGCTTCAACTTTATATAGACACATTCCGCAAGCTATAGTTCTACTGGTAATGTGGCGGTCAAAACATTTTTAGCCGAACTCGAACCTTGGGGCTAATTGTATATATTTAAGGAACGCGGACATGTTAACCTTTGCGCATTCCTTCATTTTCCCGTTCTGGTAGCCGGTAGGTTGACAAGTTTATAGTTTTCATAAATCATAATAACAGAATTCAGTATCTGTTGACTTACTGCTCTTGGCATTTAAATGACCTTCTTGATCTTTTTTTGTTGTTGTAATTGTCCTAGTTTAATGATCAAGCAATTATGTTCTCGTCCATTTCCTTATCAAAAGGGGGGGAAAAGAAGAAATTCTTATGCTATTTATGACTATCCAGATTTGAGGACGACAAGCAGATTTCTGGAATATATGAGGAATTGTGGGAGGACACCACTAGTGGGGAACGTGTAACCCTCCAACTGTATTTGGAAGAGATCCTTTCTCTTGTCAGTGAGGGGCTTGTATCATCATCATGGTCAAGTAAACGAAAGGTAATTTCTATATTTGTTCAGTTATCCTTGCAGTTATTTTTTGCGACTTCTTAATGTTACTTTGATATACAATTGTTGTTGGTTATGCAGTCTGCCCAAGCAATTGTGAAGCTTACTGAAGTCTTGGGTGAATTATTGTCTTCTCATCAACGCATTCTACTTGAATCTCTTATGAAAGAGCTTCCTGGTCGTATCTGGGAGGTATAATCTAATCTTAATAGCTTGTTTTTTTTGCTCTAAAGAAAAGAAGCTGTTCTCTGTGCTGTGCATGTGGTCATATGAATAACGTTCTCTATTGGTTAGTTAGTGTTCATAGTCCTTTGACATATTATTATATGAGTGAATGTACCTGTAGATGATTACATAAGCGTGATACTTTGCTTTAATGGCTCTATGTTACCTAACAGGGGAAGGATGCTCTTCTGGATGCCCTTGGTGCACTTTGTACCTCTTGCCACAATGCAATTTCCTCTGAAAATCCCGCGACAGCAAATGACATTCTTCTTATTGTATCTTCTGCATGCACTAAAAAATCGAAGAAATATCGTGAAGCTGCATTCTCGTCACTTGACCAGGTACCTTATAATATTCCTGCAGCAAATTTCACTGAAGTTCTTTATTTCTTTAGACACAGTAGTGCTTGGGGACCCTCAACATGTTTAGCATGTGGGGATCTTCTGGGATTTAACTTTAGCTGTGTAGATTTTATACATATTTGGGATGTGGACGACTCCTTATCTTAACTATTCGTTCTTTTATGAAGATTGTTCATAAACACATTTATCAGCTATGTATTTTATCCCTTTCTAGTAGTTAGTCCAAATCCATCCAAATATGTAATTAGTGGGGTTCCCTCATCCCTGGTTAACACATCCTTGTTGACTCACTTGCCTAGTATTCTGGACATTCCTTTCCCCCCTTCAATCCTACTCCCAAGACCCTCCTTCCCTGTCATTACCTATGGACTCACTTTGTTTCTTGCAGCTTAACTAGACTAGATTGATTTGAAAGAAAAAGAGGATTCCAGCATGCCATGCGAGTCGCAAGGGTGCGGTAACCAAGGACGAGTGCACTTCAGTTTTGGATAAAAAATTTAATTGGGGGATTAAGTGGATGAAGGACTTGGTTTATGAATTTGTTAGGAATCATAGTAATCGAACATCTTAGTAAAAATTTTGAACGGCATAGGATGAATGCAAACAACAAAATTAACTCAGCTTTTCTTGACTACAGTCAGAATCTGTTAGAAACCTATTTCTAGGGTTCTAACGATCGAGTGATAAGATTGGGAATTGATAGATATTTAGGGATTGAGATAGAATTGGGGAAGAATAGAATTGGAGATTAGGGATTTAGAAGAGGAAATTGGGGATCGAGGAGAAGAATGGCCGACGGCCTAGGGATAGGTGACGAATTTGAGAGAGATTAGAGTTTGAGATACTTTTCTTAATAATTGTTCTTGCTTCATTAGGAATAAAACGCAAAGTACATATTTATAACGAAAGATAGAAAAACCTAATACTAAACCTAATTCTACTTAAAGACTACTAACCATATTTAATAAAACCTAATAATAATGATAATATAGAAACTCGTTTTCCTTAGAAAACGTGTTTCTAACATCCCATCCCCCTTGAGACCAACCTTGCCCTCAAGGTTGATCAGTTTGACCCATTTCTTCAAGTCTACCGTGCAATCCACGTTTTGCCTCCTCCATTCTTGCGCTTTCTTTTCTTCCAATCGTGCTCCACTACTCGAACGTATCCCACGCCAACAACTCCGACTCAAACGAATTCTTCCTTATCCACGTGGCTAGCGTCGTAGCCATAGCCTAATGACTGTGCACCCCCCTTTCCAAAATCCACAAAGTAAGTATCAGAGTGCTCATCTAAGCCCATAAATCCTACTTTCTTCATATTCAAGCCCACACTATGTAAAAGAGATTCCATAGGGCTTATATGAGGCCCATCTTCATCATTCAGTCCCTCTGCTTGTCTGTGTGTACGCAGCCGAGGGCCCGTTCGTGCTAGCCCGCCCCGCCGATCTGTTCGGCCCAAGAACTCGAGCGTGGCCCGCCCGACTCGTTGCTGCCGCTGCTGCTCCACGACCCGGATTACTGCCCTAGGGTTCTCATGAAGAAGACTGTCGTCCTCCTTCTTGGTTGCCTCCCTCACCATCTTCGACCCAATTTTCGCCGTCACGAACTCTTGCTGGCGGTTAGAAGTTGACCGGGATTCCGGCCTTCTCGACTTCCTCTCCATGCCGTTCGACACGAGACCCGACGCCGCCAGCAGTTGCATGCCCGTCCCCGTCGCGTCGGTTCCCAGCTCCGCCTTCCTAACCTTCGTCGCCGCGACTGGAACTGCCGGCGACCGCGGAGCCCCTTCTCCCTTCGCGACTGGCGACCGGATCCCCCAGCTGGGTTCCTGAATAGCCCAAGAAGAGGCGATGTCGCCGCCTTTCTCCTTCATCGCCGGTTCCGTGTCGCTCCCTCCGACAGTGACTTCCACCGCTTCGTCGGCCTCGGCCGGCGTTGGTGGTCGCTCGCCGTCGGCGATTCGGGTCACCGTCTCTGCTTGCACGGTCGGCGACTCTTCGGAGCTCCAACGGCGTCTGATGCGGCGAGCCCGGTCACGCAGCTCTGCCCACGACAGGTTCGAGAGCTTTGAAGAGCTCATCGTCAAACAAATTGTAGAACTCGTCCCCGGTTGAGAGTTGTGAAAAACTCAATTCTCGAAACCGGGCTCTGATACCAAATGTTAGAAACCTATTTCTAGGGTTCTAACGATCGAGTGATAAGATTGGGAATTGATAGATATTTAGGGATTGAGATAGAATTGGGGAAGAACAGAATTGGAGATTAGGGATTTAGAAGAGGAAATTGGGGATCGAGGAGAAGAATGGCCGACGGCCTAGGGATAGGTGACAAATTTGAGAGAGATTAGAGTTTGAGATACTTTTCTGAATAATTGTTCTTGCTTCATTATGAATAAAACGCAAAGTACATATTTATAACGAAAGATAGAAAAACCTAATACTAAACCTAATTCTACTAAAAGACTACTAACCATATTTAATAAAACCTAATAATAATGATAATATAGAAACTCGTTTTCCTTAGAAAACGTGTTTCTAACAGAATCAAACCCGTTCGACTAGGTTTCCGTTAGTTTTAATCTTTAGCGAATTAGAACACACTGTAAAATGTGATCATAGATCCAGTTTAAATTCATTTTAGAAATTTCGTTACCATCATCTTCCATCAAGCCTTTCACCTTTCAGATTTTACTTTGAAGCTAATTAGTATAAATTATGCTGTGATCTGTTTGGCCCAAAATGGATTTTCAACGACCTAGAATAAATTAGAAACACAAGAATCTTGTGTCCTATGTGGAACTAAATGTGTAGTTCACTGGCCTATGACCAGGTGAAACTTAACCTAATTAAGAATCCAAATGCAACCTAAATGTAAAATTTAGTGGCCTAGGTGAAACTGAAAAGAGACTCTAATTTGTGAAAAATCAACAAGAGACTTTCCTGACCTAAATGCAGTCAGAGTACTAAAGTGATTTCTTAAGCAATTTATCTGTGATTTTTATGATGTTGGAGTTGTGGCTCTTTACTTCATGGAACTGTTGATTTAAGTTGTATCATCAGGAAGCATTTGAAACCTCTTCTTTTCTGTGATTTCAGGTCATAAAAGCCTTTGGTTATCCAGAGTTCTTCAATGTCATTTTCCCGATATTGTCTGGGATGTGCAGCTCAGCTGCTGTCAATAAATCAGCTCCTCCACCTAAGATAAATCAGGCTGCTAAAGCAGGTTTTTCTACTAGCCTGGGTTTTCGTTCTCAACAGAGCACAATATCACATCACTACCTTTGACGATTTTTTATTAGCATAAGGTTGCATTTGGAAGTTGATAGTTTTAGAACTCAATATAAGCATGGACCGAGTCTGAGTTATAGCGTTCAGACAACAGTTGATGATTACTGGACGACTAGTTGTGCCTTTCGAGTTCATTGGTGGGAAGAAGGAAAATCATTCTGAATTTATTTTATAACTTCATTATATCTCAAGCTCGGTATTCTGAATTCATTGTGAAATAGGTGTTTTTAAACTCAAATATTCTCTTGGGTTAGAGTGAATAGGTGTTTAAAAATTTATGTCGAAGGAGTATTTGTGTTTTAGGCTTTTAGCCTTCAAATAAACCTTTTCATTTACGCCACTTAATCTTTTAGTAAAAACAAACACATCTTTTTATCTGATCAAGTATTTCCCTGCATGCAGAGCCAGCTGACGATGAGGAGTCCAATGCTCCAGTGGAAAAAGTCCTGAGTTGCATCATGTCTGCCGTTCACGTTGCAAAGGTTGACGATATTCTTCAACACAGAGAGAATTTGATGCAAGTGCTCTTGGTTTCCTTTGCACCGGGGTTTCAGTGGATAGGTATCTTATAAACACTGCTCTGCTCCCTCGCATACGTTCGCTTAGTCCTGTTCTTGTTTCTCTTACTATTTTGTTGTTATGGCAGTTAAAATGGCGGCATATTCACTAGTGAAGGAATTATGCTCAAGGTTCGACAGCATCTTAAATGAGAACTCTGGCCATCCATCTCAGCACGACAGCATCACCTCATTGATTCAGGAGGTAGTTTCCAATTCCATCCCATGGTGCTTTTGTTCAATCATCGACGATGTCCTTGTGAAACTTGACTAACTGCTTTATCCCTCCCCCCCATCCCACAGCTGTTTGTTTCCTTATCACCAAAGGTAGTTGAATCAATAGCTACTGTAAAGATTGGTCAGGTACTCACTCCATGAATGCTTTCTCGTTTAATTTCTACGGATTTCAAAGAGGTGGCATCTTGTCCCTTTCATCAGGGCATATGAAATATAGCTAACAATGGAGTTGTTTTGTGGCCTTTGGTTTCTCTTTTCGAAGGTTCACATTGCTGCATCGGAGTGCCTCGTGGAGATCGGGAAACTGGCCTGCCGTGTTTCTGCGTTGCAGTGGGCGGATGTTGGGTATAAAGAAGAGCTGCTTCATCTGTACGAGGTTGAAAAGAACCAGGAAGCCAAGTCGCACCTGAAGAAATTCATGGCCATGTTTCAATAGTTGCTCTCTTTCCGCCTTGTTTTTACTTAGCTCGGAACAGTAACTGGAGAAACCCTTTTGGTAATCACACCATATGATAGAACGAATAATACATCATTCTTACTAAAATGCATACATTGTCCATAAACGAAGTAAGGATCAAGTGGCAAAATAGCTCTTTAGTTACAAACTAGTGTCAGCCTGTTTACGGGTGGAAATGGTTTTATGGTCCTTATCCAACTGAGTTTCTGGACACAACATACAAGAATTCAGGCATATTTTAAACTCATACCCTTGTCATTGGTTCCTTTATCGGAGGTTGTACAGGAAAAATCAGTTGTAGCATATTTGAACTTTGATAGAAGGTTTATCGATTGGATTATTGGTATGATATTGTTTTTCAGACCTTGCTTAAAAGTGGGTTAGTAAGTTTAATTGGGAGTGTGTAATTCACAATTGAACCGAACGTATCCTGATTCCTTAGCGTTTTTGGTACATTTGAGTGTAATTATAATTCTACAAACAATTTTAATGACAAAAAAAATCAAATGCTTTGAGAAGTAGAAAGTATTATCGATAAAAGTAGGGCTTACCCGAAATTCTTTTTTACTTTCCTAACGCATTTTTTTTTTGTCAATGAACTAAATCGAACAGAGATTTTACAAATAAGTTTGACATAATTTGTAACAAATTATATTAACTTACAATTACTCCTAACGCAACACAACTATATTTCAAAATTTGTTCTTTGAATTAATTGGTACTTTCGGTGTATATTGTATACTCACTCCATATTAGAGTAATATTTCTTCTCTTAAACTGGACTGAAAGAGAAATGAAAGTGTATAAATAATCATGTAATACTTAATGAAAACAGATGAAAATATTACGTTAGCAGTATGAAAGTGTACATGTAGTACCTACTAATAACTCTTGTTCTTTATACATCTATCTATTTTCTTCTTTCTCGTGGAGAAGTGCATAAAGTTTACTTTTTCTGTGCATAAAAGTATGGAATTTGCTACGATGACATGCATGTTACCGTGACATAGATTTTTCGGTCGACGTAATATTGAAGGAGGTTGACCGAATTGACTAATTCAGTTATGTGAGCTTCAGAGACGCTGTCGACCGTCTGTATAAAATGGTCGACCTCTTTGGGATCGAACATAATGAAAGGTCGACCCAAATACCTCATAGGCCGACCCTTTTGCACCTAATAGGTCGACCACATTAGTACGAGGTTGACCGCATGCACACCGTATCCGTATTGGATAAGGATTCCAACACCAGAAAGGTTCCACAATTGGACAAGAAAACGAATTGGGTCGACCCATTCACGTCCTAAAGCTCTATAAATACGAATATAAGTCCCCTTCAACGCCACCAAAAGTCTGAATAAGTTTTTTTTCCCTTCTGAATTAGAGCCTTTGTGAAGAAGATCGTTCGCGGTTGCTGTTGTACGTGTTGAAAGTGGTCGACCATGTCGAAGGTGAGGTCGACCTAATGTAGCATTCACCGTCATCTTCTCAAATGCGTGATTTCCACCGTCTAATTTGATATATTGTTGCGTGCAGAATACCATTCGGTCGACCTTTATCTCAACCAGGTTGACCTGACGAGACAATTGTTCGGAATTGAATTTAGGGCACAACACTTGGACTTTTGTACTTGCGAGGTAACGAAATCAACCCAATAGGTCGACCTAATGTGTTTCAAGGTCGACCGTTTCTGTTTGTTTTGGTTGTTCAACCTGAATGTCGACTTTGGCTTTGTTTGTATGATTATGTTGTGCTTCAAAAGGTCGACCGCTCAAGCTATCTAGTCGACCTATCCGTTTTCGGTTTAATATTACACTTGCTTTTGTTGGTGAATTGTTATTTTCCTGCTGGATAGGTCGACCTAGGAAGATCAGAGGTCGACCTTAAAGGTTCTGGTAGTCAAAATTTGTCTTCCAGGTCGACTATAGAAATTTGAAGTTGAATTATGATTTGAATTTTTCTTTAAATTGTTTAGACGATGACGCATGTTGAGAGACTACATCACCATTTGGGTGAACTCATGAAAGTGTTGAAAGTCACACAAGAGCAGCTGGTGGTGTGTCAAAAACAAGTCAATGACTATCAGAAGTCCATTCGTGATAGAGTGGAGCAATTGTCAGTTCGATTGACAGATATGACTGGGATGTTGTGCACTCCACATTTTAAGCGTTTGGGCCTATTCATTCTCATTTTTTATTCACCGAGGTCGACCTATGATGTTTCTGAGGTCGACCTATGACGGCAAAAATACGAGTTTTGGCCTTCTTCTTCGACTCATTTGTGCGAAACTAACTGAGGTCGACCTATGATTCTTTTGAGGTCGACCTATGATGTTGTTTACTCAAATTTTAATGGGTTTGGGTTGACCCATTCTCGTTATTAATTAACTGAGGTCGACCTATGATGTTTTGCACTCCAATTTTGGCCTTCTTCGACACATATTTGTGCTTGATTTCCTGAGTTCGACATATGGTGTGTATTAGGTCGACCTATGATGTTTTAGAGGTTGACCTAACGTTGTTTTGGTTTATCTATACGTGTTGTGTTTAGGTCGACCTGTTTATGGAGAGGTCGACCGAGTTTTTTTCATTTCGAAAATGTGACTAACGTGTATTCTCGCTCGTTTGATCGCAGGATGTTTGGCAGCAAAAAGAAAAGAAAGTCCCATAAAGTTGCTGCCTCAAGTTCGAAATGAGAAGATTTCAACCCCACTTTGTTCCAGACCAATGAGCAAAGTGACAACTTTGAAGAAAGGAGAATGCACAACCGCAAGGTGGCTCTTGGAAGGCCATTGACGACGGATGCGTTTTCTAATTTCGAGAATTACGGGTTTCTAGCACCATTTGTCAAACAAGAGTGACTGAAGGTGATATATCTGAATGCACCATACTAACCAAAAATGGTACAGTACTTCTACAACAACATCGTCTACCAGCGTAATGCAAATGGATCCATTCATGCATTTAAAACCTATGTGAATGGGGTGGAGATGCGCATCACCAAGAATGCGTTGGCACAAGTACTAGAGGCTCCAAAAGAGGGGAAGAGAATCAATTCTTACACTGCTTGGAATGAAACTCATTTCTCGAGAACCAAGCAAATCCAGACGGTATGTGGTCTTGCTGAAGAGGAATATGCTCAGGATCGCAGTAGGCCAACGAGTTACCACCTGACAGTTCAAGCCAGAGTTCTTCACCACATGCTTTCCTACAACATTCTGCCAAAGGGTGGACATCGGGAGGCAGTCACCTACTTCGACATGGAGCTCCTCACCAACCTACTGTTAGATGAGAAGGTGAACTTGCCATACTTGATATTTAACCACATGCTTACCGTTGCAGAGAGTTCAAACAGGAATCTCCCCTATGGGATGATCCTGACTTTTCTATTTGAGCATTTTCATGTGGATTTAAGTGGTGAGGTGGGGTTAAGAATCTCAAGACAGGAGTTCTATATAGTTTTATCTATGAAAAAGATGAGCTTTGACCTCCGTAATGGTGAGTATGTCCGAATAAACAATGCTCATGGTGCCCATGGTGGTGATGATGATGATGATCATGAGGATGATGATGGTGAGCATGGATGGCATGTACGAGTACATGGGTCAGATTTCCAGTCAGATGACTGGCATATACGACTACATGGGGCAAATGACCACCCAGATGAGCATAATGCAGGTGACCGTGAATGAGATGCGAGATGAGTGGCGATCTTTCAGCGGAAGATACATGCATCCCACCACATCCGACTACCATCATGCTAGCAACACCAATGAAGAAAATGTGGATGAGGGAGAGAGGGGACAGGAGTAGGAACTCGAAGATTTTAGATTGTGCGTTTTTATTGTTAAGTGGTCAAAACGATTGTTGATTGTTATTCTATGGTTTTAGTTTTTTTTTTTATGTGTGAACAATTATGATTTGTGTTTTATTGTATTTCTTGTTAGTTAGTTTAGGCATTATGTATGAAGTGATGAATCCTTGTTATCATTATTTATAGTTATGATGGTTTGAAACATAATTTGTACGAGCAAAAGAACCACACAAATCGACATACATAAGCAAAAAAGACACGGGGCATAGGTTGACTTTCTTGTATTCGGTCGACCTCGTACCGGATTAGGTCGACCTCGAAACCAACATTTGATATTCATTTTACGTCAAATGATGATTGGACAAATGGATAGAACACCTCTCTTCTATCTGGTCGACCTCTTTCTGTAAATGGTCGAACATGTTGTTAATGACCGCCATCAAGTGGGTGACCTATATACCTTTACGGTCGACCATGTTGTTTCTGACGCCAATGAAATGGCAGACCGAGGTTTTATTGTGGTCGACCAAAAATAACAACTTAAACTACGTACGGTTGACCAGATGATCTTTGAGGTCGACCGCGATGCTTTCTCGTGGTGCCCAAATTAGTCAATTCGGTCGACCGAAAAATCCATGTTACGTTACGGTGACATGCATGTCACCGTAGACATACTCTAAAAGTATTACCGTAACTCTTAGACTTTCGGATTCAATTTCTTTTTCAGAATTATTAGAGTAACATGATTATATAATATCACGTAAAATTCTTTTGTCATCTCCGTCGTCATTCAATTTTATAGATTACCTTCACTAAATTGATGTCCCCTAGTGGTAGGGGTGGACATTCGATTGGTTCGGTTCAAACCAAACCGAAATAATGTATACCGGGTTTTCGAGTTCCATCAAACCTCAAACCGAATTCGAACTGAATTATAATTCGGTTCGGTTTGGTTTTGTATGAAAAACCGAACTTGTGAGGTTAGCTTGTATTTTTTCTCCCCTAATGTAAACAATAAATATGCAATTAAATGCATCATCAATGATAAAATCAAACATTTCAACACATAAGTCATAAAACACTAACATAATTCAAATATTTAAGTCTCATAATAAGTACAAACATAAAAATCCACCATTTGAAACTTGCAATTATAGTAATTCGGAAAATCGGTTCGGAATTCGAAAATTCGGTTCGGTCGAAAGGACCTTGATTTCCGAAATATACCATTTTCTCTTCCGAATTCCGAACCGAATTAATGTTTTACCGAACCGTATGCCAACCCCTACCTAGATAATTTTTTTTGGTTGCTTTTTTGCATGCTTTCTCGATATTGGAAAAAGTTTAATCATATCATTTGGCCCTTATCCTCTAAATAACAGTAGTCTAGCAAACCTTTTAATTTGACCATAATGCTATAATCTGGATTTCGACTATATATGTAATGCACCATTATTCATGTTTAAATTGCTGATAAAGTGATAATATGTTTGGTAAATTTTCAGTTTTGACTGGGTTTTGACAGTCAACTCGGATTAAATAAGTAATTATGCAACCCGGAAAGCAACCTCTTCCTCCTCGCCGCCTGGTTCAGTTTCTACTGTGCGTGGTTCCGTTCTGGAAACAATAAAAAAAAATACGAAGACGAAAAACCCAATAATTGCACCACTCTTTCGTCTCTTCTTTGTTTGTTTCCTCAAAGACAAGTATCATCACTCTTCGCCGGGAGAGCTTCAGATATTCATCCTTCTCTCCGCGGGTTAGTTCCTTTGCGCATTTCTCTTTTCTTTCCGTCTCTTTCCCTCCCATTGCCGGTGCTGTATCTGTTCCTTGTCTGCTTCCGGATTTCCGCTTCTATTTCTGCTGTTCAATTCACAGTTCCCGCAGTTCTTAGGGTTCCTGAAGTTCAATTTTTTAAATTTGAAGGACTTGTGTGTGTGTGTGTGTGTGAATAAGTGCGATTTTCCCAGTGCATGCATCGTTTCTATTTTTACTTGGTTGGGTCTTTCGTCCTATTCAGTTCGTGCAGTGAACTGTATCTAGGATCATAGGGTATGTTGTTGTAGTTGCGGTTGGCCATTCAGTTCCTCTGCTCTATGGGAATTTTGATTGTTAAGGGTTCTCTTATGGCTCTAGGAAATATTCCAGTAATTAAGTGTTATGGGTTGGTAGTAGTAGCTCTTCTATGACGTTACTTAACTTCCAATTAGTGGTTTTACGGTTTGGGCTGTAGGATGAAGGTTGACATGGAGGTACCACTTAATGCTGCTGATCAGGTAAGTGTAAATTGTACTGGACTTGGACAAGTTGTTAGTTTATAATCTGCAATCAATTTGAAGTTTATCTTTTCTGATGGTATCTAAATCTACTTGGCAGGCTATTGACTTAATTGCTTCTGTTAGAGAGTTGCACGGGCTTGGTTTTCAGGAGATTAGTAAATTGTTAAGAGATGCTGAAAATTTCACCATTCATTTGAACATCGGAAATCTCATCATAAGGGTTGGCACAGTATCACTAAGACTATGTTCCTTCGTTCAGCTGTTGTATATGCAACTGATATTTATTTATTTATTCTTCTCCAGATTGACATGGAAAAGCTCGCTGCATTTCTTCCATTGCACCTTATTGCAGTGCTGTTGTCATCCCGTGGAGACGAGCGTGCCCTGAGATACTTACTGGGTGGTGTTCGGCTCTTGCATGTCTTGTGTGACCTAGCGCCGCGTCATAATAAACTTGAGCAGGTTGAATTTTAGTGATCCTCCACAGTGTTTTTCTTTTTCTCGTACCCTGTATTATAATTTTATCTACATGTATTTGTTTTTTTTTGTTAGGTATTTGATAGACGTTTTGCATTCTACTCTACTTAAATTTGTGCCGGTAGAGATGGGAAGAGGTTGCTTCTGACTAATGCTAAGTTTTCTATTTTTGTGAAATCATTTTGCAGATCTTGCTTGATGATGTGAAAGTATCTGAACAGCTGCTAGACCTGATCTTTTATTTACTAATCATAGTTAGCCGTCATAGAAAGGTAGATCCTTGTTTTCCTTGTCTAAGGTTTACTTCTCAATTGTCTACTGTAACAGAACTTGCTTTTGTGATCCAGGAGACACTTCATTCAAGTTCATCATCTCTTCTACATCCAGCAGTAGTAGCATCCAGCCTTTACCTATTGACGTGTTCAATATCGACACATTGGCAAGATCTTGTTCAAGTACTTCTTGCACACCCCAAGGTTTGATTCTGTCATGTAATTTTTATAGTCTGGCTTCAACTATTATGGAGAAACCGCATTTGGGTTACTGCGTTTCACCTTTGCGATTTCCTATTCTGTTTCCAGTAGTAATATTTCCCATTTTGTAACCAGCATTGTTTTGTTAGCTATTTCTTCCTTCTTCATTCAACAAATTATTATCAGTTCCTCGTTTCTTGCAAATCTGAGGCATATTAACCTCTGATATCTCTCTGTTGTATAGGTCAATGTATTTATGGATGCTGCTTTTGGAGCAGTTCGTGTAGCTGTTAGGTCTCTTCAGGGCAAGTTATCAGCTCAAATTACTAGCTTTCAGATGACATCAAATCCAACAGTTGAACAAACAGCTAACTTCCTCTGCCAACAATGCGAGGCTTCTGTACAGTTTCTTCATTCCTTGTGCCAACAGAAGTTGTTTAGAGAGCGTATTCTCAGGAACAAGGTTTGTGAATGTGCTGGATGTTGTATGGGTTGTGCTGACTTTACACATTAGAGTGTTGGTTTTAACTTACTAGCGCTTCTTCAGTGTTGGTGGTATTTCTTTACCATTGAAACTAGGAGATAGTCTGTGTGTTATGGCTATGTTTGTTTGATGTTATCTAAAATTTGGGTTGTAGTCTTGTAGATATGACTCAAACAAACATATTTAACTCTATATATAAAATTTTAGATGAAAATAATATTGTTGGTGGTGCTTACTTCTTACTACTTCCTATCTTGTGAATATTAATCATATGTAGAATTATGTTTCAGGTTTACCCCTTTTAAGAATAATCTATTCTATCATCTTTTGAAATTCACCCATTACTACATCTTGTGAACTAAATTATATGTACTTAAAAATATATCACATCAATACACTCCAATTCCAGTAAAACCTTATAAAAACTCATCTTTCTCCCGTCTCTGAAACTTAAATCTTAGATAAGATCAAGCAGACACACCTGATGTCTTTGGAGTTTTGTGACGCTCTTGAATGACTGCACAACGTGTATATAACTTTACGAGGTTGGTCCCACAGAATACGTAGCTTTGTTTTATACCTGGTTTTGAACCGAAGGATTTTATGAAATTTGATTTCCCGTTAGTATATGTTAAAGGATTCTTATTTAGCTCACTGTGAAGGATGGATATGAAGGTGATGTTTTCCCTTCAGTTATATGTAACTGGACTCCAATAGGCATATGTTAATGGATTCCTATTGTGGTCGCCAGGAACTATGTGGGAAAGGAGGTATTCTCTTTCTGGTCCAAGCAATCATGAAGCTAAAGATTACCACTCCTGTTTTGGAGTCTGCTAGAGTTGTTGCTAGTATATCTAGAATCAAAGCCAAAGCATTATCCATTGTAAGTAGTCTAATATCCAGCTTACCGGCAGGAAACATCTTCTTTTAGTCGCAATCAAAGATGTGCATCCTAATATCTGCCATTTTAATACTCTGCAGCTATTAAATCTCTGTGAAGCAGAGAGCATTTCGTACCTAGACGACATTGCAAGCTCTCCAGAAACACTGGAGGTGGCAAAGTCTGTTGCATCGGAGGTCTGTTTCTGATGCATACAGTGGATCCTTTGAAGTTCACAATGAATATAGTTTTGTATGTTAGCTTGCTTAACCCAGTATGACCCCAGATAAAACCTTAAAAAAAGTTTGCTTTTCGTGGAGATGCATTGATTTTACCTGCAGATTGTAAGACTGGTGATGAAAGTTATTTTGATCCTGTTTTTTCTGTCTCTGAGTTTGATTCTTGATTCTTATTGTCTGTAGGTGCTGGAAGAACTGCGAGTTGGAGTTTGCAGAGGCGGGAGACACCTTTCACCATCTCCTGTCAAATTCTCTCCCACGGGGCTTCTCCAACTCAATGCACTTCGACTAGCAGATGTTTTCTCGGATGATTCGAATTTCCGCTCCTACATTACCATAAGCTTTGTAAGTAATCGCTAGATTTCGCAAGCTTTGCTTAGTCACATGCTTTTGGCATGTGGTTTCAGTACTTGTACAAAACAGCTCACAAGTTTCCATATAAATTCAGCGTTCTCTTTCTAATTGACTGATTTAACTTAAATGCGTTACTTTACTTTGGTTCCCCTAGTCTGATGAATGGAATTTGTAGTAAATTTTAAAAGTCTAGGGGAACTTTGTTTTAGTTTGCAATGATGTGCATGCATACTGCATTATGTATTAACCTTCCCTGTCTTGTCTTTTGAATTCTTGACTTTTCTGAACCTCAATTTGCCAGACCAAGGTTCTGACTGCAATATTTTCACTTCCTCATGGAGAATTTCTATCAATTTGGTGCTCTTCTGAACTTCCACAAAGAGAAGAAGATGCTACTCTGGAATATGATGCCTTTGCTGCTTGTGGATGGGTTTTGAATGCCACGAAGGTTTCAAGTCCAACATTTTTAGAAACTAACCTTGTCTCAAGTAGTATGCCTCAAGCTTCCTACTCCCATCAGAGGACTTCATTATTTGTGAAAGTAATTGCAAACCTCCATTGTTTTGTTCCCAATATTTGTGAAGGTCACCGCTCTTGTTCCCTTGATTCTCTTCTGATTTGCATAACATGTTGCCTCTGATTTAGCCCTTCTATTTGTTACTTCATACTTCAACGCCTTTTTGCTGAATTTTCAGAACAAGAGAGGAACCTCTTTCTTCACAAGTTCCTTGAGTGCATGCGTCTGGATCCAGCTGAATCATTGCCTGGATTTTCTTTTAGTTCTGGGACCCAAAAAGCTGCCACTGTTTGCAGGAACTTGCGTAAGCACACACCCTTCCATTGTTCTGTCACACTATACTTACCACTATTAGTAATTGTCTTAATGGTGGCTTAAACTTGTAGGTTCATTGTTATGTCATGCTGAGTCCTTGATTCCCAACTTCTTGAATGAAGAAGATGTTCAACTCTTAAGGTGTTATATTTGTTTCATCCTGATGTTTAGTTTCTAGATTGTGAATGAATATTTATGAATGGGTTATTACTCAACGATTGGCTGCAGGGTATTCTTTAATCAATTACAAGCAACGATTACTCGTGCTGAGTTTGAGGAGAACCATGTAAGATTCTTTGTGTAATTTTTGCTCTATCTACTACTCCATTCCCAATATGTTATTTCATTTTCCTTTACCTTTGTCAACTGAATTTGTTGAATTATGCTTTTGGCCAACTTTAGGGGAAAAAGTCGCCATCTTTGGATAAATTCTCCAAGCTAGACATCAATGATCATCAGGTAAATGTTGGGGGTTCATGGTCACTCCATTCTTAATAAGGAGTTGGTACAGGGTCGAATTTGATTAGGCATGCAATATTTTGGGATCAATATCTTTAGTTATTGAACCTGCATATGTTATTTGCCTGAGGTCCAAGAATTCTCGAGGCTGAGGTGCATGGTACAAAAATGCTGATGATTTAAATCTTTAAACCACTTTGGTTGTCATTATGTTTTTTCTTCCAGAACTAAAACGTGATGTTGGTAAATTTTAATACTCCTAGGAGGGTCAAAGCATCGGAGGGAAGAAGGAACCTTCAAATGCTACTACCAACAGAAGTGGCAACCACGAGGAATCTTCAGAAAATTCTGCTTTGAAAGACAATCAACTTAACTTCCGAAATGACCACCTGAATCTAGGGGAGACTGCATTAATTAGAGAAGACAAGGAAAAATCCAGTAGGGGTGCCTTTAGGGAGATTGACAGGGATGGCCAGAATGTTGAAACAAGTGGCTCAGACTCCACAGCTCCAAGAGGAAAGAGTTTTGTTGATTCACATAGCGATTTCTCCAAATCTGGAAGGAATAGTAACAAAGAGAGTGGGATTAGGGGAACCCACGAGGATGAAAAAACTGAAGCCGTTCAATCTGATGAGAAGCAGCCTAGGAAGAGGAAACGGACCATAATGAATGACTATCAAATATCACTTATCGAGAAGGCCTTGCTCGATGAACCTGATATGCAGCGAAATGCAACATTACTACAGACTTGGGCTGATAGATTAAGTGTCCATGTTAGTAGATTTTCTCCTCCTTCCATTATTACTTGCAAAATAATTTAAGTTTGCTTTGTGCCAGAGTCATTGTTGATTAATTGCACTTTCTTGTGATTTTTTTCTCCAGGGTGCAGAAGTCACATCATCACAGCTAAAAAATTGGTGAGGAACTCAATTTCACATTTTCCGCTTTTCAGTTCACAGTCTTTGCATTTGCTCAACTGTAGTTTTGTTATTCTTGTGCTCAAATAATAGGCTGAACAATCGGAAGGCTAGATTAGCACGTGCAGGCAAGGATGCCCGAGCGCCAATGGAGGTGGACAATGCTTCTTCACAAGAGAAGCAAGTGGGACACGGACAGCAATCACGATCACGGGACTCACCCGAGAGTCCTGCTGCAGAGGATAATGCCCCATCGAGCACAAGAGGAGGTGCTGTTCAAAGCAGCAGCACGAAGATGGGTGGTACAAGTGAAAGCAGCACTTGGATCCACACAACAAGGGATCTCGTGAGTAGCGGTGGAACACAACCTCTGCAGTACACGCCAGGGCAGCGAGTGGTGCTTGTGGATGGGCAAGGATTGGAGGTTGCCAAGGGGAAGGTGCACCAAGTGAAGGGGAAATGGTTTGGGAAGAACTTGGACGAGTTATCGTCAGGTGGTAGTTGTGTGGTAGTGGATGTTAATGATCTGAAAGCTGATCGATGGACCAGGCTTCCCTATCCATCGGAGGTCACGGGGAATACATTCAGCGAGGCAGAAACCAAGATAGGGGAGATGAGAGTGTTGTGGGATTATAAAAAGATGTACTTGTTGAGGTCTACATGATCCTTCTTTGGGTTTTGGGTACACACATGGAACGGTGTTTAATACCAGGTATCGGTGGCCTATCAGCACTGTTTGTTTCATTCCAGACGAGATCTGTAGGAGAAGATGGCTACAAGAGATTGTAAAAGAAGGCTGCTGAGTGCATGTGGAGGTAGTTGCAGAATGTTTTGGTGTTAGAGAAGCTGTAAAAGTATTTAAAAGGTGGTAGATATCACTAAAATTATGCGCTTAATGGTTAGACTGAGTTTCAATTAGAACTCTTGATGCACCTGGTGTATCTCTAGGGTTTCCAGCTCTTTCTTACTAGTGAGAAAGCATAATTAATTCTATCATCCATGCTTGTAGGGTGTGCAACTGCAAAATTCAGGAGAATTGTGGAGGGATTTTTTTAGAAATTATAATCAATGATCGAATCAATATTGCATTTGGTCTGGTTTAGTTCGATTTGAATGTCAATTCAGTTTGGGAAATCCGAACTATTAAGAAAGTGTCATTTGTATTTCGAACTATTTAATATTCCATTTATATCCCAACTATGATAGTTGTGTCATGTATGTCATATGTTCTGACGATTTTGTTGATCGTTATAGATAACGGTTGACCAGACGGTGGTCAATTTGATGTTGACTTAGGAGCGAAATTGATGGAGCAATTTGGGAATTTTGTAACTTTTTATTTTTTTAATCATTTTAGATAAATATCAATACTAAAAATTCCATATTGATGGTCAACACTAATGAAAAAAATAGTTTAGGAAGTAAATGTTTGTGACACAATGAAAAATAGTTCAAAAAATAAATGTCATATTGAGTCGTTTTTGACAAGTAATACTTTTTTGATAATTCGGTTTTTATAATGATGTTTTCGTATTTATAAAATTCACGAAAGAAAAACAACAAAGAAAAGAAGCCAAGATCTCTTCTTCGAAAACCCATCAAACTTTTAGTCAAAGCCTCAAGACCACCACTAAAAACACATCACCAATCTCTGTCTCCTTACAAGGATATATATAAAATTATTATACATTATAACAACCTTTTCCCTCCCTATCCCTCTCCTTGCACACCACACACAGACTGAAGTAGTAATACACACATATGGCCAGAGGTATAATCCTTCATTTGTTGCCAAGCCACATTTTTTTTTTTGGGGTCTAATTTTCTCTTATCACCAACAAATTAGTTTCCTTTGCACAAACTAGTTTGATCCAAAAGATGATCCATCATTAGGTTACGCTCATCCCAAGTCACATCTTGACCATTAACTATCGTTGACATAATGAAAATCACCGATCAAACAAACACCGTGTCACGCCTCTTTTTTGGATTAGCTTCTGGGTTCCCTTTTCTCATCATCGCCACAAACTCCTCATAGTTGATCCGGCCGTCCTATGACAATAAAAGAGCGACAGAGAAACAACATTACAATTGTTAGTTTCCGAATCATACAAAGTGACCAAATACGAGAAACTTTTGCATGAATCCAATTATCACGTACATTATCGTTGTCAACCTCAGAGAGGATGTCCTTGAGCTCTTTGTCGTCATTGATACCGAACTCGATGAGAGCTTGCTGAAGCTCTTCAGTAGTGATGTACCTAATTACAGCATAAAAGTGCAACAGCAATCAAATGGTGAATTTAGAACGAAATAACCCTCAAGTAAACAATGTTATAACTAATTAAATTCATATCGATGATCATAATTACCCGCTGTTGTCTTTGTCGAAATGTTGGAAAGCAGTGTAGAGATGTTCTTCTCTGTCCATCCTGTTCATGTGCATTGTGGCTGTGATGAACTCATCGTAGTCAATGGTTCCATTCCCATCTGCATCAGCCTATAATGTTCCGGAAAAAAGCAACACATTAATTAAGAAGTTTTGTAAAAATAAACATGGTCAATTAACACATGTTAATGGTAATTAACTTACTGCTTCCATTAATTGTTTGACCTCAACTTCAGAAAGCTTGGTTCCTTGCTTTGCCAGCCCTTGTTTGAGTTCCTCGAGGGTTATTGTGCCACTATTGTCACTGTCCATGCCCTTAAACATCTCCTTGAGTCCCATGATCTCTTCCTCCGATAAGCACCCAGCGATAACCTATTTATCGAAAATGTTAGCGATAAAATATTTTATAACGAAACCGTGGTTTAACCGTTTCCAAAGTGTGTACGTACCCTTAGAGCAACTTTCTTGAACTTGTTCATGGCTTTGAATTGCTTGAGTCTGCCCAACACAGCATTGTCAAGAGGAATGTCGGGTGCTTCTCCATCCTCTTGGATCCATGGATGCACTTGATAATAATAATCACAAAATCCCAACAAATAATTATGAATTCTTCTAAGTTAAGTGATGAAAAATTACCAATGCATGCATATGGTTTAAGGTACTACTGTAGAACAGAAAAAAACATTAACTCATTGCTTACTTAGGACTTGAGAAGCTGTGAGCCTTTGTTTCGGATCCGAGTTGAGCATCTTTCGAACAAGGTCCTTGGCCGGTGGCGAGATCGACGGCCATGGATCGCTCGTGAAATCGATGTGACCACGTAGAATCGCGTTGAATATTCCATGCTCAGATTCTACAATTAATATCAGAATCATCATTCGAAAATATCTATGTTCAAATGCATTAAATATTCTATCTAAGCACATTTTTTAATATTTTTTTGGTGCCGATGATTAATATTATTCCTTCCAACCTTAATACAACTATCCTAAATATATGTACCCGATCTCCTTAACAAAATTGGATTATGTTCTTACCTCCGCTGTAACACGAATAATATATAACAATAGCATGTAACATTGCTACAAAATGCAACACAAATAGATTTACCTGCCCAGAAAGGAGGAACACCACATAGAAGAATGTACAACATAACCCCAATGCTCCATATATCAGCTTCTGGCCCATACTTCCTCTTCAACACTTCTGGAGCTATGTAATACGCACTTCCAACAATGTCCTTGAACTGCTCCCCTATATGATGATAATTAAAAACAAAAATAGGTTAAAATTATTCAAAATCAAAAGAATATATACAAGATCTTTGCAGGTAAGATCCTTAAAAAAAAAGTGAAAAAAACTCGGCCAAAAAAGTGACACTATCTAACGATACAAAGACTTGTTTGACCGATCCAACGAATCCAAAAACAAACCTGGCTTGTAAAACATCGATAGCCCAAAATCGGTGGCCTTAAGCGGAGCGCTCTCATCCTTACTAAGCAGGAGGAAATTCTCGGGCTTAAGATCCCTGTGGATCACCCCCATCGAGTGACACGTGTGCACGATCTGAACAATGGTCCTCAGCAGCGAAGCCGCGGCTCGCTCCGTGTAATGACCTTTCGCGATGATCCGGTCGAACAGCTCACCGCCGGCGCACAGCTCCATGACGAGGTGGACCGAGTGCTTGTCCTCGAAGGCCCCCTTGAGCTCGACGATGTTGGGCTGGCCCGTAAGGTGGTGCATGATCTGGACCTCCCTCCGCACGTCCTCCAGATCCTCCTTGTTCACCAATTTCCGCTTCGCGATGGTCTTGCACGCGAACTGCTCGCCCGTGGACTTGTGGGTGCACAGGTGGGTGACACCAAACTGGCCTCGACCCAGCTCTTTCCCGATGGAGTACGTGGACTTCACGTCCTCCATGGGCCGGCCGAGGACGGGCCCGATGGGGGCGTTCTTGGACGGCTTCGGGGAGGCCTGGGGCGGGCCGGGGGATGGTGGTGCAATCTTGGATCCGTCTCCTCCTCCGGCGCTGCTACCACCACCCTGTTGTTGTTGTGTGCCTTCTCCCTTTTCTTCATTGGAGGCATCTCCTTCGCTGCCTCGTGAACAGCAGTTCCCCATTTCTCTCTAGCTAGGGGGATGAGACTCTCTGAGAAAGGAGAGAAGAGAGAGATAGGGAGGGAGAGAAAAAAAGAGAGTGATGGGTTTTCTTTTTCTTTCCTTGTTTTTCTCTCTTCTTCCCCTTCTGGGGAGGTGGCCTAGCTATGACAAGCGGTAAAGAAGAGGAATTCCTTGGGGGTATCAAAGAGGGAAGAAAGAATCGATGGACGTTAGAGAGAGAATACGATGTGTGTGTAGAGAGAGAAAGTAGGGTTGTTTCTGTTTGCATTTTGTTTTGATTTGTTGACAGTTGTTTTTGGTAATGGATGGAAGATTGATGGCGAGGAATTGTAGGATTATTGGATGAGGTATTGTTGGTTTAGATGAGAATGAGTCTTTTTTTAGGGAGAGGAAGAAAGGGACAGAGTGGATTGAATTTTGTTATTACAAGCAGCTTACGATATATATCATTCCATTGCATGCATGGGGCGACCTTGGTATGTTCTTGTCGTTCATGTTATTGTTGGTAAGCCAACTCGCATCATTAAAGGCATACATGGAGAGTATTAATTAGTTCGAACTTGAGTTAAATGGGATCTCATATACTAATAAATTTAGTAGATTGTGTTTGAATAGTAAATACATTCCTTTTAACATATCAAATAACTTATTATTATGTTGTGTAAATGATTTAGCCTCCCTTAAAGGAATTTTCTAATGAATGAAAGTGGCTAGGTTACAAAAAAAAAAAGGTAGCATAACTTATTTGTCGTGTAATCCTGAATGAAAAAGTGATATTTTGATAGTTAGAATAAGTGTCAATTATTCATATAATCATATTATAGATATTCAAGAAAATTACGTAAATAGAACAAATATGTTGGGTTGCAATGTCTTTTTAGTTACAAAGAGGACATGCTTTTTCCCTGATAATTGTTTTTGTATTATTAAGCTCTATCTTAGCCAACTTGACCAAGATTTTGTCGAAATCAACGCTACAAGTCTGCCGATTACAATCATCACAAAGTTATAGTCTATACTATTAGTTATCATATTGTTACTGATGGGCCCACATGTAAGAGCGATATCGGGTCTGAAGCCCAAGGAGGAAGGTCAGCAGGCTCAACACAATAAGGAGACCGATATGCAGTTAAAGAGGTTAAGCGGTCACCTGGGGACAAGACAGGAAGATCGCCTGACATAAAGCAGTGATGGAGACAGGGAGGAGATCAACTAAGATCTGCCTCGGTATAAACAAGACCACGCATTATTTACCGCCGTAGTGTGTTCTGTACGAAATAAGGTATGTTTAGGGCGCCTGACATGGCATTTAATGCCCTGAACCCATCTCTAGCTTGTTGAGTATAAATACACCATGAGAGCATTGATGGTAAACTCAATTACTCTCTCTCTCTCTCTCTCTCTCTCTCTCTCTCTCTAAACCTAACACATATTCTCTCTTATCTCTATAACTTAATCTTCGGAGAGTGTTGCAACCGCCCATGAACCTTTGTTTCGCAGGGTCCAGGAGTGCGTTCCCTCACCAAGAACAAATGTCTCACTCGTGTTCCACACAAACAACCTAGTACTTTATAGGCTAAAACAATTTGGCGCCCACTGTGGGGCACAGAGTGAAGCACTGAAGAAATGGTGGACGAGAGCTCCGGAACCCCAGCTAAGGGTGTGATCGAAAGAGAAGGCATTCACGAGCTAGAGATGCCAACGGTAGAGGAGGAAATGCTGATAGAAGATCGTGTGAAGGATCAAGGACAACAGATCTCCAGCATACAAGAAAGCTTAGGCCAAACCCTTGTCATGCTCAAAGCGAGGGACATGCCGGTAAGCTCAAAAAGACAGAAGGGCAAAGGCAAGGAGGTGAGGGAAGAAACCCCCCGAAGCCGTGCTCAGACAGAGGGCGGGAGGTCTAAAGGAGAAGAAGGTGATGAGTAACGAAACCTAAACTTCTTGGAAGAGCACCTCAGGTCCTCATATGGAAAGACGAAGAGCCACAACATATTGCAAAATCCACTGGCGAAAAGTCTGTTCAAAACGCAAGTGCCATCTAACTTTTCGTCACTAGACTTGCCAGCCTACAATGGAAACTCCGACCCGACAGACCATCTGAGCGTCTTTATGCTCAAGATGAAACTCATCAACGCCTCAGACGCAGATCTGTGTAAAGCGTTCCCGATCACCTTCCGCGATCAATGCCGAACCTGGTACACTTCTCTCCCATAAGGAATAATCGAGAGTTTCGAGCAGTTTGCCACGCTCTATTCATCAAAATTTGTATCCCAGAGGAGAAGGAAGCTCACAGTGTCGGCGCTCATCAATTCTAGACAAGGAAGAGAAGAGACACTAATTGACTTCTATGACAGGTGGAACACAATAGCCAGTGAAGTACAGGGAATCTCGCCCAGCATAGCAGCGGGCAACCTACGAATTTCCACCCACAACCGTGAACTGAAAAGGGCTCTCATCAAGAAGGAACACAGGTTAAGGTCTTGGCTAGACCTCGACCGCCTAATAAGGAAGGCCATCGTGTTGGAAGAGGCGCTAACAACTGACGATACTATCCAGGCAAGGGCACTGAGGAAGAAGGTAGCCCACTACACATTGGTGGAGGAGCAACTATTTAAGAGATCTTTCTCAAGCGCGTACTTGAAGTGCCTAGGGCCAGATGAGGTGAAATGGATGATCAAGGTAATTCACCAGGGATCATGCACTTCACACTCTGGACCGCCAAGTCTGGAAAGAACCATATTGCTGCAAGACTACTACTGGCCAATAGTGAAGAAGGATACAATGGGGACGGTTCGGAGGTGCCACTAATGTCAAGTACATGCCAGCAAACAACCTATGCTCAGTGAAGAGCTAAACAGCATAACAGGGCCATGGCCATTCCACAATGGGGGTTAGATCTATTGGGACCATTCCCCACTGCTCCTATGGGAAAAAGTACCTGGTGGTGGCTTTAGACTACTTCACGAAGTGGATTGAAGCTGAACCGCTTGACACAATCACATGTGCAAAAATCTAGAAGTTCTTGTTCAACAACATAATGATTAGGTTTGGGACTCCTAATGCCATCATTACTGATCATGGTACACAGTTTGACTGCAGGCCGTTTGAGAATTTTTTTGCGCAAGAAATCGTATTACTTGCAAGATGGCCTCAGTCGCATTCTCCCAAGCCAATGGGCAGGTAGAGTCGTTAAACAAGCTAATCTTACGGGGGTTGAAGAGAAGGATAAATGAAGCTAAAGGAGGGTGGATTGTAGAGCTGCCACATGTACTCTGGGCACATCGCACAAATTATAAGAGAGAAACTAGAGAGACACCATTCGCTCTAACGTATGGCTTCGAAGCAGTTGCACCAATAGAGATGACCCTTCCATCCCTGAGAATCAAAGCCTACAACTCGGAAGAAAATCACAAGAAGCTTCTGCACCAGTTGGACATTGTCGAAGCACGGCTGGACTCGACCGATAGAAGAAGGTGACATGGTCTTGAAAAGAGACTTTGAGCAGAAGGAGGGACACGGAAAGCTAGCCGCCATATGGGAAGGACCATACCTCATGTGCGAGAAGATAGGCCCTACAACGTACGTACTGGCCAGAATGGAAAAGAAGTTGATATCCAAGACTTGGAACGTTATCCATATGAAGAAGTACTTCGTGGAATAGGGCAAGGGTAACTCGTAGGGCTACTATGCATTTTGTATGATCATTACCTTGATCACAACCTACAATGTATTTTGTCTACAATACACGCTCAAAGGAGCCTCTCGCAATTTAAACCGCCCCTGAGCGTTTGGCTTTGGCAGTCCATTCCAACCGTCCCATAATAGTAAGCTTGAAATTGACCGTAATCTCAACCGCCCCCGAGCGATAAGCTAAAAGAACTTTCACAGTCTAAACCGCCCTAAAGCGACAAACTTAAAATTGTTCACGATTCCAACCACCTCCGGGTGATAAGCTAAGAATTATTTGCCATTCTAACCGCCCTGGAGCTATAAGCTTAGGAACTATCTTTGCAAAATTCAACCACCTCCGGGTGATAAGAATTAATTCGCAATACGAACTGCCCTAGAGCGACAAACTTAAAATTGTCTACAATTCAAATTGCCTCCGGTTGATGAATTAAGAAATTTTCACATATCGGGTAGTCCCCAAGCAATATGTTATTAATTGTCCTAACAATTGCAACCGCCCCTGAACGATAACCTAGAAATTGTCTTTAACATTTCAACCGCCTCCAAGAAAAAGGCTATCGAGATACAAACCGCCTCCGAGCAACGATCTCTACAATTATAAGCAGTCTCGAACGAATGCATAGTGAAAATCTTAAACCCAATCGAAACCAATATCACGCGGTTAAGATAAAGCGGCAAGAAAATTGGGATAAGCAGGAAAAGAGCATCGTCATTACAAAACAAAAATTGTCTTAAGCTCCCTCAAGAGCGATGAAATAACAAAAGAATATAGGAGAGAAAGATCATTAAGCGGAACCGTCATCAGCTGCAGGTGGTTGGTCAACCTCAACTCCAGTGTTTCCCGTTGGAAGGGGGGAAAGCTCGGAGTTCACGTCGTTGTTGCTACAAAATTCCACGACATCCCATATATCATTAGTGTCCCAAACAAATCTGGGGTACACACGACGAATACAGTGACGGATTGAAGCAACGTTGTCCCTCAACAATTTCTTATACTTCGCTTCATCTGCCTCCTTGAATTCGTCAGACTCCAGGAACGTAGCTTTGGCGGCCTCAACCGTGTTGAGAAGCTCAGTTTCGTGGTTGTCCTCCATCAATGCCATGTCTTTCTTCAACCTGTGCACTTTGTCGCTCAAACTTTTCTCCCGTTCGGCGGCCTCCAAGGGCTATTTTCGGAAGCACTTAGCATCTTCCTTAACCCATTTCAACTTCTCCTGCACGCCAGCCAACTCGACATCTTCTTGGCATCAGCAGCCTCGTGCTCCTTGATCAATTCCTCCTACAGCTCCTGCTTGAATCCCTCACGTCCCTCTTTCAGCTGATCTTCCAATTGAAGGATACTGGTGTCGCGTTCGTCCAAGTCACTTTGAAGGCAGTCGTTGTGCAACATCAGTTGGTTTATCCCAAATTGAGTCTGTAAAAATATCCAAGTTATAGAAAAATAACCACCAGGTACTCACGTTATAAAAATCACGCTTATCTCAAACAGGCAACGCGCGGTTGCGCCGACCAAGTGTCTGGGGTCACACTTGTGGGCGGGAGTACCCGCAACCCAGGGTAATCACTGGGGACCGTAAACTCATCTGAAATGACATGCAAAGCGTGTTTGGTTGCATCATGGGATACAGTTGCGTTGGGAGAAAACGCCACAGTCGCTGCAAGCTCTGTCATCTTCTACTTCTTTTTGTTTGTGTATGCAACAAGTGGATCTGAAGGAGTGTTGTCAACAAGGACGCCTTTCATCATTGATTGACTTCTCGAGGACCGCTTTTCGATAAGAGCCGCAGTCTCCAGTGACCGCTTCCCAGACCCGTGGTTGGAACCCACCTCAGCAAACTTGAGCTCCTCGGAGCGACTCGTAACAAGCTATGTCTGAGCAGAAGGGAGGGGAGCAGTGGTCTGAGTCTCTGTCGGGTCGACAGGAAGCATAGCAGCTACGGCCACAGAGGACCCGGTGCCTGGCTTCGATGGTCTCGCCATATTAGCATACCGTTAAGTTCCTGCGAAAGCAACTTATAAGTAAAAGCATGAGAGAACTTTGAAAAAATAACCAAGGATGAATTAACTGATTGTGAAAGCGCCGAACTATATCCAGTGCGTTATCATGCCCTTTAGAAGGAAGACGAAAATTGAACAGTTGACATTATTCGTTAGAGAAGTTCTTTAAAGGGGGCAAGAGAATCAAGTTTGGTGTTCCAATTCCCTTTATTGCCAACGACTAGGGATGGCAATGGGTCGGGTTGGGTCGGGTTTTGCCAAACCCAAACCCAAACCAGTGGGTTTATCCGTGAAAAAAACCCGGGGTAAAACCCATTGGGTTTGAAAAACTCAAACCCAACCCAACCCGCTGGGTATCCGCGGGTTCATGGGTACCCACGGGTTTTTGTCGTAAAAAATTTACTATAACAAGTTTCTATCAAAATTAAAGTCAAATATCAATCTCTCAGTACAAATTATCTATATATAAAACACCATTCTAGAAAATACAAGCAAATCACAAATTAACTATACAAATTGTTCAACACCAATCTAGAAAACTCAAGAAAATTGAAGCAAATCACAAATTATCCATAAATAACATGATTATTTGAAAGCTTCTTCCTTTCAATTAAGTTTCTTCGCTCTCCACTTGATAACATCAACTTCATTCTACACAATTAGAAAGAAAAAATTTGACATGTCTTCACAAACATATATAAGATTAGTTGTTTAGAATATTAAATATACCAAGAAAATTATTATATGGGAGTGGGCGGGTACCCATGGGTCGGGTTTACCTAAACCCAAACCCAACCAAACTCGGTGAATAGTCAACGGGTTTAAACCCAAACCCGGCCCAAAACCCGTCAACATGGATTTTACCCGCGTTGACCGGGTTGGGTCGGGTGGGTACCCGTGGGTTTGGGTTTTGTTGCCATCCCTACCAACGGCGAACCCAGTCGACGGCTCTACGTCACCAGAGTACCATCTCCCAGCGGGACGAGCAAAGAAATATTCTTTAAACCAATGATAATCTAACTTGGGTTAGGCGTAGACAAATCTCACGCGAGACTCTCACATGTAGCACGACCAACAGTTGTCTAAGCCGCGCATGGTATACAAGAAATGGAAAGCATAAAATGAAGGCTCTACCCCCAATATTTTACAGGCCGCCCGAAAAGTTATGAAGTGGAAAATGATTCCGGGAGAAAGACGCCCAAGTGTGCACTTGAGGTGCAGAAGAATTTGGGTCAGTATAGGATCAAGGGGGAATTGAAGACTCACCCTGATATGCTCCACATGGATGGGAATCCAACCACCCGAACAAGAACCGGATCGCCCGTCGAGAGAAGGAGTCGCATAATCCCACTCCGGGGGCAGACCGCGATTCTTAAATTGACGAAGAACTTCAGACGGCCGGTGAGCAGCTAAATACGATGGTCCTTGTTTGAAAACATGTGCGGGTTTTTTTTTCCTTCCCACATATCCGCGTGCAAGCGCACACGATATGTATCGTCAGCAATCGTCAGGAAAGGTGCTATGGGCGGCCCCACAAAAATGGTAGGTGGAGAGTCAAGAGCAAAGTCGCCAAACTCGGTGTGGTGGTTGTGTGCTTCATTAGTGTCTTCGAACAACAGCGCAATCACAGGAACGCCATGAGAAGACTCACAATCCATCTCAGATAAATCAAAGTCGCGCAAGTTGTTGCCAACCGTGGAAGACGCCCCCGTAAAGCTAGGAAAGTCCTAGTATCGGTTAATGCATTCCCATCTAACCCTAAAAGGGCAAAGTTAGGATCGCCTATATTTTCTCTAAGGTCGCCAAAATTCTCGTACCCGCATACAAGGTCAATGTTCTCCAATTCCCATTCTATATCAGAGATACCAAAAAAGAAAAAGTTTCATGCATACCTTGGGCGGCTAGTTTAGCCCCGACAGTAGGGCCGCTGGATCCACCGCTAGTTTTAGAGGATGAGCAAGGGGGATTCGTACCGTCGGTGGAAGTCCGGGCATTGGCGAAAATGGTGCCGGTATGAGCATCGCTCGATAAATTCTTTTCAGGCTATCGGAGGGAATAGTGGCCTGAGAATCAATCTCCTTTTACACCTTTCGGCTCTTCCTTTTCGCTCGCTTTTGAGCTCATCGTAACTCCGAAAGATATGTGGCTCGCTTCGTAGAAAGGAGCGGATGACTTTGAAGGTAAGAAGAAAGGAAAAATCAGGAGCAGTGAGCAATCTTTGCTTCGGGTCAGAAAAACTTCAGAGCAGGAGAAGGGAAGGTAAAAGTGAAGAAGACGAGCAATCACCTCATTTAAATAGAAGCGAAAAAGCAGGGCAACGACGATGTGACGGTTCGGTGACCGACAAAAACCCTACTCTACTAATTCCAAAAGCGGACAGTTGATGAGACGGCCATAATGCCCGTTGTCAAGGCTCGAAATTCAAAACTCGCCACGTGGACGATGAAGGGAAAAAGAAGCGGCTAGTTAGTAGGCGGTTGAAGTCAAGTAGGATAGTTTAGTTTCCTTGACGGGTCATCCTAGTCTCTCAAGCGGCGAGGGGCAAAGTATAGGGCAACGGTTAATTGGAGGAATGACCGCTCAACACGATAGAAAGACAATCATAGCCGCCAAAGCCCAAAGATTTCCCGCCTAAGGGGCAATTGATGGGCCCACGTGTAAGAGCAGTATTGGGCATGAAGCCCAAGGAGGAAGACCAGCAGGCCCAACCCAATAAGGAGACCGATATGCGGTTAAAGAGGTTAGGCAGTCGCCTGGAGACAAGACTGGAAGACCGCCTGGCATAAAGCAGTGATGGGGACAGGGAGGAGATCGACTAAAATATGACTCGATATAAACAAGACCAAGCATTAATTGTCGTCGTATGAGAGCATTCATGGTAAATTCAACTACTCTCTCTAAACCTAACACATATTCTCTCTTATCAATCTAACTTAATTTTCGGAGAGTGTTCTGGGCTACTGTCTACATACCTTTGTTTCGCAGGATCCAGGAATGCATTGTCTCACCAAGAACAGGCGCCTCACTCGTGTCCCACACATACCATTAAGCAATACATTGAAAGTAGATGCAGAGATGTCACAACATAAGTAAAAGGACCTGTTTAAAATCCTCAAACAGTGTAAAATCCAATGCCCCTTCTAATTTACTCAAACAAAGTAACTTTCAAGAAACAAATGAACTTTCAAAAAATCCAACATATACATCTTTCGTCATGTTTCACTCCTCCAAAAACGAGCCAACTCCAAATGCCTATCCAAAGACCAACCCAAGGATACATGAAGAAAAAGACATTGTTACACCTCAACAAACGTTCCTCCACATAGCAGAAAGTCTCATAGAGCACCCTGCTAAAGACGGAAGCCCAAGCCCAAGCCCGATTACCCCAATGCACCGACCCATGCAGAGAGCCCATGACCTCTCCATCCGTCTCAAGCCCATTACAGCTAAAGCATGCACACACTGTTGACTTCAGCTGACTAATGAAACCAACGACCAGTTCTGACGAATCGCAACTCGCGAGCTGTGATGGATCTAAGAGGCTTCAGCCAAGATCATTCAACCAAAGACCGAGAACTTGTTTGATCTCAGAGGTACAGAACTTTCGAACCCCTGTATCTACAATGTTCAAGCCGAAACGATGCATCAGCACCGAAACGACAGTTACAGCGGCATTGTTACAAGATGGAATTACAGTACTAAACTAGTCTTTCCTAACAACCTTTTCTTTCTGCTTCACCATTTCCCCCCCTCGTATATGTCTAGCCCTCTTGCCTCCTCCATTTATTTCTGATGTTGAAGTTATCAAATTGGGAAGAGCAACCGCTATCAACAGAAAAGAAACAAAGAATGATATACAGTTCTTACAGCTTAGCTAGGAGAGGAAGCTGCTGCTGCCGAAGAAGAATGACTGGCTGGACGAGGCTTTGGCGTCCAAGCATAGATGAGCAAGCCTAGAACAAGGATGATGGCTCCCCCAACAAAGCCCTTTGGCAGGGTTGATGCCACTCCGATATATGGCAATGGCAGCGTGAACATGAACACCGATATCGGCACTACCCATAAGAAGATTGATCGTCATCAGAAAGCGTGAGATCCAAGTAATCGAGTGAACGCAGAAATGAAATGTAGGTGAATAAATTTCCCCTTACCAGAAAATGTGGAAGCAAGTGAAGATACAACAGCGGATGATATCTTGAGCAGGTGGAGCAACGATATGTTGAACCCCATGTTCACGATTATGAACAGCAGAGGTAGCAATGGAGCCCCTTCACATCCTGGGAGCGCGTCAATAATCCGAATATTTGATTAGAAATTACTGAAAGTACAAACTCAAAAACCATGAAGGTGGGAATTTGTTTTTAGTCATATAGCTTACCACTTGACAAACTACCGATGTTTAGAAAGCAAGCTGCCCCATCTTTGAGATAGCTCGGAAGCTGGCTGAACGGTATTCCCCATAGCTTGGACATGAAAGGCACAAGTAGGCAGATGAACAAAGCCTGCAAGCGACAGCATTCCAAAAGATTGAGTAAGAAACTTTATGCATATCATAAATACGTAACAGTAACTTAATCACAGGGGTTAACAATTGTAACCCATATTAGAATACCCACTTGGTAAGCAGATCCAAAGGAGTTGACCACGAAAATATCTACTGATCCTCCCTGTGATTTTCAGGCGTCAGCATTAGCAAACCGTTTGAATGATTAGAATGACCTTCCGAAGAGAGGTGGCCAAAAGTAAAGATTGAATTTTCTATGGAATGTTAATCACTAACCTATAAACTCAACAACCAAACAATGTAATGTTAAATGCAACGATTGTATCAATACATGTATGAGGCTACGGTCAGTTTGAGGGATTTGTACCTTTAAACGATGCTTAGCTTTCAGGAAAATAGTTTCCTGCAAATAAGAGTTACTCCCATTAGACAAACAGTAACAAGGTTAGTGGTTATGCTAAAAGTCAAAGGAATAGTTAACACGAACCTTGAGTACAGTATCGGCAGCTTGGAACAGAAACGAGAGTATCATTAAAAGACTCCAAAAAATACCGGCTTCTTTCAACGAATGGCCAGCACTAGATCCACTGCAACATGAAGAAAACTGCAATTGTTCACCACCATTTTAACATACAAGCATTCCGAGTCCTTATCATTTTTAAGACTGTTTTATTGGTAGAGGTCTATACCCGAGAGCATAATTGACTACTTCATAAGATACAAGTTTAAAAAAAGGTACCTGGCTACAGTTATAATGACACCAATAGCAACAAGGAAACACCCTAGTAATTGATTGATTTTGTATCTCTTTCCAAGGAAGACAGCTGACATAAAAATCTGCCACACAAGGAAGGTCTGCAGAACAAGTAATCGTCAGAATCGCCAGTAGAGTTTTGATAACACTTCTACTTAGAAGATTGAGATTAGTATCCAATCTTCCCAATGATGTAATGTTACCGGAAACCAAAACAAATTTCACAAGCAAGGGAGTTTTCTCCGTAGAACTCTTTGTTCTTTCACTGTCAAAAAGAGAAACACATTGTTCTATGACCAAAAACAATTGCAGAAGGAGCAGATTGCAGATGACTTTACTTCACTACATATATTGAAAGCTAAATTCGATGAATTTTACAATTTTCATCATCAGAGAGACAAAGAAGTTAACCACAGGCTGAGAAATGAGTGAACCCTGCATTAGCACAAGCTGCCTCCTTTTGCTTGACTATCCAAGGAATCAGAATGATAATTAATAATGATTTCTTTCTTGTTATTATCTCACTTTTTCAGCTTCCTACTGCTAACTCTGGTTCTATTATTTGAAAGCACCATTTTAGACACTTCTAAGCAAGGTTGGATACTTGGCACTTTAAGAACTCTTAATTTTCAAACAGGAATATGAATGTATTGAGAACAACAAAGGTAGAAACAAGACCTACAAGGACTTCAAACGCTTAATCCTCAAAGCTGAAAATATTAAGTACCTGAGATATAACTGGAATCGATGCTCCAGAAAGGTTTGCTGATTCAAGAAAGAAGTCAACGAATTAACACTAAAAAATAACAACCTTAATGTCTTCCACTCTAGATTGCTATGGTAACGACCTAAAGAAAATGTAATACTGAATGGAACCTTTTATGCACCAGATTACCACTAAAGCTCAATACCCACAAGTCAAGAAAACATGAAAAGGAAAAGACGACAGAAGACATAAAGATTCCTCATTCAGTACAATAGAAGGAACATGCTATATTGTAATTATGCAAAAATATTCCCAAGCTGAAAAGACAAGTCTGATAGTCAATTGGCCAAGTGATCATGAGATAAACATACATCAATTGGGTTACACAGGCTACTGAGCAATGTGGATGATGAAGCATTTCAAATTGACCATCAAAGAGTTCATGTTTAACCCGCAAGGAAGCAATAATACAACAGTCAATGAGAAATAACAGAAGATATGTTTACCTGCTGCTGCCATTCCAGTAGCAGCTCCAAGAGCCTCCAAGATTCCAACAAGAATGAATGGACCTTTAGGCAACGAAAGCATCTCATTGCTCACAATGCCAGCACGGTGCCGGAAATGCAATATGGTAAAATACACAAGGACATACCTGAGGTTCCAAAAACAATATTTTTCAGTCAAAGTGACAATCCGAATTCCATCAAGAATACGGTGTTCCAAGTTTGAATAGTAGCATGTTAGCACACATACTGTTATATTTTTATAAAGGACTTCTCCTAAAATGTCATCAAATTCCAATTTTATCCAGCATCAAAGCCCACAAAAGCATTCCCAGCAGGCAGTACTATATAAGTATCCCCCAACATTCATACATTATGAAGACAAAGACAGTATCAGAATTAAGATCCTGAAACTTCAAGTTAACCAGGTGGAAGTTCAAAAAATATTCAACAGAATGCAATCTTGACAAAGAGTGGCATTTTTGTGTATTCTCTCTTCTTTGTCGCATTTGCTGATGGTGTCGACACATGAGTGAGCTTAATAAGAAAACAAGGTAACCAAAACAAGACTTTGCATCAGATACTTCCAGCTTTAGTAGCTTATTATAATACACCCATGGGGTCATCAAAAAGAAAAAAAAAAGATCTAATGTCTAAACAGATGACCCTGCAATGCATTTAGCTAAACTATTGCAACTTGAAAAATATGATGTGACATGTAAAAGCCGTATGGTGGATCAATTGACCAGAACCAACAAACATTTAAAATTTGTCCGGACATGTGACCTACACATTCACAGCCAGAAGCTCCACTTGCACCCTGCATGATATTTTTATTTTCTTGCAACAGAGAGCTATTAAAGTAGTGATCTTTTTAAGTAAATACAAAATTCGAAGAAAACACAGGAGCCGATCAAATTATCACCCACCGGCCACCACTACAGTCTACAGTAGTCAGTACTCAGTACTACTCGGTAATGGTATCTCTTTCCTTCTTCCTCTTTTTCACTTTTGTGGGCGTAATGGAAACCCCATGTGGCAGAGCTGAAGAATGAAGAGTGTTCAACTTGTGCTTGTGAGGCAGCAATTAGGACTAGACCCACCAAATTAGAAAGCACATCAAGTCCCCTTTCTCCTTTTGCTCTATTGTCCATCCATCCCATCCCCATTCCTATTTCTATTTCTATTAATCTGTTCCTACCCATAATCATGGCTTAGAAAGATGCCCAAACTTTCCTAATTCGACTCTCGTCCACTCATAACTTTTGCAATGAGATAACAATAGAAAATTCTTCTAGTGCTAATGCAAATGCTTATGATTATGATCATACGTTTGGAAAGCAAGAGGCAGTTGAAGGAATCACGACTGTAAATGGAATCTGCTTTAAAATCTCCCAAACAGGACAGTCTCATTTTGATGAACCAACACACGAAACCACAATAAGAAAGGGGTCAATGAAATAATTTCAGATGCTAGTGTAAAGTTGCGCCATCACAATAGTCATTTACTAGGCCAAAAACAAAAACATTGGAAGGCAAGATATTATTAGTTCCGTCTGTTTTTGGTGATGAGAAGTGGTAGCTAAGCAGACACGCTTCTGTGAGATGTGAAACGAATAGGACATGTCCAATTTTCCCCAAAACAACGTAATTGAGTGTACGATTTATAGCTGAGTCTACGATTTATAGCGAGTTACCAAATCAATACTATACAACGATACACGGTTGATTTAACTTTAACACTATACTATAAAGAGGAGTAAATGGCGTTTTTACAAAGAGTCATTGAGATTCGAACATTCGATCATTGAACGGGACCGTGGGACCATATTGCTGCCATGATATGTAATCTAATTCAATATTGCCTAGCAAATCAGGTTTATATGTTTATGCTGTGAACCTACAAGGAGAAAATCTAAATTCGAGATTTAATTCGACATTAGTTAAATTCGCGTCATCCCTGGCCTCCCTTGCTTTATTTAGCATTTACTATTTCCAGATTAATTACAATTAATTAATAATTAGTTGATTAAATGAAATGCTAAACTAATAGTTAAATACTCAATTCGATGGAAAGGGACTATAGAGAGGATTGGAAAACAGGGTAAACAAAAAGCATTGCGCCAGAATGCCAATCGAAGCGATCAAAAATAACGGAAAGGGAGCGGAGGAGTAATTAGTAAAATTACCCGACGGTGGCGAGCTGCGCGAGAAAGAAGGGATAATGCTTGAGAGGAACGAGGGCCAGCTTATACAACACCCGATTCCCCACCCCTAGCACCACCGTCGCCGCCGCCGCAATCGCCACCTCCACAGCTCGATTCCTCTCCCCGAACCGACTCGCAATCCCTGCCTCCGCCGGCGCAGCATCAGGAGTCGTCAGATCTCCTCTGCAATCCTCCTCCTCCTCCACCGCTGGATTCCCGACGGCGGAATACGAGAGAGGCTCTGCCGGCAGCTCCTCTTCCCCCGCCGCCGCCTCGTTTCCGCCGTCCGGACGTTCCCGCACGCCTCTGCTGTGTCCGCCAACCGCCGCCTCGGCGAGGAACAATTCCGAACCCCTCCTCGAGACCGCTCTCAGTGAAATTGCCGGTTGGAGGAGGTGACGGTTACGAATCCTTCTGAGAGGGAGGGAGACGACTTCCGCCACCGTCGAAGCGGAATCCTTCTGCCCGCGGTGGAAATCCAGCGGCGCCGCCGATCCGGCGGTTAATCGGCGGCAGCATGACATCATAATCTTGAAATTCTTTATCCTACCGATGCAGAGAGATGAAATTGTCTGTATTCAGAGAGAGAGAGAGAGAGAGAGAGAGAGAGAGGAAGAGCGGGGCTGCTGGGAGGAAGAAGAGAGGGAAACAAATTATGAATTCGCTTTGCATTTATATATAGCACTGACACCAATATACAGCCATTGTTTCGAACAGAGCATCGGCAGTCGAAAGAAAAAAACGATTTCTTTTCCGGCAAATTACAAAATCCCCCCATTCTTTTCCGGCAAATTACAAACGATTTCTTTTCCCTCTCCCATCCCATTTTCTAGTTGTGAAAAATGGGGGTGGGGATGATGGCGGCAACAAAAACACAACTTTTCAACGTCTTTCAATTTAAAATCTTTATCATATCATATCACCACTTTCTCCTCTGGAGATGTAGAATTTGCAATTGATTTTCTAATACAACGCATCGAATCATATGAAATCCAATGGCTAATGAGATCAATATCAACGATATAGCCAACAAATAATTTATGACTCTGGTTTCCACTTATTCATTTGGCTTGGTCGCCAGCAAGAGATGATTGCTCTTTAGAAAATTTTATTTTACATTGTCGTGTATCACTTGTATGCTTCGGCATCACCTGAATGACAAAATATTGCAATCCGAGAGAATGTCGAAAAAAGTGAAACTTAAGTTGAAAGAATCATTAACATACATACAGGTCCATATGGTTTCTACCTTAAGGGCTAGAAAAGATGCTCAAACTCAATGTCATTGAGGTTTTAAGGACACTCTCTAAACAAGTGTAGCCTGTCCTTCAAAACTCAACAAGATCTCAAGACCTAAAAACTGTCATCTCATTCTACTATCCAAAGCGTCCAGGCATAACAAAATTAACATATCCGATATAATAGACAATGAAACTAGTGAGAAAATATGATTCTTGAATCTCCTGATATAATAGACAATGGAACCAGTGAGAAAATATGATTCTTGAATCTCCTGATGTGATAGACAATGGAAACAGTGAGAAAATATGATTCTTGAATCTCCTACACTATCATGGCTCCTCTATCACCAACCTAATCAGTAGCACTAAACAACTTGATTGTGCTAGACAATTGACAACTAACCGGCTACACGAATGCGGCCATCAAAACAAAGCATAAAACTGAAAAGGAATAAAGCACCAACAGCTCGCAGCAATGACTGTTGACATAATTTACTCTCAAGGTTTTACCTCAGGTGGCGCAAGTGGCTGCCTGCATATAGCTCATGATGTGCTCAATCAATAAGAATATATGATGCTCTATTAGTTCATCAGCCACAAAGCTTCATAACCAGCTGCATTGACAGCAAACCGCACTGTGTCTTTCAACACTTGAGTTAGATTGAGCATCATCCATATCTCAGGTAGGATCACGTCATACAAATTCCGATGTACTCGAACAATATCACCGGACAGCTCCTGGTTTTTCGTGGATCAGTCGCCAACAGTATATGAAGCCAAAACTTCAAAGCACTCTAATAATCGTAGTCACTCTCCCTCTGCGATTCGTCTTCATCGTCGTCGAACAAATCCTCAGCTGGATCATACACAATCATGCTGGGGAAAAGCTCCAAGAAATCATCTTTCACCTTCTCTCTTAACTCTGGATACGGGATCAGCCCCTTTAACATCACTCGGAAGGGCAATGACAGTGGTGGATCAGGTGACTGCCTCATTTCATCGTATATCTTCATTGCTTCTGATGGCAACCCATTGTCCAGAAAGGCTCTGACAATGTCCCCAAATGTATGCTGATCGAATAAAACTTGTTCTCTCTTCAAATCTCGCCACACTTGCTCGACTTCTTCCACTTTCTTGTTTCTTGCTAGCACCATGAGCATGTCTCTATAGAAGAACATGTCCGGCTTGTACCATATCTCCTTACGAACCACGTCGTATAACTGCAGCCGCCCAACAAAAAATGGAGAACCCTCAATGAGATAATTCATCTGGTTGCTCAAAGTAAGACTCTAATTCGAATTCCCAAATGGACAAACAAAACTTGAGCGAATGAAATCGGAAGAGAGAACGAACCTTCATGCAGAGGAAGATCTGGTCTTGGCGCTGGAACTCGGCGAGTACAGCTAGGAGATCGGACTTGAGAAGGCGAGAGACGTGGGACTGGATGAATCGGTCGAGGCGCAGGGGATGGGGTTGGAGCCGTTTCAGTTCCTTAGCGGCGAACAGCCCCTCTTTGCCCAGCTCTTTCTTACGCCTCCATATCGACAAGCTCGGTCTCGTCCTGGGAGCTAAATTCGAGAAGGGGTTCTCCCACTGTGCAGCGCAAGCGTTAGAAGGCGGCGAGACGCGGCGGGAAAGCGAGGACGACAAGGGCTTGCGGGACAGAAGAGCAAATTTGGAGATCAGACGCAACATTCCTCCCTCTTAGGCATTTCTTCGAACACCTTCTCTGCGAGCGACATTTTACAGAGCAGGCGCAAAAATAAATTTGGGTTCCTACTATGTGGGCTTGGAAATAAGCTGACCTTTTCAAGGTTCACTGTTTCGGTCAGGTTTAGGAGCATTTTTGGGCCCATGAAATCTAACGACTATACAGTCCTGGAAAGTTATTGGACCTAGATGGAATTCGGTTCAATCGGAAAAATTCTATTATTTTAGGAGTTGTTTGGATATGGAATTTTTGTGTGAGAATTGAGTTTAAATCTGGGGTAATACCAAAGGAAATACCATCCTTTAGAGAAAGTGCCATTTATATTACATCGTTTTCGAAATGCCATTTGTATACTAAAATGTCTTCTCTGTTAGTTGGGCCGTTAAACATAACTGTGCGACTTTTCAACGCACAGTCAGCGCTTACTTGGATCCTACGTGGCTTGCTGACGTGGTTTATTTACTGGGGGAAAAAAACCAAGGTAAAAGTGAAAACTTACTCGGGCTCCCCTTTACTCTTTTCATTCTCAATCTTTCCCCTCTTCCTCCACTGCGAAACACAGAAGAACCCTAGCTTCGCATAGGGAAAAAATTTCCCTAAATCGACGAGTTGGGCGGAATCAATCGGCGTGCGAGTAGAGGCGAAGAAGTCGGATCGTTGCTGGGAGTGAGATCGGAGGAGCGGAGCTGTCGAATCGTCGCCGAGCTACTTCTTCGTTTACCTTCGTCGCTGGTGTTTGGAGAAAAAGAACCAGAAGTGAAGCAAGAATTTTGCGAAGGAGTAGTAGGAGTTACTCCCTCCTCCTGAGTCTTCTCCATAACCAAGCATAGAAGGTGATTGCGAAGAGAAGAGGAGGTTTATCGGTAGAGTTTCTAGGGTTTTTTGGGGACCTTTGGGGAAATAGAACCTGCTCCTCACATGGGGATGGTTTATTAGTGTGTTGCAAGAGGAGTTGGTGATTGGAGATGGCAAAGGGTGGACTGTTGTAAGTGACCAGCAGAAGGTAGCATCTAATTTTCTGTTTTATTCACATCTTGAGTTGTTATTGTATGTCTACTAACTTTCTTATTGTATGTAGGGTCTGGTAGAAGCACTTGCAAGGATTATGCCTCATGCACACCACAGGAAGTGTGCGAGACATGTTTTTGCAAACTGGAAGCCAAAACACAGGGGTCAAACCTTCCGAAATCTGTACTGGGGTGCTGTGTATGCAACCAACATGGCAAGGTTTCGAGCCGTGACAAGCAGAATGGAAGCTATTCAAAACAGCGGAGAAGACCCCACTTTGTTGAAGGACTTCATGGACCAGCAGCCCGAGAAGTTCCGTAGGGCATTCATGTCCCATGACTGTAAGTGTGATGCTGTAGAAAGTAACATATGCGAGACTTTCAATTCCTATATCGTAGAGGAGCGAGAACTTAGAATTATTGATATGTTAGAAGGGATTCGCAAGAAATTGATGGCTAGGATAGTGGACAAGAACAAAAAGTTGGGGAAGCTTAAGGATACAATCTGCCCTAGGATTAGAAAGAAGATTGAGAAGGGTAAGGAGTTAGCTAAGATGTGGCAGACAAGGCCCTCACTTGAAGATAAGTTTGAAGTATCTTGTGGGGACGAGGGTTATGTTGTGTCTTTGAAGGAATTTTCTTGTACTTGTGGGTATTGGGGTTTAACTGGGGTCCCATGTGAACATGTTGTGTCGGCTTTGGCTTGGAAGAGGCTAGACCCCAGCCTCTTCGTACATAAGTTCTACTTTGTTTCTGAGTACAAGAAAGCCTACAAAAGAGGGCTGCCTACTTTGGATGGCCGACAGACATGGCCTACGACAGAGGGGTATCTTGTGTATCCTCCAAAAGTTCGGATTATGCCGGGTCGTCCTAAGAAGAATCGGCGAAAGGAGGCGGGTGAGCTTGAAACTCGACCCCATGAAGGAGGAGGAACCGCCATTCGGAGGCATAATATCGTCATGCATTGTAAGAACTGTGGCGGCGAAGGACACAACAAAAGAGGATGTCCTCATCCAGCTGCACCTCAGGTAACCTCTTTATTCTTTATTTACATTTTTTGGTCATTCAAGCTTCTTTATTTACACTGTCAAACTGCAGCAACCACAAGAACGCAGGCCACGTGGCAGACCAAGGAAGAATCCAGCTATGGATGATGAAGTCAATGCAATGGTAATGTCTGTTTGAGAGTTTTTAGCATAAATGTGAAGGACGAACTATTGATTATATGTTGTTATTAGATGCATGCAACAGGAAGAGCTACAAGAGGAGGCCGGAATGCAGGAGGCAGTAATGCAGGAGGCAGGAATACAGGAGGCATGAATGCAGGAGGTGGGGGCAGATCTGCAAGAGGTGGTAGAGGCAGAGGCAGAGGCAGAGCCACTAGAGGTGCTCACAATGGAGGAGGAGCTGCTGTGATTGACCAAGAAGGCGGTTCTCAGCCACCAGCAACCCAAGATTAATGCCATGTGATTTCTATAAGTATAGGGCAGATATGTGTGTTGCCCAGTTAGGAGTACTATGCTTATGTGAGGAAACAATAGACCTTGCTTATGCTTTTGTTATGGCACTATGTATGTTGCCTTGTTAGGAGTAGTATGCTTTTGTTAGGAGTAGACTCTTCCGGTTTGAAGAGCAAACTTAATTAGCTCTTCATATGCTTTTGCTAGTTACTAAGACTCTGGTAGATCGGATATATGCGAAGTATTGTATGGTTGGAATGATCTTTTCAGGTCTACGTTCTACTATATTGCACAAACATCATGCTAAAACTTCTCGAATTGAGTCATTAAATTCATACAATGTCAACTACAACAGAAACTTCAAACATTGACAACAAACAACATCGACTAAAAATGAACTTCATTCCAATGTCAACAAACATCATCAACTTCATACAGCTTACTCACTTCAACCAACAATAGCAACCAATAACACTGATCAGTAAACCTGCTAAAAAATAAACAACTGTAGTCAGCCTGGCATTTTCATCCCTAGTCTTGACCAACTCGGAATATAGCACTTGTTTTTCCTTCTTCCTTCGTTCTGCCTTAGCTTCTACCGCCTTCAATCTCTCTTCCAAAATAGCAACAAGCTTCATCTTCGAATCGTCGTCCATCGTCAATAGCCGATCAACCCATAGAAAAAACCTACAACTCTTATCAATGTTCTTCCAATACGGGCAACAGTAAAACTCCCTCCCTGGATTATCTGCTGTCCCAGATACATTTACAATAGCCGGTACATTGCATCTGCACTTCACTATATATAAGTTGGCAGAACTTTATTCTGCTTTGCTGTGGTTAGATCTTCGCTCAAACATGGTGGTGAGGGTCACCAAACCAACTGTTATAAAAAATTAGGGTTTCATTCGCACCACAATTGAAAAAAATTCATTCAATAAAGTTGAATCTTATGGAATGGGTTGTAATCAAGACTAATTTCGACTTACTTACCGTTAGTTACGACCACTCTTCCACACTTCAACTGACCTGCTTCGTTTTTTGTTGTGTCACGACCGCCGCCTAATCCAAACTCACCGTCGCCTTCCAAAGCTCGACCGCAAAAGATGTACAGCCACCACCGCCTTCCTAAGCTCCAGCGTCGCCGCCGTCCAAAGCTTCGCCGGCACAGTCACCGCCGCCGTCGTCTGGAACGCAGGTGCAGGAGAGAACCTCCGTTCGTCCGTCGAGTTGGGACTTGGGGGATAGAGGCCCGATGTTGTAAGAAGATAGGGTGGGTGGGGTTAAAACTTAAAAGAATATTTATTTTGTAATAGAATAATAAATAATTAATAAAAAGTATTTTTAAAATTTTAAAGCATTTTTTCCAACGTGACATCCACGTGTCGCCTACGTGGACACAAAGTGGGCCACCGTCAGGTCAACCGTCAATTCTAACGGTCAACATAAATTCGCGTAACACAAATGACACAAACTTTTAATAGATTGGAATATTTTTGTGTTTTCGAAAACGATGTAATATAAATGGCACTTTCTCTAAAGGATGGTATTTCCAGTGGTATTAGCCCTTTAAATCTCACGAACTGTGATAAAAAAAAATCATGTTTAGCAAGACAAAAGCAACATGAAAATTGAGGCATGATAATTTGGTTCAAATCTCACAGACATAGAAATTTGTAATTACAACATCCACCCTATATATTCTGACATTTCAACGTTTTTCTTTTCTTAACCAATTCTATCTCTCTTCCTTTTCATCATTTTTCTCTTCCATCTTCCATCTAGGAATGGCAATGGGTCGGGTTGGGTCGAGTTTTGCTAAACCCAAATCTAAACTCATAGGTTTATCCGTCAAAAAAATTCGGGGTAAAATCCATTGGGTTTGGAAACTCAAACCCAACCCAACCCAACCCGCTGGGTATCCGCGGGTTCATGGGCACCCATGGGTTTCTGTGGTAAAAAATTTATAACTACAAGTTCCTATCAAAATAAAATTCAAACATCAATTTCCCCATACAAATTAATTATTCATAAATAAAACATCATTCTAGAAAATTCAAACATATCACAATTACACTCAATAAATTCACACAGAATAAGTGTAGTAAGAGTTAGATTGGAGAAAATTAGAATTATGGTAGGGTTTGGGGAGAGTAGGACGACGAAATAAGTGTGAGCGGGTATCCATGGATCAGGTACCCCTAAACCCAAACCCAATCCAATCCAATGAATAATGTACGGGTTTAAACCCAAACCCAACCCGAAACCCGTCAACGCGGGTTGAATCGAGTAGAGTACCCGTGGATTCGAGTTTTGTTGACATCCCTACTTCCTTATCTCACAAAGGGAGAGGAAAATTGGTACACTTTAAAGTCCACATTCTTAAAATCCTAAACTAAACGTGGAACTTTAGCCAATTTTCACTTGACAATTATCATAGTATATATAACGTGAGAATTAAGGCTAATTCCCACGTTTTCATATTTTCACAACCAAAAGAGGTGTTGACCCAATAAAATTAAGGTCCTACGACTAATTTTGTTGATTGAGTTGATTTGGGCCTACTACGCATTTTGCTGGGAATAGAATTACAAACAAAATCAAACTTTAAATTCCAATGACAAACAAATTCAACCTCTTAAGTATATAAAATAATTTTGTTTAACAATCGATCATCCTAATTAGGACTGGAAGTTTGGTACCGGTATTTAGGATATACTGTATACCATATCGAATTTGTCTATATTTGGTATTACCGAATACACATATTATTTTGCGGGATTGGGATTGGGATTGAATTTCAATTGTTATTCGGTATTAGGGATTACGGGATTGGGATCGGTATATACCGAAATACTGATCAATACCGAAATATAAGCTAGTGTGTATTTTATCCTCTCAACTAGACTCTCTCATTCAATACTACGCGACCCTCAACCACCAAAAGTGTCTGTTTGAACCTAACTGAGTGTAGGAGTGAGGTTCACTAGAATGGGTCGAGAAGAATGAACGGCTCGGTTGAACAAGAACTTTGAGACAAAATGAGAGGGAGGATAGAGCTGAGAGAGAGAGAGAGAGAGTGTGTGTTTAGTGAGAGAAAGTAATGATCTTAGAGATAGAGTCTGAAAAATCCGATCCCCTCACCCACCGGAGTAAATGCCATATTTATAGGCTACATGGTGGTGGGTGAGTGGTTGGGTTACAAGTGGGTATAATGATGTGACCACTGACATGTCAGGGATTTAGGCCATACTTTTAGGACCCTGATGTGACTACCCCTGACATAGGCAGGACTATACCTAGGACTATACCTAGGACTATGATGGTGACGGCCTGTTGGATGACGCGGCGCCGCTTCTACGGCTACTCGATAAGGGCCCACGCCTGTGCAATGCGCCGTCGTTTAGTGTTTACGCGCGCCTCCACGGGGGTGGTCTCTACCTGCGCGCTTGATTCCGGCGCGACTCGCGCGCTCGACTCCGGTGTGACTCTCGCGCTTTGCCTTGGCGTGAGCATCCTTGGTGCTTCCTCAGTGGGGTGAGATCCGAGTCACATGCCCAACAGTGTCATTTAATTATACATAGATCATTACATCACTATTTCACACTAGTATTAGTCGTCTCTCAACCTCAAATTCGTCAAATTAAAGATTACCAATTACAAGAACTTAAGATGTTAGCTCTAGGCAACTCAAGATTATTTGCTTAGTCTCTTTGCTCTAAATTAAACAATAAAATCTAATTTATATATTTAATTATTAATTGCAAAGGTAATTAATTATGTATTCGATAATACCGATTGGGTTACCGAGGTACCGATTGGGATACCAAAATTATTTAGGGATTGGGATTGGGATATCGAAATTATTTAGAGATTGGGATTGGAATTAATTTTAGGGTGTAATTCGATATTCTGGATTTCGATATTTGATATTGGGATATACCGATTTCCACCCATAATCCTAATGATAAACAGGCTCAGTTCTATCATATATTTCTTTTGTCGATATTCTTACATGTTGAATATTCATGATGACCTCAATTTGCTTCGGATATGCATGTCTTTATTATTGGCTAATCATCATAAATTCCATTACCTCATAAGTTTAATTTCACTCCAAATATTCATTTGTACGGTTGGAGTTTGAACCTTGTTTTTTAGGGTGTTAAAGGTTGATCACCCTCAAAATTTGGAGGGTGATCTTCTTTACACTGGCTTTTAACCATGATTAAAGCATATGCGTACTATGCATATTTTTTGTATAATCAATTTCTCTCTAGAAAAGGTTCATGATCACCATGTATGCATGATGCTCCACTATTGAATATAACATGCTATATGATCGTCGTTAAAATTCATGACATTTAATAAATTTAATTTTTCTGATTCATCAAGGTTGCCGCCCAAATTCACTCTCACATCAAGATTTTCTTAAAAAAAAAAAAAAACAAATAGAGACAAAATGAATAGATGAAACTGGAGTTGTACAAAAAGTGGCATCTCACAACCAACCATACTGAATTCTGTACTCACCATCCAACCGGATTCCAATTATTGACTTCTCCATGGCAGGTTGCTGATAAATAAAGGTCAAACAATAGCATCAGTACTCTTCACACAGATACAGAAGGGAAAAATGCAATCAATAGCAAAGTAAATTCAGTACCAGCCAAAACCCAAGTTCAATCTTCACTTGCTACTTCATTTTGAATGCTCTCCATTCCCTAAAAAATTTGAGTTTCTTTATGGCAGTTGCAGGATTGCAGTAGTAACAGGAGCAAACAAGGGAATTGGGTTGGAGATAGTGAAGCAATTGGCTGGCCATGGGATTACAGCTGTGCTCACAGCCAGAGATGTAAAGCGAGGGACCGAAGCAGCTTCAAGCATTGGCCTTCCCAATGTCATCTTCCATCAGCTTGATGTCCTTGACTCCCTCAGCATTCACAGCTTGGCCGATTTCATCACCAGAAAGTTTGGGAAACTTGACATCCTGGTGACAAGTGTTCAATGCTTGTTTTCTTCTTTCTGCACTCTCGATTTGTGGAATTCATCGTCTGAAGGGGCTAATGTTTCTGGCGCAGGTGAACAATGCTGGAGCTTCTGAAGTCGAGGTGGACAAGGAACGCATCAAGAGCCTGAAAATCGACGCAGAAACTTGGGTGAGTTTGTGAATTTGCTCAAAAAAAATCATCATTTGATTCACCTCATGTGTTTTAACACCATAGTATATGGCAGCTTTCAGGAAAGGCTGCTCATTTAGTTCAGGATGCAGTGAAGCATACATATGAGAAGGCAGAGGAATGCTTGAACACCAACTTCTATGGCGTCAAGGCAACAACTGAGGCTCTCCTCCCACTGCTCAAGCTTTCCACTAGTGGTGCCAGGATAGTTAACATCTCCTCCCTCCGAGGGGAGCTACAAAGGATCCCTAGCGAGGACGTGAGGAACCAACTTGGAGACGTCGAGACACTAAATGAGAACAAGCTGGATGATATGGTGAAGAGGTTTCTGCAAGATTGCAAAGATGACAACCTCGAGGCTGGCGGAACGTGGCCATCGATGCTGCCAGCATACAGCATCTCCAAGGCTGCTGTGAATGCCTACACGAGAATCCTGGCGAGGAGGCATCCTGAGATGAAGATAAACTGTGTTCATCCTGGATTCGTGAACACAGATTTGAACTACCATACGGGGACCATGACAGTGGAAGATGGGGCTAGAGGTCCTGTCCAGTGTGCTCTTTTACCTGAGGATGGTCCTTCTGGCTGCTATTTTGATCGAACTCAAGTTGCTGCCTTCTGAATGCAGTATTGTTGAGCTCATTTAACTGGCAACCATGGAGGAAAAACCTTTAAACAAGCAATTAGTAGAAAAACCTTCAAACATGTCAACCTAAAGCTTCTTTTGGAAATCTTTAATCTTTATGCTAGCACCTGCAAAAGCTAGGAGAATCATTAGTTAAAAAAAAAAACCAACAGGTTTATGATACACTGGTGAGGAAGGAAAAAAAATTTGGACCATTTCTCGATTTATGCGTGTCATCCTTGCGCAGGGGCCATGCTAATCTTCTCTGTATCGTTCCAATTTTATCGGATGTCCCCGAAGGGACAGCAACTTTTGTTTTGCAGGGATTAATAAAGACTTTATTCTCACCAAAACAACCGATGTGGTACTTCTTGTTGTCGCATGAACCCCAGTGGTTTATGACTTCTTAAACTCATATAAACTGACCAAGTAGAACCTTTATCAAATTATTCAAAGGCATGTATTATCGTTAAGTGCCTAGATTAAATACAAAGTACTCGTATTCATTTACTTATAACAAGGGAAAAGGGCATGTCATAGCTCTGTTCCTTAAGGTAAAAAGGCCGATTCTCGAAGGTCCTTTCCTTTTCTCCCATTCTGCAGCTTCTGGCCTGTAAGCAAAGGGATTGTCAACAAAGTAAACAAGCAAAGAAGACAGTCCTGTTAAGCAGGGACAGCATCCGTAAGTAAAGTGCAAGCACACTGATGAAAATTTGTTTAAGCAAAACGATTAAGGTAATCATGGCAGAATCAACAAAAGATGGCTTCTGTTCTCCGTAAAGTACCTGTGGAACTCTCGAAACACAGCACAAGTTATAACGAAGACCGGCAGTTAAGAAACCTCGAGATGAACTACTTGCTTGGTTGTCCATATGGAGTGGAAAAATGAACCCAGTACATGATGTAAAGAGTCTTGCAGTAAGACTAACGGTCACAATACACCTCCTAGTCACAGTTTGGTTAGGGAAGGGGAAGGAAAAAGAGGCACTGCCAAGGAGCAAGGATAGACATTCCCTCCAGTAATATAAGGCGTTCTCCATTAGTTACCTCTACAAGATGAACAGTGTTACTGAACTGCTTAGCAGATTAGGAGAAGACTACTAGTGTTTTTTATCTCTAGGTATGGATGAACATGGCGAAAGCAAAGGAGAACTACCAAGAAAACCATATACTAGCTTCGTATGTAATGTACTGAACCAAACAGTTCCATTAATCGAAAAGGGTCTCTACTCTCCAGTTATTAACTCCACAGGTGATTAGATACACTGAATAGTTTAATATGCGTAAAGAGACAACTACCAGTGTTTTATTTCCAGGTTTGGATTGAACATGGCGAAAGAAAAGGAACACCACAAAGAACACCATATACTAGCTTCTTATGTAATGTACTGAACCAAGCAGTTCCAGTAATCGAAAAGGATCTCCGCTCTCATGTTGTTAAAACTCTACAGGTGATTAGATACATTGAATAGTTGAATCCAATAGAAGCCTAGCAGTTTGATTCAGGCACCAACTCAGGATATTACTCCAAAAGAACAAAACAGAGGCTGAAAACAACAATTTAAGGGATAGAGATCGGAAGGATCCCAAAAATATTAGGACCATTTCTCGATTTATGCGTGTCATCCTTACGCAGGGGCAATGCTAATCTTCTCTGTATCGTTCCAATTTTATCGGATGTCCCCGAAGGGACGGCAGCATCTGTTTGACAGAGATTTATAAACACAGAGCCTTCACTTAAAAAGAAAGGATGTGGTACGTTGTAAACTAGAAGGGATATCTATGACTCTATGCTCTCTCTCTCTCTCCTGGTAAATCCCTGCCTCCTGCTTCCTTATTCATTTTCTCGTTTCCTAATTTTCTATTCATGAAACTGCTAAAAAGCAAGTCTAACTAACAAACTAAACGCAGCAGAATGCCAAAACCTCCTCTACTTTCCAAGTTTTAAAGTCGAAATACAAAGTCATTTGCTTTATGGTAAACCAGAAAGGAAAGGGCATATATACCTTTAGCGCCTTACTTGACAAACGCCATGCTTTCAGTCTCAGGTCCTTCCTCAACTGGACTCCGCAAGCTTCTGACTATGAACAAAGAAGATCATCAAACCAAGAAACACGTAAAATCCTAAAGGGACATCTCAATACTTTTCAGCACCCTACATGTCTAGCCCAAGGGAATCAACCCTGCCACCTTTACAACAGTTGTGTTCAAGCCAGAGATGTAAATTTACGAGGGACTGATGCAGCTTCAAGCCTTGGCTTTCCCAATGTGCTTTTCCATCATCTTGATGTCCTTGACTCCCTCAGTGTTCATAACTGGGCCAATTTTCTTACCAAAAAGTTAAGGAATCTGGACATCTTGGTGGGGTTGTTGAATGCCTGTTTTCTTCTTTCGCACTCTTGTTTTTCTAATTGTTTGCTCACATCATGTGTTTTAACCTTGCAATGGAAGATTTCAGGGAAGGACATGAGGGAACAACTTGGGAATGCGAATGCTGAGACAGTGAGTGAGAATAAGCTGGATGATATTCTGAAGAGGTTTCTTCAGGATTACAAAGACGACGACCTTAATAATGGCAGCATGTGGTCATCGGTGCAGCCAGCATACAACATATCCAAGGCAGCTGTAAATGGCTACTCGAGAATCCTGACAAAGTGGCATCCTGAGATGAAAATAAACTGTGTTCATGCAATGCAGGTACCAGGATTCATGAGCACGGATCTGAACTACCATAAAGCGACAATGACAGTAAAGGAAGGGGCTCGATGTCCGGTGAAGTGTGCACTTTTACCTGACAATGGCCCATCTGGCTGCTATTTTTATCAAACTCAAGTAGCTAGCTTCTGAATGCAGTATCGTTGAGCTCAATTAACTGGCCACCGCGGAGGAAAAACCTTGAACAAGCAATCAGTAGAAAAGGGAGGCCACATACTCCGCTCGTATGCTGTTCCAGCTCTTAAGTACTCTCCAAACATGTCAACCTAAGCTGACATGGGTCATTTTAATCTTTATGCTAGGACCTTCAAAAGATATGAAAATCATCATTAAAGAAAGAAGAAAAATATAACTGGGCTCTTAAAAAATGGTGAGGAAACATATTTGGCTCATAACATTACTCCAAAAGATCAAAACAAAGGCAGACAAGAACAATGTAAGGGACAGATACCGGAATCGGAAGGATCCAAAAAAAAATTTGGACCATTTCTCGATTTATGCGTGTCATCCTTGCGCAGGGGCCATGCTAATCTTCTCTGTATCGTTCCAATTTTATCGGATGTCCCCAAAGGGACGATAACATGAGTTTTAGATGGTATTATTAACACTGGTGCTCTTGCTGAAGACAAGCGATGTGGGACGTTGTAAAAAGGAGGGTATCTATGATTCTCTCTCCTCGTCAATCTTAATGAGGATAGTTCAAAGTTCAAACAAGGAAAAGGGAAATCTCTACTTCTTTCTCTTTGCATTTCGTAATTTCCGATTCATGAAACTGCGAGCAAATCTAACTAACAAACTAAATGCAACAAAAGAAGCAGAATGCCCAACTCTCGAGTACTTCCCAAGGTTTAAAGCATACGAAGCTATTGCTTTATGGTAGACGAAAAGGAATGGGCATAACTTTGGCAAGGTTACTTAAGAGGGAAACCGTCATAATTTCAGACCAGGTCCTTCGCCAACTGGATGTTGCAAGTTTCTGACAGTGAAGAAAAGATTATCATCAAGAAACATGTAAAAGGAAAGTCTAACACTTGCGTAAAGACTCTGCACTGCACACACATTTCTCGGACCCTCCATGTCTGGTCTAAAGAACCAAGCCATAGAGTTTCTACAGCTTCAAGCCTTGGCCTTCTCAGAGTCATCTTCCATCAGCTTGATGTTCTTGACTCGCTCGGCATTCACAACTTGGCCGATTTCTTCATCGCCAAAAAGTTTGGGAAGCTTGACATCCTGGTGGTGCTGTTGGATGACTGTATTCGTCTTCCGCGCACTTGTTTGTCGAATTCGTCACAGTTTGATCATCTGAAAGTTGATTTTCTAGTACAACAAAGCTGGAGCTTCTGGCATTGTGCATCATTAGGAACGTGTCAAGGTCCCTGGAAATCAAGGTAGAAACTAGGGCGACTCCTCATTTGGTTCAGGGTGCAGTGAAGCATACCTAAAAGCTTATCTTCATCTCCAGATGCCTCTTTTCCAGGATTCTATTGTAGGGGTTCACTGCTACATTTGTGATGCTGTATATTGGCAGCAACAATGGCCATCCGCCAGCGTCGAGGATGCCATCTTCTAAAAACCTCTTCACTGTATCATCCAGCTTATTCTCATTAAGCGTCTCAACATTCCAAAGTTGTTTCCTCACTGTATTATCCATCTTCTGGCTGCTATTTGATCAAACTCAAACAAGTTGCTAGCTTCTGAATGCAACAATGTGAGATCACTTAACTGGCTACTGTAGAGGAAGAACCTTGAAACAAACAAACAGTGGGTAGGAAAAAAAACTGGTCTCTTAAATATTGGTGAGGTAGTAAAAAAAATTTGGACCATTTCTCGATTTATGCGTGTCATCCTTGCGCAGGGGCCATGCTAATCTTCTCTGTATCGTTCCAATTTTATCGGATGTCCCCGAAGGGACAGTAGGTTGTGTATGTACAAGACTTTATAAATGCTGGACTACTTCTGAAGACAGGTGATGTGGTACATTGAAAAACAGAATGGAGTCTTAATGAGGATAGTACCTCCAGTTTACTTTGGCATGCCCAACTCTCCAGTACTCCCATGTTGTAAAGTCAAAATAAAAAGTCATTTACTTTAGGGTAAACCCAAAAGGAAAGGGCATATATACCTTTAGCGTGTTACTTAAGATGACAAACGTCATATGTTCAGACCAAGGTACTTCCCCAACTGGATTTTGAAGCTTCTGACTGTGAACAAAATGAGATCATAAATCAACAGCCAGATAAATCGAAAGTCTAACACATGTGTAAAGAGTAAAGACACTGCAATGTAGAAACATATTTTGGCACCCTCGTCTACGGCCAAAGACTCAAGCCATGGGTTTTATACGCAGCAAGAACTGAAGACTAGTTTAAAATGAACTGAGATATGAAGCAATTGTTGATGAAGGTCTCTTTCGAATCCTTTTAAAAATGAATAAAAATGAAAACGCTTTTGAAGGGACATGTGTGTAGCATAAGCACAAGTAAGCAAGCAATTGAATCAACCTCACCACCTTCCCATCTTTTCTCTCTGCTCTCTATCAAGCTGGCAAAAAAATTGAGAATGACTTCTTCTCTAATTACTGAACCAACTGCGTTCATCCGTTTTCCAGTCGTGAAATTAACAGAGCTATTGGATTAACTGAACGTAGTAGAAGGGTAGGAACTTAATAGTTGACACAAGTAGTGATCCACATGTAGGCAGCTCTCGACTCTAAGAATCATGCAAACATGATAAGCGAAACCGGGTTGACAAATTAATGAACATGAGCTAGTTATGGAATCTGAAAACCTCCATAAACTAGCCCAACATTTGAAGGAGCCTAAGTCTTCTGAGAGACAAAACATGAACTACACTCCAGAATCCCCCTGCTTTGTAGTGTTACTTGTAAGATTTCAATAGGGGAACACACTAGATGCACATGTGTAGCCTTGGATAACAGACTGATATAGCCTCAGCAGATAGTCAAGAACCCTCGAGAATTAGTAATTTATTGCTTGTCACTAGACAATTGACAACCCTTCATCTCCTACTTTGGATGGACAAGGTGAAAGGAATAAAATCCATGCCAGAGATACCATCTAATCCTATTTACATGAACCAATGCCTTCAGATGACTCAAGTGTTCACCATTTGTTAACTCTGAAGATGAACACAGGTTTTGAACCATTGAATTACTTCAGCAGATTATGAGGGGCATGACTAACTGACCTGTCACTTCCAGTAACTAAGATCATCTCCAGTTGTTAACTTCACGATGAATAGAATTATTGAATAACTGGCTCCGTGAAAGTATAGCAACTAGATATTGCCTGCTGCTAAATCTAAGCAGCACTCCCATTCCAAACTGGCTGCTGTGAGAGCACTCTTCAAACATGTCAACCTAAACTGATATTGGCTATTTTTAATATTTATGCTAGCGCCTTCAAGAAGAGCTATTTTCATGTTTGTCCACAGTAAACATGAACCTAGTAAATTATGGAAGACTATTACTCACTATTCACCTCCTAGTGGCGGTTTGGATAGAGAAGTTGAAGGAAAAAGAGGCACTGGCAGGCTATCATCTTATCATATCTATGCAAGTGATATAAGATGTTCTCCATTTGTTAGCTCTACATATGAACAGTATTAGAACTGCTCAGCAGATTATGAGACTACAATTAACGTTTTATCTCCTGGTTTGGATGAACACGGTGAAAGAAAAAAGAACACTACAAAGGGAAACAATATGCTAGCTTCATATCTAATTTACTGAACCAAGTTCTCATAAAAAAAATTTACTGAACCAAGTGGTTTCAGTCATTGAAAAGGATCTCCAGTTGTCCTTTTTTTTTTTTTGTAAGGGTGAAATAGTTTTTTATTAATTAAGAAAATAAAAAGAAAGAACCATCTCTGTTACAATGCTTACACTGCAGGTGATTAGATTTATTGAATAGCTGAATCCAACAGAGGTCTAGCAGTTTGATTTTGGCAAAAATTCAGAGCATAACTCCAAATGTCCATAACAAGCCAAAAAAAAATGATGTAAAGGCCAAAGATCGGAAGGATGCAAAAAAATTTGGACCATTTCTCGATTTATGCGTGTCATCCTTGCGCAGGGGCCATGCTAATGCTTCATATCTAATTTACTGAACCAAGTTCTCATAAAAAAAATTTACTGAACCAAGTGGTTTCAGTCATTGAAAAGGATCTCCAGTTGTCCTTTTTTTTTTTTTTGTAAGGGTGAAATAGTTTTTTATTAATTAAGAAAATAAAAAGAAAGAACCATCTCTGTTACAATGCTTACACTGCAGGTGATTAGATTTATTGAATAGCTGAATCCAACAGAGGTCTAGCAGTTTGATTTTGGCAAAAATTCAGAGCATAACTCCAAATGTCCATAACAAGCCAAAAAAAAATGATGTAAAGGCCAAAGATCGGAAGGATGCAAAAAAATTTGGACCATTTCTCGATTTATGCGTGTCATCCTTGCGCAGGGGCCATGCTAATCTTCTCTGTATCGTTCCAATTTTATCAGATGTCCCCGAAGGGACAATAGTGTTAGTTTCACAAGGTTTTATAAATGCTAGGTTCCTACTGAAGACAAGTGATGTGGTACATTGTGAAAAGGAAGAAGGCTCCTATGGCTTATTGCTCCCTCCCTCCTAGTAAATCTTAGTAAGAATAATTCAAACAGGAAAAAGGAACTGCTAAAAAGCAACTCTAACTAACAAACTAAATGCAGCAGAAGAACCAGAATGCCCAACTCTCCAGTACTTCCCAAGTTGTAAAGCCAAAAGACCCAGGTCTATTACTTTATGGTAAACGCAAGAAGGAAAAGGCATACCTTCAGCGCTGCCTGTTACTTATGAGGACAACCCATAGTTTCAGAATCAGGTCCTTCCCCAACTAGATGTTGCAAGATTCTGAATGTGAACAAAAGGAGATCATGAAATCAAGAAACGTGTAAAAGGAGAGTCCCAAACTTGCGTAAAGACCTTGAATTGTATTTTTCAGCACCTTCCATGTCCGGCCAAAGACTCGAGTCATAGAGTTTCAGCAGCGAGAATGGGAGAGTAGTTGCAAATGAGTCTGAGATATCCAGCAACTGTTGATAAAGGTTAAGTCGGTCTGCCAAATGAAAAACCAATCAATTTCCAAGGAACAGATGCATATCATAAGTGCAAGCGAACAATCGAATCAACTTGGACATCTTAGCATCTTTTCTCCCTGGTCTCTATCAAGCAGGCAAAATCATGAATAAAGAAAATATGGCTTCTTCTCTAATTTACCGAGCCAAGTCCTTTCAGCCATTCTCCAGTTGCGAATTTTCACAGGATGAGAGCAGACCTATTTGGCTAACTGAAATCTAGTAGAAGGGTAGGAACTTGATAATTGACTTAAACACAAGGAATGCTCCACATGGAGACACAGGTATTGAATGATTGAACTACTTCAGCAGATTATGAGGGCATGACTAATTGAACCGATCACTTCCAGTAGCTAAGATCATATCCAGTTGTGAACTGCATGATTGATAGATTTTATTGAATAACTGGCTCCAGTAGAAGTATAGCAACTAGATATTCCCTGCTGCTATATCTAAGCAGCACTAGCATTTCAAACACAAACTACAAACTGGTCGCTATGGGAGAAGGCATAAATGTGAGGGCGAAAAATTCTCGATTTATGTCCTATCCTTGCACAATGGTCATGCTAATCTTCCCTGTATCATTCCAATATTTATGGGATCTCACTGAAGTGACAGCATCTACACTGCCACGAGGTTGTAACTTTAGGACTTATTCTATTCCTAATCCCCCACTTGAACATTATTTAAGCAACACCAATAAACTAATCATCGAAACGGCCATCCTTAACCCTACTATATATTGAGCCAAAGCATATATATCGAGTAGAAAAAGGAACTAACCTCGCAGAGGGACTGAACTGTACAAACCCATGATGGCCTTCCCATTCAGATAAGACAGGGGGATTTCTGAAACTTGTAACTACAAAAACATAGGTGTCCAGTGAGCAACAGTTAATCAATGAATCAAGATAAGAAGAAAACATATTACAATCGCCAACTTCTTCTCATTTCTCAAGCAGTGACAACACTCTTCGGTTGTCAACTTATTTCTATGCTTTAGGGAAAATGCCAAACTGGGTCGCTGCTCTATCTTGCACAAGAAGGCGATTGCTTGATTGGGCAACAAATGAGGTGAAACACAAAAAAAAAAAAAAAAACAGGGCAACTTTCTACCTGCATAATGGAAAAAGCACCCAGGTAGCCAAAACGCATTTCGTACCGCTCCTTAGACAACGATGAAAGAATAAGGAAGCAGAAAGGCGTCGATCGGTTGCCGCCTTTTTCCAGGCTCCAACTTGAAGTTTTACCGCGCCTGAGGATTGCCGCCCACCAGAAGGCCGAAAGTTTACCGCCTCAATATTGAACGACGTCGTTTCGAAGGAAGACATCACATCACAGTCTTTGTTCTTGACTGGGCTGTGACAGACTGGACTTTCACATCCGACCCGCGTAGCCCATAGTGATTCCGTTTCGGATTTGGGCCGAAAATCCACACAGTCTATGTTGAAGAAAGACGATGAAATTCCTGGGATTCCTTCTCAAGGGGTTGTCATTTTAGTCTATAGATCATTGAGTAGAAACTACAAAGAAAAACTGAACCTTTTTGGTTATCAATTAATGATTTTGCTGTATCATCATCAGTCACTGCGGTTGTGAGAGAAGATAGAATCCATCTCAATGAAATGGAAAAAGAATACAATTTTACAAATACAGCAAAGCCGCCATACTGGCTAGAACTCAGTTACTAGCTACTACTAAACTGCTCAGCAAGTTTCAATAAGCTATAGGTCTCAGCATCAGGCCTAGCACCTCCTAAAATCATCCTCCTCAACAGATTCGGATCAAACATTCTGGCCTTCACATAAGCCTTTATCAGAGTATTATACACAAAAGTATACCTTATATACTTGGCCTTTCCAAGCTCCCCAAACAACTTCTCGGCATTCACCACATCACCCTTCTCCGCGAAAGCCTCCACGAGAGCAAGGGTCGTTTCCAGCCATGGTGTCGAGTTCCTGACTCCGCTAGTCGCTCTCATCTTCGACCCCATCTCGAGAGTCTTCAAGGTTTCCTCGACCAACCCGGCTTTCAAACAACCCAACCCGAGATGTCGGAAAGTTATTGCATTCGGTTTGCAGTCATCGCTAGCCTCCATTTCTCTGAAAATGGCAGTGGCCCTTTTGATGTGCCCGTGTCTGCAGTACACGGATAAGATCGAATTGAATTGCTCGGTCGAACTGAGGTCCTGTCGTGACTTCATCTCTAACCAGAGCCCCTCTGCTCGACCAATTGACCCAATTCGGCCAAAGGCTTCAATTGCTAGGACATAACTCTTGGGTCTAGCACGAGGGAGGTTTTGTTTAATTCCCCATATTCTCTCGAGATCCTTCTCCTTCCCCAAATAACCATACAACATGATCAAAACATCCAGCGTTGACAAATTCTTCCCTGTATGAGACTTCTCCACTGCTTCGACGTACTCTTCAGCAGCAGTGTACAGTCTTGCTGTAGCATGAGCAGTGGCCAATATGCAGAATGAGATCTCATTCGGCTCTACTCGTGATCGTTTCATGTCAGCAAATACCTTCAACAGGCCTTCTATGTTGTGCTCACTAGCTTGGATCTTCATCAGGATGTTGTATGTGGAGGCGTGTGGTGCCACCTTGTCGGCCCTCATTTGGGACATGAGTTTAGGGAGTAATTTCCTGCGGCCAGGGGAAGAGTGGAGAATGATCAGGCGATTGAAGACTAAGTACGAGATTTGGTGCCCTAATTCCCTCATCTTCTTCATGTAATCGAGGGAGAGCCTCAGGATTCCTTTGTCCAAGCAGGAGATTACGAGGTTGTTGTAGAGCAACTCGTTCTGGAACTCGGGTGGGACACGAGAGAAGAGGTTCTCGGCATGAGGTACCCCATGAAGCTTGCACGTGAACTCCAGGAGATAAGAGTAGTCGAGTTCCTTTGGCCTGTATGGTCTTTCCCTGATTACCCATTCCATCACCTATCTCAATTTCCATCAATAATAGTATATTAAGTAAAGAATAAACGGATCAGTGAAATTGCGATACAGACAATATATCATAAATTCTCCCTCCAAATGAAGAATGCATCACAATAATGAAAGTTGTGGAATTTCAGAGTCAATTAAGTGGCAAAACAAGAATTTCAAGTATACTTGAGTCATCTGAGACGTGCTTTGAATCATGATCAATCATGATTGTAACTGATTCAGATGAAATCTTTACAAGAGGAACTAAAACACTAACAAAACGATAAAGTTCAGCGACATTTTGTTAAAATCGTAGGATAGGAATAACACAATAGTATGGGGACTAAAACTAGCATTATCCTAAACAAATAAGAAGAGTCCTCGGGAAGAAAGAGAGCATGTACTTACCTCAACCGCACGTTTGTTCATATTACACTTCCTGAGCCGATTCATTGCATGAAAGATATCTCCCCTATGAACTGGGAACCCCTCAGCCATCCAGCTTTGGAAGGCAGATCCAACAGGCACTCCTCTTGGGAGCTTCTCGATTCTTAAGGATAGACAGTTTGGTGGTTGCTCTGCTTGAACTTCTGGTTCCAAGATTTTTGCAGAGGAAACATCTGTCTCTTTAGTGTAGAGAAGGCCGGAACAGTAAGGAGCACTACAGAGAGGTAGGCGAGTAATGCAAGTTGTTTGAGCAATAACTTGAAAGAACATGCGCTGGCCCAAAAGGGCCAATGCGCGCATACTTGTTCTCAAACTCCAAAAGAAGATGGATTAAATAACAAATGTACACAGATAACTGGGGCTCGGAGTTAAGGGTTTTGACTGGTAGTATTGTTCTTCACTGATATCACAAGATCATGGGCTGAGAGTTCCCCTGTTGAGAAACAATCAAGAAGGTTTAAAATCTGGCTAACGGACAAGGGGAAGTTAATTGCAAAATAGAAAAAGTTAGGACCTTTTTTTACAGCAAAGAAGGTGTACTCTCTGAGCAATCTTCCAGCTCTAACCTGCAAAGTGACCAAAACATTAGTTTTGAAAAGAGCACAAGAGACAGGTGGGGGCACAATTACACTGTCACTAGTGAAGCTCAGTATAGCAGATTACGGCAGTTAAATGTCCAGACGATGAGAGAACACTTAAAGAGCATACCAAAGCATCGAAACATGTTGACCATAACGTTCATCAAACAGAAGGAATAGTACAACGGTACCAACCAGAACAAGGAATCACAGATGCATACAAAACACAGATGCAGTATGATTAAACTAGTTGATTAATAGAGATTCAACTTCACTTACTAATACAATGCAAGAAATCTCGGTTTTATCTAGCTGCAAAACCGCAAAACGAGGGATAAGAAACCAAGGGTTGTGAAACTGTACCAGAGACTGTCAACCAAGTTAACGATTTAAGGTATACCATTGAACTAGGATTACAGTAATGCCATATCAACCTATGAAGAACTAAACATCATATTAAGCCTAAGCGGAGATATCATGTCCCATAATAAAATAGATATTACCAGCAGCACCATACAAAACCAAATAACTCCAGCCTACATGCATATCTATCTGTATCAAATTCTTCAATCAATCGACTAGCTACAAATTACACGGATAAACCTCAAATCAACCGAATAGCTACTGTATCTTAGAGCGCCTACAAGCTTAAAAATTTATACAATATAACTGAAAACTTGAAAAAAATGACAATGCGCACTGGGTGCTTGGTCTGTCAATGGGAGGAAATCAAGTGAATCAAACAAAAACACAAAAATGAAAACACCTGGTACTACTTAAACGAAAAATCTACCAGACAAAGAAATAAGAAAAAAGGAATTTTATCTTTGAAAGCTGAAGTCACCGTCTCCGCGACTGAAGAGGCGGCGGCGGAGGGGTTAGAATCTTACAGAGGCAATTGAACGGAGGTAGCGTACGGTGGAGGAACTGGTATTGCTTCTTCAACTAAGGTGTCCGGTGGCGACTGGCGAGTGCTCAACGGCGGCCTGCCAGCGTGGGAGATGCAGAAGCAGCAGCGGCGGTCGAGTAAAGGAAAACTAGGGATTTTTTTTTTTGTCCCTTGGACGGAATTTGGCGCTCACAACTTCAATTTCTTTGTCAAGATCAGCGTTAAGAAACGGTGTAGTTTCTTTTCTAAACTCCGTGCTGAATTACAAATTTGCCACTAAACTTTAATTGAACTAATATTCGTTGTCCTAAATTTTTTTAAAAAATTGTCCTAAATTTTTTTAAAAAATCGCCCTAAACTGTACCAGACTGACCCTTTTACCTCTATATTTATTTTGTAACGAAACTTAAGCAAATTATCACCTCAACCCTACCCCGCCTGTCGCCGCCCACCTCTTCCGCTCCCACCAATCCATCCCTGATCATTTTCAAATCATCCCCATCCCAGCTAGTCACCGTTAATTACCCACCCCACCCAGAACCAGAATCTTGCCACCTACCTCGTTGTCGCTGCGTTTATGTTGGCGGCAAGCGATCCAACCCCGACCCCCCACCGCCCAGCTCGCTATCGCTGCTATTTATGTGCTGCTGATCAATTTCTCAATTTACAGAGCAAACCATGAAAGAACATCCCCACTGTAAAATTCTCAATTTCAACAACTGATTCAACCTCTCGTCACACCGGAATCACATTCCCCTCAATTATTGGCACAATCGTGAAAGTTTTAGATATACAAGTGTATTAAACCTTTTTTTTTTTCTACACAAAAGGAGCATGCAGTCTCTAGAGACAAACCTGAACTTCCCTCTCCACTCTCTAGAATTCTCTCAAACTCCAAAGCTCAATCGCTCCCAGCTTCCCCTAACCTCTTCTTCTATTTCCTCTTTCATAAAACTGTGTTGAAAATTCTTAATATTTTGCATACCAACTAATGATGCTTCCACTATCTAATTTGACTCATGACCTCAACGGAGGCGTGTAAGTTTCGGCATAGGATTTTGTGTAAAGATTTAAGAAGCACTGACACCTATTTTGTTTCTATCATTTTCAATGCTTGGTCTTGGATTACAACATTTAGAAATTTTCTCAGTGAATATAATATATCATTTTTAATCCTAAACCCTAATTCTCTGGCCCTTTAAATCCTATTTTTTGAATGTGCGAATCATATAACTTAAACTAAAATGAGCAAATACTAGACCCTAGTTATCAAAACGTTAAACTCTACGATAAAAAAAAATGCACCGAGGACAACGATAGATGATTATGAACCTTAAACTCTAACTTTAATTGTTAAATTCAAACATTAGTTAATGATGTAAGACTCATTGGTCAATGATATTTAGTCTTTCATTTTTATACTTATATGATTCTCAATCCTTAATGAAATTATTAGTTATTGATTTTTTATCATTCACTTCTGACATTAAATATGTTTTGTTACAAAACCATTGCATTCTCTTATGATCATATAATATAGGGCTAATACCACTACAACACCCGAACTATCGCGAAAATGCCACTTGTGTCCTATTGTTTCCAATATTCCATCTGTGTCCTGAACTCTGATTCCGTTAGTGTTGACTTTTGTTGACCGTTAGTTTTTAACAGAAAATCCAGTCAGTGCTGATGTGGCATCTGACGTGAAATTTTTAATATTAATTTTTATTTATTTTTCTATCTGATATTACTAAATAAGAAAAAGGAAATAATTAAAATAAAAAATAAAATAAAAAATTTAACCCACCCCTCGTCCCACCAACCTCTTCCCCAAGATCCAGATCTACAATTCACCACCACACCACAAAGCCTAACCTCCCTAAGCTCCTCCGCTCCACTGAAACCGCCGGATAGACGATTCACTCCCCTACTCCCACCGCCTCCGCTAACTCCCTCTCGCTGCTTCTCTGCTTCATCGAGCTCGCTCAATGATTGAAAGTACGGGTTTCCTCCAAGCGAGCCGCCTCTCTGCTCTGCTCACGACAATGGTAACCAGACACCGTCCTCCTCACTTGCTGCAGCAGGGCGAAGAGCTCCTCTGGCACATCCGGCGGGCGCTGGTGTTTGGAGATTTCTTCCAGCTTCGCCTGCTCTTCGTTTTGGATCGACTTGACCACGACGACGGCGGCCTCCACTTCATCGATAGAAGGCCTCGGCGGGAGGGATCTGGAGAGCCTCATGATTTCGGCGACTGTATCCACGATGGCGGGCGACGGAGCTTCTGGCCCACCGTCATCGTTGGATTTCAGGGCCATAGCTGCTGGGAGAAGAGATAAGAGTGAGTACGATTGGGAGATTAGGGTTCTAACACAACGATTTTGGGGACCAACTGTGTTGTGGAGAAGGCTGCAGCAACGTTGAGGCGAGGAAGCGCCCGTGAGTTAAAGTAGGTGATCTTGTGTCAGATCTAGAGGTTTGCGGTGGGGGAAGAGAGATTGCAGGTTCGGTGGTCTGAATCCTGTAATCGCCTATAAAAGTTGTCGTCGGCGAACATAGAGCCAAGGACAAGTCTCGCGTCGATCTCCCCTGCCTCAGTCGCCTACCGGCGTTCGTCAAACTCGTCAATTTTGCAGTCGGGGAAGAGGAAGAACGGAGGCGGAGAGAAGAGGAGATTGGAGAGCAATTTTTATTTTATTCTTAATATCAATTTATTGTTGTTACTTTTTAAAGTAATATTAATTTTAGGTTAAAAAATATTCTTGAATTTAAAGTTTTTTCAAATTTTTATTTTCATAGTTTTATTTAATTTAAATTAAAAATGTGAGGTGTCAATGACTTGGCATTGCCACATAAGCAAAAGTCAATGTTAAGTTGACCGCCGTTTGGTCAACTGTTATCTTTAACGGTCAACGAAATTGACAGGATACAAATGGCACAAAATATAATAGTTCATGACATGAATGGAATATTGGAAACAATAGGACACAAGTGGTATTTTACGGATAGTTTGGGTGTTGTAGTGGTATTAGCCCTATAATATATTTTCGATTTTAGCTTAACCATCGAACTTGTTTGAAAGAAAAAATATATATATCACTTTTGAGAATATATAATCATTGTATTCCCACAAACTCACGTAACCTAATCAATTTATGAGTTGTGATACACTTAAACTCCACATTTATTATTTGATTCTTGTGGGAGCATTTCTACTATGCTATATAGTATTGGTGCTTTAATGTACAACTTAAAGTTGTACCATAACATGAAATGTATAAGTTTAGATTGTACCATAAAAGAATTTGTACTATTATGTTATGGTACAACTTTACAACTTGAAGTTGTACCATCACATAAAGGTACAAGTTCAAGTTGTACCATAAAAGAATTTGTACAAACAGTATAGGTACAATCTGAAATTGTACCATAACATAAATGTACAATTTTAAGTTGTACCATAAAGACAAAAACCTATAGCACCAATACTATATAGCATTGTAAAATTCCTCTTTCTTGTGGTGGGTAAGTCCTCTGGTTTTAAGATGTTTACTTATTTTAGCAAATTTTTGTTGCAGTCTATAGTTAATTAGGAATCTTGACTTTCACTCTACCTATCAAGTACTATACTGAAATTTACAAATTTTTTCGTAACTAAAATCAAAATATAATTATAAATATTGAAATGGAGAATATATATATATATATATAAAAGACTACTATATAAAATGAAGAAATGGACCTCCCACCTTGGCCAATGGCCACCCCATGTCGGCCGGCCGACAGATCATTAATTCCTTAAGTGACAGGATTTTTTCCGTCCGACGAAAAGGGAAATCCGTGAAAGAAAAGGAAGAGAAGGCGGCGACCAAGCATGAGAAAGACGAGAGAGCGAGAAAGCAAGGAATGACTCGCTCGCCAAACGCCGCCGGCGCCGGCGGGCTAGCTATAGCTGCGGTCGGTCGGTCGGTCGAGCAAGTCATCCTTGGCTTTCACGTACGTACACAAATACAAAACATTTAATATTATTTGCATGTGTTGATCTGATCATCTCTCATCCTCACCATGCTCGGCCTCTTCCCCTAAAGCATTTTTGCTCGATCGGTTGAGCTTGCAAGCTATGAATTATGGTGTTCGTTGATGCCGTGTGGGCACATATATATATAGCGACATATGAGAGATCCAAGCATGGTATTTTCTGTTTAGTTACCGTACATATATAATTATTGTGTATACAATTAAAAGGTTTGGTGTCACGATGGTTTCTATACGGATTGGGAAATAGGAGGATTCGACAGAGCATAACGAAACACGAAAACGCATACGAAACACGATTTACGTGATTCACTAACATCAATGTGTGTTAGCTAGTCCACGGGTAGGAGAGAGTCAGTTTCACTATACTTCAAGAAGATACAAATTACAGAGTAGCATGAGAAGTATTTATAGTACTTCACCATGGTCTAACCCTAATCCAATATGGTAAAGGAAAAACAGTTACAACCAAGCCCAAAACACGAACCCAAACAACATTGAACCCATACACCATGGACCGGAGGCGTTGCCCTTGAACCCCCCACTCGCTGACCAGTCAGCGAGACCTCCATGACATCCAATCGTTAGCCAGATAGTACGATTCAATCCACATCAACACTTGGATTCCAATACAAAACTCCGTCCTGCAAAACTCCACCTGTACCGTCGTATCCCGACATATAGTGATATGATGATACGAATTCAAAGTGAGCCGATGGCTGCAGCCACTAGGAGCTAGCCGACACGAATTCGATAAAAGACGACGAGACGGCAGGAGCTGCCTGTGGAAGAAATGCCATAGAAAGGAAGGCAGGGAATGGGAAGGAAATCATGTCGCCGCATCCTTCTGTGGTGGCATTTTTTTGGCCGACGACTTCTGTTGTAACCAAGCGCTACCATTGAATATAGAAATTTATAAAAAAATAATAAGGTTTCTTTCTCTTTGTACATTACGATCCAAAACGAATCGCCCATGCGGTTCATGGAAAAGCACCGCCTTGGATTCGCCGCGAAGTCCAAAGAAGTGTGGTTCGTTTGATTCTTCCAGCCGAGGAAGACAGCTTGAGAGGGACGACGAAGACGGTGACAATGGCGGAACCAGCCAAGTGGCAGGCGAGAAACGAGTTTAGGACGAGAAAACACCTCCTTCTAGGGTGGCTATACGGTCCGGTCCGGTTAAATTGGACCAAATTGATCCGGTCCCAGTCCGGTTTTTTTCGGGAATATAAGGACCAAAGATTGGATTAGATACAGTCCGGTCTTGACCCGGTCCGGTCCCAATTTTATCTTGATTTTAGGTGTTGGGGGTCTCTTATCCGGTCTTTATCCGATTTTTTACCTCAAATCTAAGTCCGAATATGAGATTGCATTGTTTGTTATTCGGTCCCAGTCCGATCCCGGTCCGAATTATACAGTCCGATTTCGGGTAAAACCAAACAGTCTGGAACCAAATAGCCAACCCTACCTCCTCTTTTTGGCACACAACCATTTAACTCATAATAATTGGTGCATGTATTGGTTCTTCCTGTGATGGAGACTGTTCGGCGATCAAAAGCAAAATGAAATGATTCCCCCTCTAGCAAGGAGGCCAATGGTTGAGGTAAACGTGGAATTACTCTTGATGCGAATGATTTTGTCCAATAAGATTCAATAGTTTTTCCACATTGTGGTTTATCACATCTAAAATGTGGACGATGTTATTGGTAAATGGGAGTTTTTAAAACTCTAACAAAAGTTCTTTTTTCATTTATGATCATCATATGATTGTGTTGAGTGTCGTGATTTTCTTTATGATATTGTGTGTATTGTAAGGAGAATGGGCTATGTGGTTCTCAAAAAATTTGGAGAGGTAAGTCATGAATAGATAGGGGGAAAATATGAATCAAGGACATGCATTAATAGGAAAAATAAGAAGAATAAGGGCTAAATTGCAAGTTTGGTCACTCGAATTGCTATAAAATTTCACGTATGGTCACTCGAATTGGTTTATTCTATTCATAGTCACTGTAATTAGTTAAACAGTCCAAGTTCGGTCACTCTCTGTTAACCTCCGTCAGACTCTGTTAGTGTCGTCACTTTATTATAAACCAGACACATAAGATACCCGAACCGAATCAAACCCGTGACCTATCCACCCTTCTTCTTCTTCCTCTATCCACTGCTTCTGTTGCCGCCGGGGAGATTTTCCCTCGATCTCCCTGCTGTAGCCCCCGCCGCAGGATCCAGATTCGCGATCGATTCCTTGCTCGGGCCTTCGTCACCCACAAAGCCGACCTCGACTTTCACGGGTTACCCTGCGAACCCGATGTGCCCACCCATCAATTTGAACACCAGGCGATAGCCTTCGGGTCTGGATCTTGGCCCGGATTTCCAACCACCACATGAGTTCGAGCGCCGCCACTTCCCCTCCAGCGAACCTTGAATTCGCGTCCGTCTCCCACCACCAGTATGCGGGAGTGTCACCCCATGTGATCGCTAGATCCCCTGGCTCCCACCATCATCGATATCTTCCCCCTCCCTGCCTCCACCGCCCAACTCTGCAGCAACAGACAGATTAAACCGGCGAACCAACCAACCAATAAATTGAAATTGAATTGCCCTAAAGAACAACCTAGACATGGATTGGAAGACTAATTGATAGAGATTAATTATTGACGAGGGAGGTTGGGGTAATCGGGTATCTGACCTTTTTGCCTTGGTCGAGCAGAATTGGTTATTGGCAGAGTCGGCGAAAGATAGGGCTGAAAATTTGCATGTCCCGTCCCTGTCCCGTCTCTGTCCCTGTCTGACCCGTCCCTGAAGGGTCAAGATGTATAACTGTCCCGTCCCGTCCCTGTCTCCTTCTTGACCCTGTCTGACCCTCAAGGGTTGAGACGGGACGGGCCGGGTCAGTGGGTCGACCCTAATCAACACACTACTTTTTTATAAATTACGTTTTGGTACCCAAAATTATTTTTTCTTACAATTTAGTACCTAAATTTTATTTTTTTTACAAATAAGTCCATAAATTTTGATGGTAAAATTACGTTTTGGTACCCAAATTTTTTTATTTTTGCAAATTAGTACCTAAACTTTTAAAACTTTACAAAAAGGTCCAATGAAATATGAGATATTTGTTGTTGCTAAGGGTCACAGGGTCAAAACGTGACCCGTCCCTAAGTTGTCCCGACCCGTCCCGACCCTTGTAGGGTCAATAAATGACCCGTCCCTAATCTGTCCCTGTAGACAAACTGACCCGTCCCGACCCTTAGGGACGCGACGGGTCGGGACGGGTTAGTGGGTCTTCCGGGACAAGCTTTCACCCCTAGCGAAAGAGGTGCTGCTTGGAGACGGAAGTCGAGAGAAGAGATGGATCTTGCCGTAGTTGTCTTCCTTGTTGGAGTCGTTTTGAGAGAAGATGGGGGAGGGAGATGGAGGAAACAGAGCCATGGCGAGAGAGAGAGAGAGAGAGAGAGAGAGAGAGAGAGAGAGAGAGAGAGAGAGAGAGAGAGAGAGAGAGAGAGAGAGAGAGAGAGAGAGAGAGAGAGAGAGAGAGAGAGAGAGAGATTTTTCTGGGTGGGATTAATGTTTTTTTTGGTTGGGTGGGTTGGGTTGTGTTTATATGAGGTGGCAGGTTTTTCTGACGTGGTGGGTCAATTTCTGTTTTTTCTTGGGTTAAAATTGGGTGACTAGACATCTCTGTTAGTGACATCAGCAGTTAACTGACGGCACTAACGGAGTCTGACGGAGGTTAACGAAGAGTGACCGAACTTGGATTGTTCAACTAATTTAAGTGACTACGAATGGAATAAACCAATTCGAGTGACCAACATGAAATTTTGTAGCAATTCGAGTGACCAAACTTGCAATTTAGCCGAAGAATAAGTAATAGTAGTAGTAGTGCAAATGGATGAATATATAGAATGCATTCTAACTCACCTTCTTTCATAACATAAATTAACTGAAGGGTTAAAGGTCGTCCTAAGAATTACTAACTGTCGTCCTAACTTAATACGTAATTTACTGAATTACCCTTTCTAAAATTCAAAAACAAACCCTAAACAAACAACCCCTTCCCCCACTTCCTCTCCCCCGACAGACAACTCTCCCCCGACAAAAGGAAGCCGCCGCAGGCAGCAGAGCAGCCGCCGCAACCCACCTCGCCGGAGCCGTCCGCCGCGGCAACCCACGCTGCTGGAGTCGCGTCAGTCCGCAGCGTAGTCCGCCGCCGCAACCCACGCCGTCGGAGGGGAGTCGCGCGCCGTCAGTCCACCTCGTCGCGCCGCACCCCACTCGCCGTCGCCATCGTTGCCAACAGCGCCAGCAGTCGCCGTCTTCGCCAACAGCGCCGTCAAACCCCACTCGCCGGAGAAGGTCAGCTCCCTCCTCCCTTCGACGCCCTCCCTTCGACGACCGAAGCCGCCGTTCGGTTGGCCCTCGGTCAAACCGAGGTCAACGTTCGGTTGGCCCTCGGTCAAACCGAGGTCAACGTTCGGTTGGCCTTCGGTCAAACCGAAGTCAGTTTTCGGTTTAGCCATGGTCAAACCGAAGTCAACTTTCGGTTGACCCATGGTCAAACCTTGGTCAATTTTCGGTTGGTTTTGTATTTAAATAATTTTAATGCAATTAATTAATAAAAATTGTTATTAAATATTCTAAATTAAGAAATAAGAAATAAATTGTAGTTAATTATAAATAAGTTGTACAGTTTATAATTAATTATAAAAATTATATTCGAATAGTTTTATGAATTCAATTATGAAAAAAATATTGTGAATAATGTATAAAAAATTATTAAAAATTATTTGAAAATTTTAAAGAGTATTAAAATTCAGAAATATAATCTGTAAATTTGTAATTAATTTAAAAAACATATTAGAAATAATAGGAAAATTAAAAAGTAGCCGAAATTAGAAGAAATCACTAAGAAAGTTGTAATTAATGTTAATAAATTATCAAAAAACTACAAAAAAATTAGAGAAAATTATCAGAAAATGTTAATGCATTTGATTATCATTAATTCTAAATCTTATTTTTTTTTGAAGATGTCTGGACATGGAATAGGCAAACCGTACATGAATAAGAAAAGAATGGAAGAAAAAACGGAAGGAAGAATGGAAGGTCGTGCTTGTAGACTTACAGCGACCGGTAGAAAAGAAAATGAAGAAAAAAATCCACGTAAGGTTAAGGGGAAGAAGAAGAAGGCGGAAATAGTGCGTCCCGACGGTCGCCCCACTATGGGACAGTTATCTCTTAGTCGAAGTACTACCTCCACCCCTACTCCTGAGGATGCGACGCCGTGGGAGGCTAATTGGAGTGATTCGGTTTCTATGGACGACGACGACGACGATGATGATGTGGCTGTTGATGAGGTTGGGGATGCCCCACCTGAATCTGATGTAGGCATCGGTAAGAAGAGACGAGTTGGGACATCTTCTACAGCTTCTTCGCACTTTCCACAGCGTGGGCTAGATGGACGCTACGTTGCGAGACGTAGTAGTGAGGAAGACGGTGATGGTAAGAAGAGGAAGAAGGGAGTAAGGGGGGACATGTCATGGCGTCTGACATCGGAGTCTCAGATGTGTTCAGGTGGACCTGTGATTCCCGATGTGATCCCTAGCTTTGGAGGTCACATTGCCTTTGCACTGTGGACTTCCCCAGCACAGGATCGTGGGTTGTTGGATTGTTGTCATAGATCTGGTACTGTGGAGTCTTTGAGGAGGTATGAGTGGAGTTCAGAGGGTTCTCAGAAGGTGGTTGAGGGCACAGGATTGTCCCACTTGGCAGGCTGTATGATGCAGCATTTAGATACAGCTTTGATAACGGCATTTGTGGAGAGATGGCAGCCGGACACGAACACCTTCCATATGCCATTTGGAGAGATGTCGATTCTTCTCCACGACGTGCATCACATTCTTCGTATTCCAGTTGAGGGGGAGCTGATGAGAGATGATCCGGATCCAGATGTTCTTAAGTTAGACATGCATGATCTAGTTCGGGTCCCGGTGGATGGTCCTGTTGGTGGTAAGTGGAAGTCGAAGTGGTTCCTTAATGGTGGTATTCACGCAGATGGATTGTTGGTGCGTGGACGAGAAATGAAGATTATGGACTTGGAGGTGCAGACTTACTTGTTTGTGTTGTTGGGATCCACACTTTTTGTGGATAAGAGTCGCGATCGCCTCCGTCCTGCGATCAATGTATTTCTGAAGGACCAGCGACGAGTGGCCGGTTACGCCTGGGGAGCTGCTGCACTCGCCTATCTCTACAGACAGCTAGGGATGGCCACACGAGTGGGGAGTAAGAGTATTTGTGGTTGTTTGACTCTGCTTCAGGCGTGGATATATGAGTACTTTCCACTCTTCCGTCCGAGCCAGATTCTCCAGGCTCCAGATGCTCCGCGTGCTTCCTCGTGGGTGTGTCACTAACAAATCCTCCTGCTTTGTCACTAACAAATACATCTGGAGTGATAGGGCCAAGCAAATGTTGCAGATGCGTGAGAAGCCACTGGTACGACTCTTTTGTCTCGTCATACACTAGCGCAGATGCAATGACAAAGTTCAATCCCACCGGTGTCATGCCAACAATCTCAACCCATGGAAACTCATACTTGTTGGTCTTGTATGTTGCATCTATCACAATGACATGGTGCCAAGATCGCAACATCAATATTGACTCAGGGTGGGCTAGGAACAAGTGTGTAAGCACGTTACGGTCATCCACATACTGCACATAGTAACCCTTCTCCAGAGCATCTTGAAAAGTGTACTGTAAGGCCGTCCTCTGACCAAGCTCTTCTTTTCTTATCTTATACAATGCGTTAGAAATCTGTCTTTTGTTCACCTTTCCATGCTCCCCTTTTCTCTCGTTCACTGCCTTGTGGATATTCCTTGGGGCGACACCGGCTAATCTCAGTTGTCTGATGTATTGCTTATCATCTTCGGTCAAAACATTCCTCTTACTTGATCCATTCGGAAATAGCTCCAGCGGATGATTGTGAAAACCCAAATTAGCACAAGGATTCTTTCTATTAGCCACTGCTAGTATCAACCAATATCCATCATCTGACCGCTCAATCTTGATCTGAAATTCACACCCCAACTTTCCAGAAGAAGTAAGAGGCCTCCTTTCCTTAGCCGGATCAGAATCAGGATCCTTCGAATTTTTCTTCCTACCATGAGTGCACTTCAAGTATCGTCGCCTACTATCTTCACTTGGATTTTTTTTATTTGATGCCTTCACCAAATAAAACCCAAAACCCTTGGCAATCTCAGTAGCTGCTGCATATGCAATCAAATCTGTATCGTATTTTACTCCATTGACGAATTCTGAGGTGTAATCTTTGCCATCCCCTCCGTAATCATCAATATCCTACAATGTTAGATCTCATGATATAAGTAGGACTCCACAATAATAGAAAATCTAACGACTACATTTAATTTAATAATTATCACAAATAATTTAGCATTCTCTATATTATCCTAAGCAAAATCCAACATTTAACACGACAAAATTTAGCATTCTCTATTATTTACATACTATACATCTAATGTAAGAATCATATTAATCACATTCTATAATTTTTTTATTGCGTATTATGCATCTAATCTTAATTTTGTATACAAAAACAATCAATTTCACAAATAATTAGGCTCATAAATTTTAAAAATAATATAAACTAAAATTCAATAAACAATCTTATAGACCAAACTATAAATGATAACAATAAAATAGAAATATTTGATATAAACTTAAAAAAACCCAAAAACCACCAATAGAAGCAAATTTTCGGTTCAACCATGGCTAAACCTAACCAAATTTTCGGTTTCACCATGGCCAAACCGAAATAAAGGTTCGGTGCCACCGTGGACCAACCGAAAAATTTTTTCGTTTCACCCATGGCACAAACGTAGCAGATTTTCGGTTCATCCATGGCTCAACCGAATGTGATTTTTGGTTGGTCCATGGTTCAACCGAAACCGAATTTCGGTTGGACCATGGACCAACCGAAAATCACATTCGGTTGGGTTTTTTTTTTTTTTTTTTTAAAACGAGATTTTTACCTCGTCGGAGTCGCTACTCATTGTTCGAACGTATGCTCGACGATTTCGGCTTCCAAATGTCGATGATGAATTCGAGAGTGTGGGAGAATGAGTGTTTTTTGTTTTCTAAGTGAATGTGGTGTTTGTTTGCTAAAGGAAAGGTAAAGATGTCAAAAGGTTAAAAGTGTAACTTTGTTGTTTTTTAGGACGATCATTAGTAATTGTTAGGACGACCTTTATCAACTCCCTAAATTAATCTATGGTTTTCTTGGCGATAAAATGTTTCAAGGCGCTCAATGGATTAGAGAATATTGGGGAAGAAATGATTTACTCGTTTGCTTGTTGGATTTCAAAATGAAAGTTTTGAGTTTTGAAAATCTTTGAATTCGTGATGGATTTGTTGCATTTTGTATTTGAAAGATAACATTGTTTGTTTAGTTGAATTTTTATCATGGATTTAGTTCATTTGGTATTTGGGTCCCAAAAATTTGTCTTCCATAATGTGGTATTTGCAAATACGTGGGGTCCATGAATTTTAAGCTAAAAAAATTTCAAATCCCTGAGCCAACATATTTGTATACCTCAACAAACAATAGTTTTTTTTTTATCAAATACATAATGCTTGATATTTGAATGCCAAATCCGACAAGCAAACCACCCTCAATTGACCACTCTTCAGAGGTTGTTGAGTGAACTGACATGTATTTCTTGGCGACATTTTGGTACAGTAAATCAATTTTAACATGACTATTTTGGTTGGTAAAGAAACCTGAAAGAGAGGGCTAAAAAATCTACCCTCGTGGCATTTGAGCTATGGTAATTGACAAAGAGACTAAAATATCACCAACTACTCTATTTTTCAGATTTATTATAAAATTTACGTATAATTACATACTTTTAAGAGTTGAGTGACACCAATAGAGCCACTAATATAAACCATAAAGTGATCATAATATGGTTTTCTTTGTAACAATTGTTTAGTTAAGTTATTTACACGTTATGCACGTCCAAAGCTTAATCAAATGAATTAACAAGATAATGAAACAAAAACATCATTGTAAATGTGTAAGATAACGAAGGTTGAAGTTGAAATACAAGTGAAATTCGCGCCACAAAATACTTTATGACTTATGTTGGTTAATTGACATGTAAATCAATAAAATAAAGCAACGGCCAACGAGGCGTCCAAACCCTAGATTTATAATTTACATAAATCCTTCGTTGCTTGATCCCAAGCTTCCAGCTCCATTATTAGTTTATGACCAATAATGGACACTATAAGACACTATTGTGATTGTAAAAAAAAAAAAAGAAAAAAAAAAGACACTATTGTGACTTGGATTAATTTCCATTGTCCGAGGAACTCAATAATAATAACCCAAGAAATTTGATATAATAACGCTGAGTACATTGACAGCTGATTTTAAAACACAACCAATTAAGAAAATAAGCACCTGAACAGTTCCTTTGTGCTATAATGTATTCTAAAAGCATCTTCAAAATCTAAGCCACAGAGGGTGATGCAATATGGTTCTTGTTCACCTGAGTACTGATTCTCCTCTGTTTTTGCAAGACATGTCGATTGAAAAAGACTTGTTTCAGAACTGAGCCTGGTGTCAGCTGCACTCCTTTCTTATAATGTAATCTACAGCCTCTTCTACAGTCTCCACAACCTACAAACAAAGCGAAGCAGCAGCATTTAATCACCACAACCCATACATTACTCGTATTGCAAAGTCCAAAACCAAATTATGTATCTGCTGTACAATCCATAATCAAGCTTCAGGAAACTGTTAAATGCTATCTAGTGGTGATGTTCTGTCAAGATTAGCTGCATGTTTCGACTGATGTTTTCGTATGCTATGCACATAAGTAACCACGTACCAAGTCAGCTGGAAACTTGTCATGGTTTCCGGTTCCCTTGAAAACCCCAGTTCTAGTCAAAATTGAGAACCAAGGATATCCAGCCTGAAATGTATATGATAGTCAAACAAAAGATGGATCAAAGGATTATACGTTTCGTCAAAACATTTGGTTCACAAAATGCAAAAAATGCTCAACATCAGCTCCTTGTTCGTGAAACAAACCTGTCGTGCGCCTTTGATGTCAACGTCTGGATTATCTCCTACCATATATAGTCTTTCGAAATTATGCACTGCGGTACTTGCATTATCAGGTGCTAGTCCACTGTCGGGGTGAGAAGAAACCAATTGCTTTAGCACAGCTTCAGCATTCTTGAACACAAATGGATTTGGTTTCCCGTAACACGTATAACTAAGAGGATCATGATGAATTCTGCATGTTTCAAACCATATTACCATGATCAGAATAGTACTTGTGACTGTTTCTTGCATAAAAACATAGTCAAACTGGTTTCTGCTACTCTATCTTAAAGATTCAGTTTCAGAACTTTCAGAATCCTCGTGGAAACCAGCAAAGTTATGATCACCAGAAACAAAAACGAAACTGATTTTCCTAAGAGGAAGTTGGCATACTTTTTTATGCTTATCCCTCAAAATGGAAGCTAATTTCAGACTGACAAGCTTGGTTTTACCATAAATGTGTTTTACCTGTTGAAGATGGATTCTAGAGCAATTCTGAAAGCTCCCAACCCAAAACGTTCTGAAGGAAATGCAGCCTTCCTTTAGTGGCACCACGTCAGTTTATTTGGACATCTAAATGATACCGAACTGAAAATTGATACCACAAGCCGGCAAAAAGAACATTACTAACCTGATATGCAAGGTCATCATGAGCAAAATAAAGTTGTGGCTGGTGTCCAATCTCCCTTCCCGGAAGACCTCCAGTTCTTAGAATGTCACAGAGAACCTAACAATTGACCCCATAATTTATCAAGAAGTAACATATTATGTAATTGCAATAAAATAGCATAATAGTTTCTCATAGGCATATGAGATAAGACGAAGTAATGCACCTGAATGTCTCTGCTCCAATCAATTGAATCACTGACAACAAACACAGCCTGTACTCGTTGTGAACAGTTGTTTGTTGAGGTTCTGGCTTCTGAAACACCGTCGTGTTTGGGAGCCTGTTTAACTTCCCAACTCTTGTATGGTGCAAGTGGATCAATTCCAGGAAAACAGGATGCATACTCATCTATAGAGACAACATTTCTGCATAATAAACCATTGTGAACAAAAGTTTAGGGCACAGTAGATAGTGTTCCCAGAGATTTGAATTCAAAAATTGAATAAAATCAAACGGCTCTGGTCCTACTTGAATCCATATTCAGACATAACTGCAGCTGGCTCTCCTTTTCCAACTGCAACAACAAGTTCATTCTCAAGCCTGCAAGGTACACAATTGTTGCGACTGAATATATCTGACAAGGCGAAACACACAATCATATACACTAGTTCCTCAGGTAGCTACCACTTAAATCAACTAATTTATCATAGTAGATAAGGAATGCCAGTACAACAGCAGATGTGAATTGACCAACTTATCTAACCTAATACTATCTTCCCCTCCATGGAATTCTAGCCAAGAAATCCCATGATTTGTGCTCCCTTTACTTCTTCCCCTCAATTGAACCATGTAGCTAGCAATATAACACATTGTGGGGTGTGGTGAGATCAGAAAGAAAACGTGTAATGCTGCGGTGATTTGTTCTTGTTATATCAAACCACAAGTATTGTCTATCCATAATTCACTTAATTTCAGCCTATAAAGTATGGTCCTTGCTGAACTAGGAGCCAGGATCAGATTTATAAAAATATGTGTTCCCAACGAGAGTATTCACTCAGTCTGTAACTCATACCTCTGCACCAAATTCTTAAAGGGAGTATGACCTTGTAGTACCTGGAAAATCACAGAGATGTTACTTGTCACCAACACCATCGAAGCTCAATTGACAGTAAAGAACATACAGTCAAGTGCATATCAACCACTAAGTACCTGTAATGGCGAAACATTAATGCCCAACAGTGTGCTCAACTCCAACGCTCTTATAGACTCGCGAAAACCACCACCTAAAACAGAAATAACCAACACACTTTTCGTTTCTTCTACAGCGAATTAGCCATAATCAAAGTGAGTGCAAGACTTCTTAGGAGCTCAAACGATTAGGGAAAGTAAAAACTCGTGCTCACCATTGGTCAGGAAAACGTAAGGGATCCGTAAGGCACCTGCCAACATACAAGAAGAGAAATCAAATTCAGCCATAAGCCGGCCTCATCACGGAAGCGGAAAACATGACATTGTATGCTCACCGGAGTCTTCGTCGTAGAGGCGTTTGAGAGCTTGAGGGGAGCCGCCGATTGGCGATTCGCTGCGAAAAATGACGCCGTCGATATCGAACGCAATGCCAAAATTACGACGAGGAGGAGACCTGCGCCTGCATTATCGAAAATCACTGAGAATTGTAGGCGGGTGATTTTGAAACCAGAGATTAGGGAACGAGAAGAAGAGAGAGATAGTGAGAAATCAGGGGGATCGGCAAGCGCACTTTTCCGCGGACTGGGACGACAAATGCGCGAAGGATCGCGAGAGGACGAGCGGCGGCTGTGGCGGGGGTGAAATACTGCTCGCGGTGCGCCGCCGCACCGCTTTTGCGAGAGTTCGGTACTGAAACCGCATTGCTCTCCGATCACTGCTTCCTTGCGAACGTTCGGTTGAAGAAGCTTTGCTCTGATTACTGAACTGACTTGGCCATTTACGAGCGTTTGGTTACTTGCCGGTCCGCTGCGCCATTTGCGAATTTTCACCATTTTTACACTAACGGACACTAAACATTGGAGGGATTAGCAAATTGGTCACTGAATCCTGATTCTTATCAAATTTGTCAGAAAGTGTAGACTAAGACAATAGTCACTTCTTTAGACTAGTGATAGCAATGGGGCAGGGCGTGGCGAGTTGGTTACCTCAATATTCATGTCATGCCTCATATTGCTGTGAGTCAGGGCGGGTCATACTCACATGGGTATGAGGCAGGGTGGGTCAACCCATTGTAACATGTTATTTGAAAAAAAATTCACGCAAAATTTTACTTTTTACGATGAAACGAAGGAAAAAATACATAATGAATGAAAAATAGTGATAACAGAATGGGTAATGTCTGCCCCATCGCGGGTCAAGTTGGGTGATACCTAGTGAAACGAATTCAAATTATGCCATCCCTACTTCAGACTTTTCACTAACTCATGATAGTTCAAGTTGGCGAGTTAGTTAATAAAAAACATATAAAATAAATAAAAACAACATAAACTCTCTGAATCTCATCACTCTACCAATATTTTGTTGATAACCTCTTCTTCTTACAATCTCATCTTTGTTGGTTAATTAACCAAAAAAACACTTGTCTCACTAATGGTTGAATCAAACTTATGTTGTATTCAGAACCTAATATCACAACAAAAGATTGGTTCAATACGGGTAGATAGAGGGCCATATCTGCTTGGGAATGAAGTTGTGAGCTCAAACACCAACATACATAGAGTCTGTGGAGTGAAAACCAGTTAGGATTCTACATTAGTGCATATAAGACTAGGACATTTGTCTTTTCCTAGATTGAAAACTATCCAAAAAACAGTGTAGTGATGTTTTGTTACCTTCCAATTCGCAACGTGAAATTTCTCAACTGTCTCAACGGAAACCATCCCCTTTCCCTCGTAGTATGTCCAGTAGTAAGTACTTGTGACTGTTTCTTGTATAAAAACATAGACAAATTGGGTTCTGCTACTCTATCTTTAAAATTCAGTTTCAGAACTTTCATAATCCTTGTGGAAACCAACAAGTTATGATCACCAGAAAACAAAAACAAAATTGATTTTCCTAAGAGGAAGCTAGCATACTTTTTATTTTTTTTATCCCTCAAAATGGAAGTTAATTTAATACTAACAAGCTTGGTTTTACCATAAATGTGTTTCTTCTTCACTGAGTTTCGAATATGGACCAAGAGTGAGAAAGACTACAACTAACTCCAATGTCATCGTTCCATCCGCAAATTAACTATATTCATAAGGGCACGTGTCCCGCACACATTGAAGGAACAAGTAGCCAATAGTTGATCATCTCCTAAAGGTCGAGAGCAACCAGTTTTACTATTTCTCCTTTGTTTTGTTTTGTTTTTTTTTACAAAGGAGAGTCTTTATTGCATTTTAACTGGTAAGTTACAAAGAGACAATAACTAGGGGTGGTAATCGGTCGGTTACCGGTTAACCGGTTACCGACCGAGCCGGTTACGGTATACCGTTTACCATGAGGAAGAGGCCGAATACCGATATTGGTTTGTAACCGGTTACCGAATAGACTGTTACCGGTTACCAACCGGTTAGACCAAGTACTGATTGCCATCTCCACCACCTCTCTATTTTCATTCTCCCGAACAGTCCTCTCTCTCTCCCCTCTCCCCAACCCTCATCTCTCTCCCTATCTCCTCTCCCAGCCCTTCGCTCTTTCTCGATCTCCTCTCCTCATCCCTACCGCCACCGCCGCATGCGGGCATCACACAAGTTTTCTCTCTGCCGCTCAGACCACCAGCCGCCGCCGGATTAGGGAGAGATTTTTTGGGGTTTCTGTAGTTCCAGGTGGCCTTCAATCCGGCCGATTGTCTTTCGATAGCGGGTCACGGCGGGTCATTATTGGGTGTCGATTAGAGAACGGAGAGGATTGTGGTTTTGTGGAGATCGAGAGAGAGACAGCGGAGGGTTGTGGACTCGCTGCATGTTCTTATTCCGCTTCCATGAACTCTAATCGCTCGCCCGTGTTTAAGGATTTGGGCTCTTCTGGTTCTGGAGATGGAATTCAGCAACTAGGCTTCTCTCCATTTCGTGTTTTCTGGCGGTGGAAGAGGAGAAGGATATGGTAATGGTAACTCTGGCGGAGACAGGGGTGGTGAGGCGTCGATGATGGTGACAGTCTCTGCAAGTAGGGAGGGAGGAGGAGAAGACGGAGACGGACTGATGGTGGAAGATCTGGGTGGTGTTTGGTCTGGTCGGAGGGAGAAGAGAAGACGAAGAACTGGTGGTGTTCGATCTGCTCGCGGGGCCGAGTCAACAAAACAGGGAAGGATCGAATTAATAGATTAGGGATTCAGAGAGGAAACTTCTTCCTGGGGGAGATGAGAGAATTGGGGTTTGGGGGTTACTAACGGGGTGATAGAAGGAGAAGGTTGGGATTTGGGGAGGGTATATCGGTTACTCTGTATTACCGATAACCGTCGGGTTCTAACCGAGCATGGGTTGGAATACCGGCAACTGGATTTTGGCCACCGTATACCGATACCGCCGGTTAACGGTACAGTACCGGTTAAACCGTTAACTAGATACCCAATTACCCACCCTAACAATAACCAACATTTTAGTTCAACAGGAGGAAGGAAAAAGGAACTCGGTTACAATCAAACCATGAAAAGCAAAAGCAAGAACAGAGAACACAACACAAATTAACAGCAACCATCCAACATAATAGAACCCTTGAGAAAACCAGTACATCAGAAATCTCTCTTGCAACCAACCACTTAAAATGCAACAAGAGCGAAATCAGCTTGTCCGATCAACTCGAAATCCATGGCTAGTGATTACATCAACCATATGCCGCCTCCTGGGGATAACTCAAAGGCATCCATCACAGTGAATTCTAGAAACAAGATTGCATGGCGGTGGATAAGGATTTGAACGGATTGCTCCAAGATGACAAAGGCAGAGGAAGCTGAGGCAGAGACATCATGTTTGAAGCAGAGCAGAAGATCCCAAGGGAGCCACAACTCTCCACGGAGAACATCGATTACCAACCACCGGAGAAGACCCGACCCTCCACGATCCGACGGCTCACCCCGCAACACAAACACAAAGTGGAGGTCGGAAAGGGAAAGAAGAGAATGACTTCACCAAAGGATGAAACCACCAACCTGGAAAAATCACCACCATCCAGATCTGGAATAGGCACCCACCAAATTGCTAACTCCGGATCCTACAATGAGAAAACCTTGAACAGGAGAACCAAGAACCGAAGGAAGAGACAAAGCTCGACGGGAAATGAAGAGACAAAGCTCGACTGGAAAGGAAGCTGAAAGGACACAACGATAGGGGAAAAGCTGGAAATCCAAAGGAAAAACACCTAGAACAAGGCCAAGAGAAGCATGAGCACAAAGAAAAGAAGAAAACTGTAATGGAGGGGATTGAGCTGCCCCCGATCACCAAAAGGAGACGGCGGCAGCTCCTAGAAAACAAAGAAGATGGAACCGAGAAAAAGAAGAGAGAGAGTAGAGAAAAGAGTTCAAATTTGAAATTCCTTTTGCTTCTATTCATTGTACTCATTTTACCAGCATGGTTGAGTTTGTTTGGACAATTGCAAGGTTGTCAACCCGCGAGTTGACCCACTTTGACCTTGACCTGGTGAGAAAAACGGGCTGCATGCACCCGTCGGGTCGACCACTACAAGGTATCGGGTTGGAGGTCAAATTGTGTCATTTTTTTCTTTGTTTGCGAAATGCGCCTATTTTCCGGTTTTTCTTTTCGTCTAACTCAATCTTTGGAATCCTTAGTTGAGCATTTGAATATTGATGTTACATAAGTGTGTGTGAGTTTTCACTATATGTTGGATCTAAGTACGACATGTTACTTTGGTGTAATGTTATATGTTATTACTCATATGTTAGATGAGATTTGATATAATTTATCAGAATAAGTACAATATAATGACTCTTTCCATATTTCCGGGCTAAAACGGGTGAACCGTTAACCCTTGAACCACTAGCTCGACAGGGTCTGGGTCAACACGCGGGTTGACAACCTTGGCTGATAGCTTAACTATATATGTTGTTTCAACCTCAAACCGTAAATGACTAAAACTTGGTTAGTTGAAGGAAGCATTTTCTCATGCCATTCCATTTTCGGTTAGTTGTCCTAGCATGCCCCCTATATATTGGTGAGTGAAACCATGGTTCTCTTTTGGATATTGTTATGGAAATTGTTCACGTATAGTTGCAAAACAAGTCACATATAGAAATCAAAGTGACAAAAGGTTAAGAAGAAGAAATCATGACTCATGCATAAACACGTCCGAGCCAATAGAATTCAATATTTCTCCTTAAGGAATTTAGTTCCCCTCTACGGTACCTAAGGTTAATGGAACTATTCCTCCCAGGATAGAATGGATGTACCTTTTCTGGCGTACCGGAACTTGAACCCAGAAACCGACGAACGCAACGAACGACGAGAAGTCACACGACTCTGTTTTCTTTTATGTGTTTGTAGAGAGGAAAAATGAAATGAAGATGAAAACCAAGGCCTCTTTCCCATATATAATCAATATGGCATTTCAAGAGTTTCTCTTGGCTCCTTCCCTTTCATTCTCATTCTCGCCATTCAAAATCCCAACAAGAAAAATAGTTATGAAAGTGGGGAACCAATCTCACACCATAAGTTGTTGAGTTCCTTTTTTTCTTATGTATGTCCCTTTGTGATATGAATATGATATGGTCTCCTTTTCTTACTTTAACCATCAAGATATGATCTTCTTTCCTTATACATCCACATGATACCAATAAACTAATTGAGAAAGTTAATCCAAAATTTTGATCTCTAATAAAGAGGTGGTTTTATTATTGTAGCAGATAAGAGATAGGAGCTTGGCGCACAAACAGATGAAGTTTTGATAGTTTGAGAAAGTTTAAAGCAAACAAATGCAAGTGATGAACATCGGTCTTTCACTTTGCCTTAAGGCTTTAACACACTCGCATGGAGCTATAAATCATGACTGTCATGCCATACACATATATTTTCCAACTCAATTTATACTTGTATCCCTGCACACTATAAATACAGTATGCCTATTGACACGCCAAAATACAACACCAAACTGCGACCAAGTGTAATCGCAGTCTGGGAATGCAGTAAAGTGGCAAGTTCTAAATATCAACCCGGGGTCTAGATCTACTGCCTACTCCGTGATTATCTATTATCTAGCAAACTAAGTCGATTGATTTTGGTCTTAACTGGAAGCAGAAAGAAAGCAGGAATAGATTCGATTTTCTGAAGCAAGAAAGAGTCACTCGGGAATGAGTCCCCCTAGCTCCTTAGTTAGGTCTCAGTTGTAATTACCCTGGGTTGATTTACTGTTGATTAAACTGCGGAAGTTCCGACAGTAGCTTGGAATCTCTTAAGCTGACCAAGCCCTCTCAGTCTAACTACCCGGCAGACGACTAGTCTTCACCGGGATAGAAAGTTGAAGCAATAAGCACAGAACTCCACTACTGGAATTGGATTCCAGTACAAAGCAGCAGACTGACTAACTCTCGTATAGCCAATCTACTACTACCGAATAAAGAAGCTCTCACAACCTAATCAGATTCTATCTATCTCAGGTTGCAGCAGAAATCAAGAAAAGCTGATCAGACATCAATCAATTCAATGAATCATGCATCATTCGATTAAAACCAAACAGTATAATCATCCCAAGTCATTACAATCATGATCCATAACACATGGAACTAGGGTTCTTCATACCCAAGTGAGAGAAGGGTTCTACTCCATAGAGAGAGAGAGGGGAAAACAGAATACAAAGCAGTCATACTCATAAAGATGGGAAGAATCTGCTCTGGGATGATGATTTTCACTCCTATGATGATCTCCAAGCTCGATTTGATGAAACCCAGCTCCAAGATCGCTTCTAGGATGTGTTCTTCGCACTTTCTCTCTCTAGGGCTCTGTTTTTGCTCTCAAAAGTCGATTTTCTCACTTGTGGCTCGAAATTGGGTTAAAACCAGAATTCCCGACTCACATGGGCAGGCCACACGGCCGTGTGGCTTACCCAGATGCCCGTGTGAGTCAAAACGCCGAGTTTCGATTAATTGGACTTCAGGCTACCAACACGGCCAGGGACACACGGCCGTGTAGGATCTCCAGTCTGCCCGTGTGAAGCCTCGCACAATCCCACACGGCCACATTGGTTCCTTACACGGCCGTGTGGGTTTTATGTGTGCCCGTGTGGCTTCCTCAGCGACTCGCCACATGTCCAATCTTCGTCCAATCGACCCCGAACTCGCTCCCAAACCTTCATTCACGTACTAGGACCTGAAATATCACAAACAAGCACAACCTAGCGTGAAATCGGCCTTAAACACGAGAATCAACATCTCAAACGGCTCAAGAATAGGGGTAAAAACATGTGTAATTAACGGTTTATCAAACTCCCCCACACTTAACCGTTTGCTTGTCCCCAAGCAAACAAAGTCGGACACAAGGTAAGCTCACATATTTCAATCATACCAACATTGGGGACAAATCATATAGGCATAGAAACACGTGAATCATACTGGCTTTCAAACATCAACACATGAACAACTTCAATAGCAACCTGGACAACCACCACAAAAGACATTTGAGTGCAGCAAAATCGAGTAAAGGAGGAGTCTCCCTTCTGTTCATCAACCAACATAGACTTGACTCAACCACTTACTCAAGACAGTCACCTCATGCATAAAACTCAAGAGATCATAATCAAGACCGAGCCATCTAGGTCCTCACCGGGGTAAAGAGTGTAAAGAACAAGGAAATGAATCGCTCACTCTCGACCAGTGGCGTCAGGACAATTTGCTGCGAAAAATGCGCATACTTATTCTCTCAATTCCTAACATCTCTTCACCATGACGGCAACCTCTAAATGTTAGAGTTCACATAAATGGTTGTCATCACTAACTAATCCGGAGGTCTTAGACACAGGTTTAAATGACTGGCTAGGGTCTTGGACATGGGGAAAAGACCTTTTAGGTGGTGGAAGTATTCATAGCACAAGGTTCCACATTTCCAAACCCAACAAACTCACAGTCAATCAAACCAATAACTTTCTTTCTGCTATTCAGCATTTTCTTAAATTCTTCAGAGCACAAGAGCAAAGGAGGTCACATAAATGCTAGTATTTCCAAGCCAGACTGCTAAGAAACACTACTTAATGGGCACTATTTAGATTTTTGGTGGTGGCTCTCTTTTGCTTTCATTTTTTCTTTGTTTTTCTTTCATTTTTTTCATTTCTTAAGAGCACCACCACCTCTGCACATTTTTCAAACACAGGCCCAACTTTTTAAGAACTACCTCCAACCCTCACATTATATTTAGCAGAAACAGCAGAGAACATGTAAAAACCACTCTATGGAACCTTCTAAGAGATGCAAAAGGGTGATTTTTCATTACAGACCAAAAGAAAGGATAACACACGGCTCAAAGGGGCTGACTAGGGGGTATGACACACCAGGACAGTCAATTTGGTCGTGGGCTAATCCTATGTCTCCATCATCTTAGCTAATGACAACGTGAATGCTACACATCATGGAAGAGGGAACTATCGCACAAGAAAGAAACGAGCAGGCTCAAATCTCACATGGCTACCTATATGCTCTATCTCTCATTCTGATCCCCTGAACAAGATGCATAAACGACTGTCAAGAAAAAGTGATCCATCCAAGTCACAGTTGGTAAGTAAACAGTTGAAAAACTGAACCCCTACACAACTCTACTGCACGTCTCAGTCATCATAATAGGCTGTCCTAGTCACAATCCAATTGTCATGCATTAATTCGAAAACCATTCAATTCACCAATCAAAAAACAGTACCAATATGATCAAACAGCCGTACTTGGAGCCCTCAAATCTCGAGATTTGGACAGCGGACTAGGCTCCAAGCACACAAACTCATCTAGTAGTTAACAATAGATAAACACCCCCCCCCCACACACACACACTTAAGCACGACATTGCCCTCAATGGAGCAGAGGGGAAGAGAAGGGGAACGATGTTACCGGATTGAAATACTGCGGAAGACTGAAAGTGGACCAGTCAGCGGGGGACATATGGAACGAACGAACAGTTCTGCACTAAGGGAACATCAAGAACACACTAGCACACTGTGCGTTAGGGATCAGAGTTGGCCTAGATGGCCACACAAACGACAATCCACAAAAGAAAACCAAAAGGACAAAAACAAACGACAGACTCAGGTCAAGCTCCTCAAACACATGGAGCAAACATAAAAAGTCTAAAACAAAAACACACTGAGGGCTTACGAGTACAGACTACTCTTCGCCAATGTTGTCGAAGTCTATGTCATCCATGAAGGCGTCATCACCGGCAGTCGGGGGTGGAAGGGGAGAGTCCTCCCAAGGAGTCCTCCAGACTGGCTGCTCGCCCGGTAGCAGCTAGAGCAGGTGCTGCTGGACCTCCTGCATGCGCCGAGATCGGGCCTGCTCCCTCTCGATGCGAGCCAGGGTCACCCCCTGTTGGGTCTCCATCCGATCAAGACGCTCATCATAAGCAGCCATCCGGGTCTGGTACTAGGCATGGTGAGCCGAATACTGCTGCTGGAACTGGAGCTGATGGTCAAAGAGCTGTTGATTCTGGAGACGCAACTGCTCGAACTGGTGAGTGAAGTAGTCCTGGCCGGGGAAAGTGGAACTGCCACCCCCGTACTCGAAGGTGGTCGGGCGGGCGGCAGCAGTATCACCCACATCCTCGGGGTGGACATCCTCATCAGCCGCATCCTCAGGAACCTTCGGCTGGTCCTCCGTTGGGATCTGAGGTTGAGGAAACCCCTCGATCCACTTGACTCCTCGCTCTTCTCGAAGCAGGTGCATGCGAGAGATCGTATATTTTCCGAAGACACTGGTGTCCCCCTGCTCTGTGCACCCCTGCAGTGATATCTGGAAGTAGGTGGCCAGACGGGTGATGAGGGGAGTGCAGTGGAGGCTCTTCAGCTCTGAAGCACTCTTGTCGAAGGTTCTCGCCACCACAGAACCCAAGTGGAGAAGATGATCCCCCTGGCGCATGGACTGGATGAAGTACATGGCTCTCCTGGTGATGGCGCTGGCACTGTCCGAGGCTGGAGTGTAGGACTTTGCCAGCAAGTGGTGGAGAATGCGTTTGTCGAGCTGCAAGGTGCTGGCCTTCATCTTCCCCGCCACGAAGGGACGTTGGCGTGGCTGAGCGAGGCGGGTGTACAGTGTCTTGAAGTTCACCCCCTCTGGCTCGGTGACGTAGTCCCTATCATCGGTCAGGCCGAGGTCGAGGGCAGTCGCCAAGTCATGGTAGCTCATGGAGCGGGGTGCACCGCCGAGCCTGAACTGGACGGCTTCACCGTCTGCCCAATCCTCCGTCTCTTCGTGCTTGAAGGTCGTATAGAACTCAAGCACGAGCTTGTGGTAAACCTTCTCGCGAATGCATAGTAGACGGCGCCAGGGGCGGTTGGTGACAATGGCGGAGAAGTGCTCGTAGCAGTGCAGCTTCTCAAACTCCTGCCTGGACCAGCAATGATGCTGCCCAAATGAGCAGGCCAGGACGCGCTTAAAACGCTCCTGGTGGGGGCCCCTCTTCAAATCTCGAATAAACGGGTGCTTGAGGTTGGGTTTCGTCATGGTCCTACAAAAGAACAACCCAAAGTGGAACCAAAAGAGCCAAATGAAAGGTTAATCACACCCCCACACTTAAGAACAGAAAACATCCGAACCATGGTTTCATCCATAGTTCGGGGGTCAAAAACTCGATCAAACAAGCATAATCAGGGTGGGGGTGCACATCCATGAAAAAGTAGGCAACTCAAAGTTCACATCCATAGCAAACACACCCTCAAAGCACATCATTAAGGGCCCCAACCGGCTCCCACAAAATGGTACGAAAACAGGCATTTCATCGAACACCTTGTGTGCACTATTAAGTTAAGCATGAAATTGACAAATTTCTTGCACACAAGGGCTCAAACAAGCATGGGGGACATTTCCCAACACAATTCACACACAAACCAAGCTTTCCCCTCAATCAATTGCACACAATTCACATAATTCAAAGTGGTTCTCTAAACATGCACCCTAACACCCAATTCTCCATAAATCACAAGGTTAAGTTCAAAATCAAACATGGAGACACAAGTAGAGGTGTAGGGGATGATGAGGGGAAGGCAATGGAAGCGACGAAGTGGCCAAAATCTGCCCAGAAGTGCTCGTCGGAGCCTCGCCGGAGTCTCATCGGAAATTGCCTCCGGCTACTCAAAATCGGTCCAAATCGCCTCAAAGTCGAGGGATAGGCCGAAAATGGGGAGAAAAGGATGGGTGTGGAGGTGGTTTGGTGAAAAACCGACCGAAAATCGCCGAAAATTGCCAAAGAGGGCGAAAGGTCGCGGTTTTCCGGCGAGGGGGAGAGGATTCCGGCGAGAGGATTTGAATTTTCTGACCACGCGGCCGTGTCGGCCAAATTTATAGAGGTAGGGCTCGGCCACACAGGCAAACTCACACGGCCGTGTGAGGTGCACATGTGCCCGTGTGGGCCGACACGGTCAGGCCGAGGATTTCCACACGGCAGTGTGAAAAGCACAACTGGCCGTGCGGAAATTGTCTATTATCTAGCAAACTAAGTCGATTGATTTTGATATTAACTGAAAGCAGAAAGAAAGCAGGAATTGATTCGATTTTCTGAAGCAAGAAAGAGTCACTCGGGAATGAGTCCCCCTAGCTCCTTAGTTAGGTCTCAGTTGTAATTACCCTGGGTTGATTTACTGTTGATTAAACTGCGGAAGTTCCGACAGTAGCTTGGAATCTCTTAAGCTGACCAAGCCCTCTCAGTCTAACTACCCGGCAGACGACTAGTCTTCACCGGGATAGAAAGCTGAAGCAATAAGCACAGAACTCCACTACTGGAATTGGATTCCAGTACAAAGCAGCAGACTGACTAACTCTCGTATAGCCAATCTACTACTACCGAATGAAGAAGCTCTCACAACCTAATCAGATTCTATCTATCTCAGGTTGCAGCAGAAATCAAGAAAAGCTGGTCAGACTTCAATCAATTCAATGAATCATGCATCATTCGATTAAAACCAAACACTATAATCATCCCAAGTCATTACAATCATGATCCATAACACATGGAACTAGGGTTCTTCATACCCAAGTGAGAGAAGGGTTCTACTCCATAGAGAGAGAGAGAGAGGGGAAAACGGAATACAAAGCAGTCATACTCATAACGATGGGAAGAATCTGCTCTGGGATGATGATTTTCACTCCTATGATGATCTCCAAGCTCGATTTGATGAAACCCAGCTCCAAGATCGCTTCTAGGATGTGTTCTTCGCACTTTCTCTCTCTAGGGCTCTGTTTTTGCTCTCAAAAGTCGATTTTCTCACTTGTGGCTCGAAATTGGGTTAAAACCAGAATTCCCGACTCACACGGGCAGGCCACACGGCCGTGTGGCTTACCCAGATGCCCGTGTGAGAGTCAAAATGCCGAGTTTCGATTAATTGGACTTCAGGCTACCTACACGGCTAGGGACACACGGTCTTGTAGGATCTCCAGTCTGCCCGTGTAAAGCCTCGCACAATCCCACACGGCCAGTGGCGGAGCTACGTCTAAGGGAGGGGGGGTGCATGCAGCCCCCTTGGCTGTGGGCAAAAAAATATTGAGTATATATAGTGGGAGATGGGGATCGAACCTCTGACCACATGATTCACACGGAGCAATCTCACCATCTCGGCTAGAAGAGGATTTTAATTTATTTGACACACACATCTAGTTATATCAGCGTTAATTATCTGTCCTAATATCAAAACACTATCGTCAATCCCAGCAAGGCAGAAACCCCAATTTCATTTTCGTTTTCCTCTACCCAGCAGCAGAGGCGCTGCAAGTGCACTCGCCGACCTCCAAGCTTCTATCCTCCAACGGCGGCGAGTCCACCCTCCAAGCTCTCCATCTCCGGAAATGGAAGAGACGTAATCACGAGGTAGCAAGCAAGCTGCAACTTTTCCCCAACCGTGCATACAATCGTCGAGATTCATTATAGGCGATGTGTGTATAACTATTATTATGTAATTGTACGAATCTTGAGTATTATGTTATTGACTTCATATTTTCATTTAAAGTTGACTTTTTTATTGTATAGTTAATTTTTTCATTACATGAACAAGCACCCCCTTGACAAATTTTCTGGCTCCGCCACTGCACACGGCCACATTGGTTCCTTACACGGTCGTGTGGGTTTTATGTGTGCCCGTGTGGCTTCCTCAGCGACTCGCCACATGTCCGATCTTCGTCCAATCGACCCCGAACTCGCTCCCAAACTTTCATTCACGTACTAGGACCTGAAATATCACAAACAAGCACAACCTAGCGTGAAATCGGCCTAAAATACGAGAATCAATATCTCAAATGGCTCAAGAATAGGGGTAAAAACATGTTCAATTAACGGTTTATCACCTATATAGATCTCTTCAGATCACATGCTGCTCACTGTTGGTTAGGGTATGGTTTAGCTTCTGTTGTCATGGTCGCATATTTAGAAATTAAGAGCAAGTCCCAGAATTAGACAAAGTAACTTGATCATATACATTAAGGGATTGGAAAGCAAGACGGTAAGATTGAGGTAAATAACAAGATGTGATAAAAAATAATTAACAGTAAATTGAAACTAGCATAGAGACCGTTGCTTGTTTGGGCATAGAACTAAATGAAACCAAAATCCCCATCGACCTAAATCATACACACTCTATCAGTTCATCCATATATGTTGACACATCAACGTTACTACAGTCTAAATGTGGGGAAGGTATCCAAAATTTAACCACTTTCAAGAAGAGATAACTCAGCAAAACATAAGGTATACTCAAAATCTTCTCACCCAAAGAGGTCCGAATTGAATCTCTTGAATTGGGGAAACAAAATTCATTTAGCGACTTAACCCAACACTACAGCTACTGCAAATCAATACCAACCGCAGAAGAGGATTGTGACACAGTTTGAGTAATCAACATGAAGCAACAACGCAAAAAACAAAGAAAAAATAGAGATTGAATGTCCTCGATCGATGTAACTTCCATCACAATTGTGATTTTGAAACATCAATTACGTACCCTTCTATTACCCGAGAAGTGAATTTGAATTGAAGGAATAATGTTAAAATAAAAAGAATTTTCAGCATTGACAAATTGGATGAAGAGTAGAAGCCATAAAAATGGAGAAGAAAAATTTATAAGACAGACCGATTAAGAGCATAGACCGCCACACCCATATAGGGCAACCAATGAGACTGAAGAGAAAATATATATCTTTGTTGGAATTGAGATTGTCTTTTGCTTTGCATGCTCTACTTTCTCATTTCACTTATATTTGCCGACTCTAATCGCTTCTTCTCGATTTCTTAAAACTGCAAGCCAATTTGCCTCTTTTCAACTCCCGTAGATCTGCCGAATATAGTACGTACGACTCTCTTCCGACTTGTGAAATCTTTGGATTATAATCCGATAGAGTAGGGATTGAATCGAAAGAAACGTCTATCAAATCATGTCGCATCGGTCGAGTGGCTGATTCATTGTACTGGCAAAGGTAATTGCAGGTTTTCATATTTTGACGTTGCGGTTACCGACGGAGATGCAAAGTTTGAAGATTTGGGAAGAAGGAACCGTTGTGGCCAACGATGAGAGAAAAAGGTGGAAGGGGAGGGTGGAAAATAGGGGTTGTTAACGGGCAGATGAGGGCGAGATAGTAGGAGGCGGTTTTGGGTTGAGACAGTTTGCTAGATTTTAAGGAAAACTTACGTGGAAGCCAAAAACACAAAGCCTTTTAATTTTTTTTAATAAAAGGAAGATTTAGCAAGATTAGAGATAGTGACGATTGGGAACAAACGGAAGAGTTGAACGGGCCAACTTACTGTACACAGGCGGATTTAAACGGGTCTAGGAGTGTCAATATTTTTCTTTAAGTCCTTTTATTTCTCCGTGGTGGTAAAATATATATGAAAAGGAAAAAAAAATCCTCCTTTTAATTGCTAAAAAGAAAAAAAATTAACAGTAAACTAATGCATGAATTCTAATGGGCTAACCGCTAATCATAAAATAAAAGAGTTGAATGGGTCTGACCTGCATGGGATTTGCCCATCAAGTAAAACAAATGAACATCATGGGTTTGCCATTCTAAAACAAGCTATTTTCTCTAGCATAATATATATTATGCTATTATTTTATATCTTAGTGGCTAAAATATAATGTATTTTAAAGTTATTCAATGGTTCAACCTCGACCAACCCAATTAGTCCAATTTTTATCATTACAAATATATTGTGTAATTATTTAATATCATAATGATTAAATACTCGTGTATATTATAGAGAATCGTTTGGTATTTGTTTGTAAAAAACTAAACAGAAAGATCTATTTGGTTATTTTTAATATTAAAACGATCCTAAACATTTTCAGTTTCTTTTTGAAATTCGATAGTCTTATTCCCGAATCAGTGATGTGCAAATGGCGAATTGCAGTCATCTCTTTTCTTTCATTATTTTTTATTTTCAAATAGAAAGTTTAAAAGTAAATAATTAGAGTTTGGCATGGGTCGGTCAGACAGGCTGAATTTCAAGTTTTTTGCCCGTTTTGATCAAGTCTAATTTATAATCACATGGTTCCCTGATACCCGATAAAAATCAATCCAAACGAGTTTGGCAGGTGAGTCCGTGTTGTTCATTCTTGATTTCTTTAGATTTTATCATGGCTTGGCAAAAAACCAGAAAGCACAATGATGACAAGATGAAATTTTTATAAAGCAAATTAATCGGCCAACGGGCTGAGTAAAAGCTAGCAACGATTGTGAGATGCTCATAACCCCGAAAACCGGAGGGATAGGCGATTTTTTATTCGATTTTCTGGAATTTGGTTTCTATAAAATTTACTCCACCTCATCATATTACCAGAAACAATATTGTTTCACAAGGTAATAGGTACTTGATTTTGGTTCATGAGGCTGATTTTTGATTCGTTGCATCATTCATGTCTCTTTCCTACTAAAATTCACTATTTTTATAACGTGTTTCCAAAAAAAACTATACAGCAATAAGCTATATACCCATTACATTATCAAATGTCATACCTCACCTTCCTCCGGCCAAATGGTCGGGGCCCACACTAGTTTTTTTTAATAAAAAGGAAGATTTAGCAAGATTAGAGATAGTGACGATTGGGAACAAACGGAAGAGAGAGAGAATTCTGATGGGGATAGGGAGGAGATATAATGTGATGACATGGACTCATAGATGAGAGAGAATTCCCCACTTATAAAAAAGAGTTTATTTTACAATCTTCAAACATTAACTCCAATTTGTATGATTTATTTACTTAGGTGTCTGTCTACCTATTGTCACTCTTCTATGAGCGAAATCGCATAAACGAGACGCAGTTTGAAGATTTTGTTGAAATTATCTCGAAACCTACAAAATAGAGGCCAACTGTATGTGGTTAGTATCTTGATTCTTGAATTATAATCACAACTTGGCATTCTGTTATGTAAAATAAAAAAACTTGGCATTCTGTTATGATCACAACTAGTTTCACGTTTACTTTTTTTCACTGTAATTGTTTTACCAGCACAGCTCTTCATTTTCCCGTGTGTTTCAGGTGATGGCACATTTATGATTAGCTCCTCCTCTCGTGCTAACAAGTCGTCAATTCCTAAGTTCGCCATGAAATATTTGTCCAATGTTGTCTCGGGGGTCATCCTCGATGATGTATTCTCTGATGGACCAATGGCTCAACTTCGCGGCCATTTATCAGCGGATCAAAGAGAGATAATAGATAAGAAAGAGTATATGATCGTGATCAATCTACATTGTGTGTGTGTGTGTGTGTGTGTGTGTGTGAGAGAGAGAGAGAGAGAGAGAGAGAGAGAGAGAGAGAGAGTCAATGGGTGGGTGGGTGGGGTTATTATTTATCCAGTTCACTTATTGTAGCAAGTATATATTGACATTTATACCTTTTCTTTTGGCGTCGATTGCATAGATATACTTCCTTTTTCTTTACCATACTACCAAAGCATAGATGTACTTCCATGACATTTTTTGTTTAGCAATATTTATTTTCTTTCATAAGATAACTCATATTATCGAGATCAAAGAGATACACTATTGTATACACTAGGTAAACTTACTTGTTAGTACAACTAATCAGCTATATACATACACTTAAATAAGTTATGGAATTTTGTTTGGTTAAGCCAACTATTTGAGTTAACTAGACGAATACTGAACAATCTGATAAATCTTATATTCTATTACTTTGACGAGAGAAGACTTATTTTCATATTTGGATCCAGGTTAAGAGGATAGCTAATCATCAGAATACTAGTCATTTGGCATTGGAAGACTTTGAAAATTTTATTAAGGGTTAATGGAAGACATGATTGAAATAGCAAGGATTGTAAGAATCCGTGTTAGTGTATTTTGTGATGAAACTCTTATTTAATTGGGATTCAATCATTACATAATGCTAAAGTTACATATAAATTAGCATTTTGAAAGATGATTTGTGAATCAGTCTATGTTATATGTGTGTGAGAGAGAGAGAGAGAGAGAGAGAGTCGGTCGGTGGGTAATTATGTATCCAATTCAATTATTGTAGCAATTAGATTAGGCATTTGAAGACTCTTCTTTTAGTGCCGATCACAGAGATGTAGTTTCTTCTTCCTTACCAAAGAATAGATATACTTCCATGGCATTTTTTATTCAACTAGTATTTTTTTTCTCCGTAAGAAACTTGTATTATCGAGATCAAAGAGGTACACTAGTGTATACACTGGCTAGGTACACTTATTTGTTCAATTATATACGTATACTTGAATAAGTTTTTTTTTTGTTGCTAAGCCAAGTATTTGAGTTAACCAAACGAATATTGAACGATATGATGAATCTTATATTCTTTTACTTCGACGAGAGAAGGCTAATTTAAATATTTGGATCCAGGGTAAGAGGATATCTAATTATCAGAATACTAGTCATTTGGCATTGGAAGACTTTGGAAAATTTATTACATTTTAAAGGAAGATATGATTGAAGTAATAAGGATTGTAGGAGTCCGTGTTAGTTTATTTTGTAATGGAACTCCGATTGAATCGTGATTCAATCATTATATATTGTTTAGATAGCATATAGATTTTGATTTTGAAAAATATAATTTATTTTATCAGACTATCAGTATGGTAAAATTTTGCAAACCCTGTGAAAGAAATAAATTATTGAATACTTAACGATCTTAATAATTAGAATAGTAAGTAAGGCTTTAACCCCTCTGCCCCAATTACCACAATTCAAATCAGACCTCATAATTCATATTTTTGGCTCCACCACTGCCCACTAGTGTCAAGGTTAGGAGTTTTTCATTTCTATTTATAGGATGGGCCACTTGTTGTATTGTTGTTATGGCTAGGGCAATTGCAAAGGGTAATTATGCATAAGTGAATTATCATAGTTCATTTTAATGTGTTTCTCATTTTGCAGAATGTGAGGGCATATCTGATGTGTGGAACAACCCGAGAGATGTTTGTGGATTATGCAAATGCAACTCAAGATGATTTGCCTTTTTTCAAGTTCGGATCTTAATTTAGCATAAAATGAATCCAAGTAGGAAATCCAAACCACAACAGTTTGTCCGCACAATTGCATGTGCTTTGGGATTCGGTTGGTTGCTTGAACAAATTATTTGTTGTTTGGATCACAAATCTGACGAGAGAGAGGGGTTCTATTTATTGTGACCTACATATTTCAAGCGTGCACTTGACCTGGAACCGAAAAATACGGTGGCGGTGAGTGCTTTGCAGAAACTAGAAGAGCTTTCTTTGAAGAGATGATTGACACTTAGCTTTTGATATATGCTGTCTTACTGAATAGAATCTTGTATGTTATTTGGCTGCATATTGTTTCAAGTACCTAGTAGCATGCCTTTTATGAACCGTATTTAGTTGTATCGTGTTAGCTTGGATCTTAGACAAGACAGACTTCTTTGAGGGCTAGCGCAAGAGCAGAACCAGGATTTTATGCTTGGGGGTCGGAGTGATCTAGTGTACTGTTGTTAAAAAGGAAAAAAAATCATAAGTAATAAAATATAAGAAATTTACTTTTTTAGAATAAATCCATATAATCCTTACAAAAAATATTTAAAAATATTATTGAGTTTTCTCATTTTTTATCAAAAAATATTAAATCTAATTCTAATAAATATTTTATGAAACTTTTTGTAAAAAAAACTCTTATGAAATAAGAAAAAAAAATCCCGGTCAGAGGCGGGATAAAAAGCTAGTTGATTTATTTTTAATTTTGATATGAATGAAATTTTTGCATTGAAGTTTGTTAGAGTTTCCACATAACATCATTGCATGATAAAGAATTGTCTTTCGGTAATAAATTGTGTGAAAAAGTATGGACAAACTCTCGGGAATGTTTTTTTGCAGGGTACTCCTATGTACAAATGATTTTTCGTCAATTTTTAATTCCAACAACATTTAGTTACCTTAATAATCATGTTAAAAAAATTATCTTAAAATGGCAACTCTCATAAGCATTATTAGTTATCTTGTTAAAATAAGTTTTTTAAAAAGAGAAAAGCAAGAAGATTTTTTAAAATTGAGCTCCCACAATGATTATTTAACTTAATAACGGTGTGGATGAAAAGACAAGAAAAACATGAAACAAATATTTTTGGAGGATGACATCCGCCTAAACATTCGTGAAAGTTATCTCTTATATTTTATATTTATAGTTTTCTATCATTTTCACTGCTTCGACTACAATATATATACTCTCAACTGGAACGTCAAACAACACAAATATATAAATGGAAAAGAAAAGTTGTCTTGAAACTTCTTTACATTTCACCACATTGATATGGATGAAACGCGTTGCTAATCTCTACAACATAGAAAGATCATGGGCAAGAATTGTTAATAAAAAAAAGTATGAAAATCAACTCAAGCATTTCAAGTAATGCACAGAAAGATTAAAACAACGATTAATAAGGTCATATCAACAGAATCTTGACTTCCAAAATTGGGAACCCCAACAGTTAAAATGATCTCATGAGACAGTCGAAATCCAATAACACCACAAAATGATGTTGAAATTCTAACATTACTCGTTGTAAAAAATCTTTGAATATGGGGGGGGGGGGGGGGGAATGAATACATGTTGATGCAAACCGGGTTACTTCCACAAGATGTCCATTGACACGCTAAAACACAACACCAAACTGCGATTAAATGTAATCGTAGTCCGGAAATGCAGTAAAGTAGCAAGTTCTAATTATCAACCCGGGGTCTAGATCTACTGCCTACTCCGTGAATATCTATTATCTAGCCAACTAAGTCGATTGATTTTGGTTTTAACTAAAAGCAGTAAAAAAGCAGTAAATGGTTCGGTTTTCTAAAGCAAAGGAAGAGTCACTCGGGAATGAGTCCCCCTAGCTCCTTAGTTAGGTCACAATTGTAATTACTTTTGGTTGCTTTACTGCTGATTATATTGCGGAAGATCCGACAGTAGCTTTGAATCTCTTAAGCTGACCAAGTCCTCTTAGTCAAACTACCCGACAGGCGACTAATCTTCACCGGGATAGAACGTTGAGGCAATGAACACAGAACTCCACTACTGGAATTAGATTCCAGTACAAAGAAGTGAATTGACTAACTCTCGTATAATCGATTCACTACTACCGATTGAAGAAGCTCTAACAACCTAATCAGATTCTATCTATCTCAGGTTGCAGCAGAAATCAATAAAAGGTGATCAGACTTCAATTGACTCAATCAAAACACTTCAATCGATTATAATCAAGCAATATCACAATCCAAACGTAATTACAATCAAGA